GCGGGGCGGCCTGTGCGCACCCCACGAAAATCTTGACGGTTGGAACGCAGCTCGAATACAGCGAATTCGCGGCTCGAATGCAGCTGCGCAAGGTCCTGCGCGGGCCTGCAACTGGTACGAGTAGATAGGTCTTTTCGAGAGCAATTCAATGATGGTATTTTCGAAGGTTTTGCCAGCCCTGTGGGCAGGCAGTGGCAATGCAGAAGAAGAAGAACACTTAATAGCCAACGAGTATTATAACGTCGAGGAGATTTTGATATAGCGACAGGTAAAAAAAGGGACTGGAGTACCTAGTCAAGTGGGCAGGGTATGGGAAGAAGCACAACTCTTGGGAACCCACTGCCCATTTCAAGAAATGCCCCGAGGTACTAGAGGCATTCCACCAGAAGGTGCAATTGTCCACAACTCCTTCTATGAAATTCCGAACAGAACTTCACGAAGGGCGCCTTATGGTCGTCGGTGGATGAAATAGAGCAGATATTTATACATTCTTCACGTGACGTTTACATATGCCATCTTCCGGCTAGTGAGAACATTGGGAAGTAGTGCTTGAAAAGCCCTTGTTGAGAAAATACGGGACCGTGATTCTCTAGCGGCAAAAAGAAGTACCGAGTGGTAGAAAAGGTACGTACCGAGTGGCAGAGAAGGTACGTACCAAGTGGCAGAAACGGTATGAGGTGGTAGAAAAGGTACGTACCAAGTGGTAGAACTCAACCCCTTGCCACCGTACGTATTTCCAATCTGGATTCCAGACTCACCCGTCGCCACCACCGTCTTTACCGAATTGATCGTCTGATCTCTGATGAGGATCTCACGATGTACAACTGCCTCGGTGAATACTTGCCGACGTGGACCCTTGCATGGCCCCCCATCCTGACATCCTTGGCGGAGTTCCTTCCCGCGATTGCGTCGATCTTCTGTGCAGCCGCACCTGACAGATCCTTGTCGATCCCTCCCGCGGCATCCTTGAGCATTGTCAAACCTGCTTCGTCCTCCACCTCTTCGATTTCGATCCCGGCCAGCTTGTGACAAACGGCTTCGACCGGGAAGGCTTTCTCTAGCTCGTCAACAAAGCCGGCGATTTGGTCGACGATTTTCTCCAGGCTCTTCCCGTCGTAGAGTGCCCATACTGTCTTCTTCGCCAGGGTTGTATCTTTCTGTCTCCGACAAGCGAGGTCTTTCAGCCGCCTATACAGCGCTCGCCCGGCTGGCTTCATGTCCCTATCCTCAAACACCACCAGGTCCTGCTGGTCTGCAACGTGCTCGTATCGCTTCGACGTTTTCCGGGCGGACTCGAAGAGGAGCACAATTTCCTCGATGATCGACTGCGCCAATTGGACCGACTTGTCGGTCGGCGCGCTGGAGCGGAAACGCGGGTCATCATTGATCTTAACTGCCTTGCCTTATCGGCTCAGCGTGTCTTTCTAATGTCCAGCCTGAGTTGGCATCTCTCAAAGTCGCGCCCAAAGCGGCGACCTAGCTGGACGTACTCAAAACAGTCTACGCAGTTATTGAAGAGGCCGGCAACGCCCAACGCGCCAGCAACGATCCCGAACGGTTTAGCCATAGCATGTTGACTAGTTGTGGCTATCGAGGGGGGAAGAGGGGAAGATGAAAGCTGATGCACCTCTGCGGCTGAATGTTGCCTGGTTGAGTTGGCGGCGGGGTACCTGCAGTCGGCTTGATCGATGCCCAATTTGAGAGCATATACACGCCCAACTTAAAGATAGCGCGACCATCGCTTCAAACCATCCACTGTCACCACATATCAGCTCAGGTCACTACATCCCGAGGTGAGAACACGTTCATGTCAGCAATATTTATCACGACTCTGACGAGCGACTTCCTCTTGTCTTCTACGCCGACGTAACTTTTGACTCTCAATCACAACGCATAAGTGTGTTAGACGATCCTACGGCGAAAGCGCTCTAGGAAGTATAGCAATCGTTGTTCCATGCAATCCAACCGCTTCGTCGCCGCCACCATGGCAAATCGTGTCGGGTCACTACATGCCGAAGGGCAGGCACGGGTCCACGTGGGCAATAATTACTACAGTTCGAGCGACATCCTGCCGGCCGTACATGAGGCAGCTTTCGACTCTTTTGCCGAACAGAGCAACGCACAATGCCATCCTGACACCCGAATCGAGCTCCTCCGTCAGATCAGAGACTGGGCAGAAGATCCTCACGGTCAGAGCATCTTCTGGCTGAACGGCATGGCAGGGACCGGGAAATCCACCATCTCTCGCACCGTAGCGAAGGCGTTCGCAGACGACGGCCTCCTCGGCGCAAGCTTCTTCTTCAAAAGAGGTGAAGCAGACCGTGGCAAAGCCACCTTGTTTTTCCCCACCATTGTCAGTCAGCTTGTGCACAAAATCCCTACTCTGGCGCCTTTTGTCACAGACGCTATCATTGCCGACCCCGGCGTTGCCAGGAAGGCGCTGCCAGACCAGTTCAAGAAGCTCATCCTGCAACCACTTGGCCGCATTCACCAAGCTATGTCAAGTCTGATCGTCGTTGATGCTCTTGACGAGTGCGACGGAGACAATGACGTAAAAACCATTATCTCCCTGCTAGTACAAGCAAAGACACTGAGCTCCATGCGACTGAGGATTTTCATCACCAGCCGGCCTGAGTTGCCCATTCGCCTCGGATTTATGAACGTCCAGGGAAAGTATCAGGACCTGGCTCTACACCAAATACCGGAGCCAATCGTAGAACGCGATATATCTGCATTCTTAGGGCACACACTCGCGAGAATCAGGAACGATTACAACAGCCAAGCTCACGGAGACCTAAGGCTGCCGCCCGACTGGCCTGGCGAACATGTCATTCGGACTCTCGCTCAGATGGCCGTTCCATTGTTCATTTTTGCCGCAACCGTCTGCCGCTTTGTCGAAGATCCGGTGTGGTCTGACCCCGCCGGTCAGCTCGAGAAAGTCTTACAGTATCAGCGGAAGACCCATGATTCCGAGCTTGACAAACTCGACGCGACATATCTCCCAATTCTCAACCAGCTCACTGCTGGGCGTGCTGAGCCGCAGAGGGGCCGCTTATTAGCCGAGTTCCGGGATGTTGTTGGCCCTATTGTTCTCCTCGCCCAACCGCTCTCAGTGTCGTCGCTCGCACGACTTCTCATCATCTCTCCTACAGCTATATATGGCAGGCTCAACTCTCTCCACTCGGTCCTGAGAATTCCCCCAGAAATAGATACTCCTGTAAGACTCTTCCACCTGTCTTTCCGCGACTTCCTTGTCGATCCAACCAAGCGTGCCAAGGAGTTTTGGATCGACGAAATACAACATCACCGAACGCTGGCGGATAGATGTATTCAACTTATGCGCCAACACCTCAAGAGAGATATCTGCGATCTGCAAGTGCTGGGGAAACCGCGCTCGGAAATCGACCAACGAACCGTCGACGTCGCTTTGCCACCCGAAGTCCAGTACGCATGTCAGTACTGGGTCCACCACTGGAAGGCGAGCAAAGCCATTGTACGGGATGACGGCCCGGTTCACAGTTTCTTGAAGAGCCACCTCCTTTACTGGCTTGAAGCGCTCGCGCTTGTAGGCCGTATCTCGGAGAGTATCGGCATGGTAGACGACTTGTTAGCCCTACTCGATGTATGTTGCACCCTTGGTCCCCATCACCAATAGATACTAATATCGTCTTTCAGCCTGGAGATGCCACCGGAATATCTGTATTTCTCCGCGATATCAGACAGTTCGTTCTAAGCAGCCGATCGATTATTGATACAGCACCTCTTCAGGTATACGCTTCAGCACTTGTATTCAGCCCGATCCGCAGTATAACAAGAGAGTTGTTTAAACATGAGGAACAGGAGTGGATTACCACCGCACCGGTTGTAGAAGATGAATGGGGTCCATGCACGCAGACGCTCGAGGGGCATAGCGGCTGGGTCAACTCGGTCGCGTTCTCGCCCGATGCAAGGCCCGATGCAAGGCTCGTCGCCTCAGGATCATATGACGGGACTGTTAAGATCTGGGATGCGGTGACGGGCACATGCACACAGACGCTTCAGGGGCATAGCGGCGTGGTCAGGTCAGTCGCGTTCTCGCCCGATGCAAGGCTCGTCGCCTCAGGATCAAGCGACAAGACTGTTACGATCTGGGATGCGGCGACTGGGAGATGCACGCAGACGCTCAATACTAACAGAATCCCCAATGCCATATCATTTACTCCAACCGGCTCACATCTCCAGACGGATTTTGGTACTATCGATCTAGCTATGCCGCCGCCATACACCCTCCACCTGGTACCGTCAAGAACTGCTTCGCCAACCCTCCATCGTCAAGACTACGGTGTAAGCTCGGATGGCAGGTGGGTCACGACGGGCTCGGAAAACTGGCTTTGGCTGCCTCCAGAATATCGACCGGAATGCTCGGCCGTAGCGCCATCAACAATCGTTATCGGCAGTTTATCCGGACGAGTGTCAGTTATAGCGTTTCGGACAAAACCGACGCATCCGTTAGAACATTGATCACGCACTGATTTTGTCTCTTACTTTTTCATCATAGCGTGCCACAGAAAAGGGTCTGGGAGGCGCCGTTAATTTATATCCGTCGATGTTCGAGTATGTTCAAGAAACTTCTTCTGGTCTTTGTTATTCCTGCGACCTAAAAATCGCCAGTTTCCAAAATCGTAATGTGGTGACGTCATATGACTGCCGATTCAGACATCTTCGGCTTTGGCCTCTTCCGTCCGTCTCAAATCCAGCTCACCGACAGCGACAGAGGCGCACGGGAAGTTCATCAAGTACCCTGCCTATGTCCTGAAATTCTTCCAGCCCAAGAATGGCAAAAGCAGAGTGTGGATAGAGAAGAATGAAACTAGTCTTATGGTGCCACTTTTCAAGGGCACAAAGATGTATTAATTTGCGTCTGGGACAGCGATACGACACACCGGATTCAATGGCACTGTGGGTTTGTCCTTCACCTTAGCGGGGAGACGGGCATTCAACCACTGACAGGAGATCTTATTTTTATTACCACCTTTTTCGTAGGCCCGGCGGCTGCGGAACCGGCAGGGCGGGAGACAGTGGTGGGCAAGGGAGAAGTAAACGAATGTGCAGGCAAGATAGGAGCCGCTGGGGAAAGAACCTCCTAGTCCTATTATTTGCGTAAATTCAGAAATTCATGCATGAAAGAATCCAACACTTCCTCTCGAGGAGAGACCCCTATTATCTCCTGGTCCAGTCTCCCGACTTCTCTAGATGCCTCTGAGACTATATGCCAACCGGGGTGGACTTCCGGGCGCCATCACTTACCGCATTCATGGGATGTAATCATTCCCCTAGGTGCCTCCTCCGCGCCCGTGCCGATTCCCATTCCCTCCACCCCAGCTCTCTGCTCACTGAGACAGCTGATAGACTGCAATGTCGGCCTGCTACTTTCTCGGCACAATTCTTGGGAACCCACCGCCCATTTCGAGAGAAATGTCCAGAGGTACTAGAGGCATTCCACAAGAAGGTGGCACGACTCCTATATAAACTTCACGTAGGGCGCCTTATAGTAGTCGGTAGATAAAATAGAGCCGATATTCATATATTAATCACATAACGTTTACATATGCCATTTTCCGGCTAGTGAGAACATTGGGAAGTAGTGCTTGAAAAGCCCTTGTTGGAAAATACGGGACCGTGATTTCAGCGGCAAAAAGAAGGACCGAGTGGCAGAAAAGGTACGTACCAAGTGGCAGAACTCAACCATGTTCGATGAGCCCGATGAGACGGTAGGCTCAACGGATGCGCCACAAAAAACAACGTACCTCGCGTCGCTGATCCAATTTTTCGTTGAGCGATACGCCGTGCTTCGGCGTGAATGTCTCGCGACGTCACCCGCCCCTCTGCTTTACCCCTCGTTGTCATGGAGCATATCAAACCCACATAGAATAGCCTCCCCGGGCCTGAAGCGGTTATTTCAAAGCAAGTGGCCCATACATACGGTGTTTAAGATGCAGAGAGATCGCGTGGCTTTTTCACACAAGAATGGAAAGTGTCAATTTACCTGAACTGCATTGCTATACAATGAAAAACAGCACAACCTACCCTTAGACCCACGGAATCCCCTGATAGTCCCTAACATCTGTTGGTCCAGGGGCGCATTCGAATCGGACGGCCAAAGCAAGATCATCCGGTTCAACAAGGTACGCGTTTTGGTTGAAGCCATCCTCACCATGTAGGTATTGCCCCGATTTCGTATATTGCATTCTCATCGTCCTTATGTTGAGGTAGGGCAAACGGAAAACGTCCTGATTTCCCGGCCTCCACGACAAGCAGAGACTTCGACCCCTGTATGTGTCGCCGGAGCCGGCTGCATGTATAGAGCGTCGGCATCGGAAAACAGGCCGGTATTTGTCCACTCTCATCTCCTCCAGGACGGCTCCAGGTGTAGAACGGTTGCATCCCCCACCAACTCCATAGTGCCAGCCGATGCGGCGAGGTTGACACTGATCCTGCCATTGTGTCGGGCATAGCTCGGTCAAAGGGACAGTACCGGCCGTGCCAGTACTTGCACAAACCAGTTGGACTCCATTCTCGTTCGTCTCAGTCTCGTGCCACGTGGCGTCCGAGTCTCTAAGAAATTTGCTGCCGGGGACTGAAATGAGACTCTGACGTGTAAGGACATTCCGAAGTCCTCGAGTTTGCCGAGACGCACCCCAAACCACATGTTCAAATCCGGTGACAGCGAAATAGGGACCTAGTCCAAGCTGCGCTTGTTGCTGCCCTTCATGTAACTTCCTTCGTGCTAGCTCCTTGTCGATACCCTTACGGACTCGAACCACTAACCATAGCCTGAGTGGAAACCGTGCATTGCTGTATGTAGTAAGCGGATATCTCCAACGATTCAAGTCCGTCCCAATTAGAAAAGCGGCATAGCCATTCTCGATCATAGTCGTAATCCACGGCGCCACTTCTGGGATGTCTCTGAGTGGGCTTGTGAACATACTCACGGTATTTGGCCGACGAGGCGGGAACGACGGGAAGCGCGAGCGGCGCCATCTTATGTATGTGTGGCTGCGCTGGGAAGCCAAAAATGGATGCCAGGTAAAGCGGTTTCCCTGGATTCCGGGAACGACTTCTTTTTCGAAACCAACTGTTCAGGACTGGGACGCTTATTGGAAGATGGTGTAGGTGGGGTCGGGGATTGTGCAGCCTGAATAGATTGGAGGGAGGCAGGCCTGTGGTAAGGTACCAAGTACCCGGCTGTGACCAAGCACCCCGTACTGTCGAGACACCCGAAAATGGCGGCCCTGCCCTGCCAAATTCGGCGGCTAGAACAGCAAGTTCTGTACTTAATCTGTAAAATCGAAACTACAATTGGCCGTGGTTCCATCGTGGTTGCGATTTTCGCTGCGTGGTTCCAACGCAGGCCCAGGGTAGTACATTGCCCACGCCCCTGCACGCCAAGCCATTAGTTAGCCGATTACAAAAGTCACTTTTTCGTGGTTCCGCTGGAACCATAGTTCCGTTGGAGCAGGGCCTCAAGGCTGACTGTGAAATGAATTGCAAGGGGGGGGTCTTGAATTTCCACACCCTATCTGGAACACCGTCAGACATGGAACACACCGCTATAGGGGCGACAAATTGCCCGCAACGGGCCAATAAGAAGCTAGCGCCAAGCACCCGATGACAGGTAACCTCAATCCTGTAATATGTTCCGCGCCAGCCAAATTTGCTGGTGGCACGCACCACTCAAGATAACCAGTCCTGGCTAGATTGCGTGGTTGTAATGCAAGAATTGTGGTAGTTGTGATGGAAGAATTGTGGTGGTTGTTGTATGGTTGTTGTGGTAGTTATTGTTGTACTATCATCTGTAGGGTTCTTAACCACCGTTAGTTCTTAACCAGCCCGACATTTTTGCCAGCTGTGCCAAGAGTTGACAGATGCAGGGCCAATTCCCATTGGCCGTGGTTAAGAACTGACGGTGGTTAAGAACCCTACGTATGATGGTATGGGCCGTTGCTGTGGAAGCTGACCCTGTAGTGGATGTGACCGATAGTGTGGCGCCTGTTCCATGTCTGACGGTGTTCCAGAACCCTACTTACAATGGTACAGGTCGCAGCCGTCTACAGTTGCCAGATCCTGTCTGTGGCTGGAGAGCGGAATCGAACGATGATCGGTCAAAATGGTAGCCTCTGTTTTGTGCATCATACCGTCAAAATCCTTCAATTTGAAATTCATAGCATACTGATTTATCCGTATCCACAACAGTAATCGATTAGTTGCATCCACCAAGCTCAATATCATTGCCGTTTCGCTCTTATTGCTGCCATCCTCTGGTGTAGCCGAGGGGCAAAGCCTCCTTTGACCGAAATTGAGTGGCATTGGAAGATAGGCAGGAGCCGACGAGTATCATTGAGGTTTATTTTTTAACCACAAGCCTCTGCTAGTCTGCTCAAGCGAACCACCAGTTTAATTTCGAAAATTCTCCTCAAAAGCCGCACGAGACGGCGTTTCCTTGGGGCGCAGTGAAGTGGTTAGCTATTTGGAGTTGTCCAGGGGGTGGAATTGGGAAGCTTACTGTCAGCTGCCGTAAAATCTTTCGCAGGGCAGCCTGGAAATTTGTGTCCCAGCCATATTTATCAATATCAACAACCCCTTTCCCCTTTTTCTTGAGGAGTCCCTTTATCTTTTCAACGAGGAAGTGCTCAGGCTTGGCGAGGAGCGGCTGGTCTTTTCCTGATGGGACCGACATCTGATTTATGATGTTGAACATGCGACTCCGATCCCATAAAATCTCTTCGTCCTTGTCGGGTTTGGCCGGCCCGTTTTGACCTCGGATAACACCGCCCCGACGCGGAGTTTCATGGGATTCGGCGTCGGATTCAGGGCCGCTTTCCTCGCTAGAGCTGGTCTCGTCTTCCTCCTCTTTGGCTACCTCAGAGTACTGGGGCCGGGCATTTCTGTCCGACGGAGGGATGCCCGTTCCGAGCTTGAGAGTGCAATACAGCAACAGCCCTCCCAAGCCGGCCGCAACGGCGGTAGCGAAGGAACTTCCTGTCTGGGACTCGGATGTGCCGTCGCTGTTGCGTATGACGATATTCTCTCCGGGTAGCAGAAAGTCAACCTGTTTGGAATTGACCCAAACCGACGGGACATCGAAAGCCGAACAGGACCCTATGCGAATGGATTTGTCCTTGAAATGCCCGGGGTAGCACCGCACCATCGAACTCCCTCCTTGGTCGCTGGCGGAGCAGAACATGATGATCCGGTTCTTATATGCTTCGTCAATGGCCTTTCCCAGGCCGTCAAACCGGCGATCACCGTCAGGATCCGAGTCTTCGATTGTCCAGCTCATACAGATCATATCCACGCCGCAATCCGTCGCCCACATGATTGCCTGAAAGATATGGATTAGCGTCTCCTCTTTATTCATTTATACCGGGGGTTCAGGGAAGTCGCCGGTGAGTTAAAAGGACTGTCCGGGTATCGGGGCGCTTACTTTCTCAGCTGACGCCGGGTTGATCACCCTGTTTCCGGACCTCGTGTATTGGTCATCTAGCCGGGCGATGTAGAGGTCCACCTCGGGACAAATCTGGCAGATAATGGAAGCAACTTGGGTACCGTGGTTACCTGAGGGGACATAGTAGTTGTCAATATACCCGGAGTAAGACGTGCAAAAAGACTGTCCGGCGACAACTCGACAATGTGTACGATCAATTATGTAGAGAGACGAATCAAGACCATCATCAATGATAGCAATCTTGACTCGGTGTTGTGGCGTGGTTGGTGACGTTTGTTCATTGCGTTTCACGTTGCGGAAGAAGCTGGTTAGCTCCTTCATCCGGCTGATTCTTTCACTATCGCTATCGTGATCACCTTGTCAGCTGCCATTTTGCTCGCTCTTCAGTGCTCTCTCATAGGGAATGCGGGTGGAAAGTGGCTGCAATCATTAATTACCTGGAATTAGCGATTAGTGTACTCCTTGACGAAGGATTCGCCCGCATGCCAACTGGCACTATGCCAAAGTCAACGTGTAGTTTGTCTTCTGTTAACTGGGCTGTCTTCAAGTCATCGATCTGAGTTTTCAAGTCGTTTATCTTGTTCTGCACAACTTCACTGTCGAGGGCTGTTGCTTGCTCGATGAAATTAACGGCTTCCATCGCAATCGCTCTAGCTTTCTCTGAGAGTTCTGCCTTGTGCCAGGACGCCCTGGATTCGAGGTTCTCTTTCACCATCCTGCCGCGGCTTTGAAGGGTTTGTTTATCCTCTTGCCCCTAGTCATTGGAGTTGTTAGTTGATAACTATCGCAACTCTGTACATGCGTGCTCTCGTGTCACTGGCAAGAAACAGACCTCGTGTAGATAAAGGTAGATGTTTCGAAGCTAGACATATGAATCAGGTAACACATTGTTAGCCGGCTAGGACACCACATACGAGGCATTTGGGGGGGGAGTCGATGGCATTCTGGTTTACCTTTGGAAATTTCGTTTTATTCCCAAACCCTCCCGGTGCACACCACCCTTGTAGAACGGCTTCGTTGCCTGAGGCTTGGAGTGATATTTCGCGGACAGAACCCGACGAAGCTCTAAAAACCACCTCACTAGAGAGATCCATCTTATCCCAGTCCCATTCCTCAACCTCGAATTTCTCTAGAGCTTTAATAATGTTTTCGTCGGTGTGAGATGGTAGCTCGCTGTCGAACACCGTGACTTTTTGAATCTTTCTAACGTGCCTCTTCTTCAGCCACGTAAAGATGGTCGTCAAGTCGGCGCCGGGTGCTTTTTGAAGGAGGGCGCTACGTAGGAGTGGTTAGCCATACCATGTTTTAGCTAGGCGACGACCGATCCACCTACGACCCGGCCTGCGAAGAGCTGCTGGTTGTCTCGACAGCTAATCTCGGCAACGCAACGTATTTCAGTGTCCTTTCGAATCTGACGTGGGTTTCGAGACTCTCGAGATAGTCTTGGGTAATCTTCTGCCGCGGGAAGCCCAGGAGGTTGAACTCGATAGCACGTTCTACTTAGATGGTGGTGGTTAAATAACAATAGCTGGGCTGAGAGAGGCTTTGACCTGGGTCGCGTTTGTACTGACCTTCGCCTCTCCGATACAGGTAGTCCATTGCCGTTTCCCTGGCTACGTCCCGAGATGCGACACAGTAGTGGCTGATGTAGGACGCGATGGGGTCGGAAATCACAAACTCCCGAAAGTCGTCGTTTCCATAATACATCCTTGCAATGGAGGATTCGATCTCGGTCGCGTCTTTTTCATGGTCGGGCTCGCCATCTTTCTCGCCGTCACTCATATACCCGGCGTTATCCTCGAGTGTTTCCAGTAAAGCGTGGTTTGGCTCTGCGATGTTGTTATTTGCAGCAGGAGGAATGCTTGATGTCTTCTTGGGTTGATGAGTCTGCCACTTGTGGAACTCGAGCGCCAGCCGGAATATGCGCTCTTGGTAGGGTGTACGATCACCCACGCCATTTCTGACCCCTAGTGCAGTAGGACATGCCTCCACAAGGACCTCGATGACTTTCTTCCAGTTTGCTCGCCTCATCCTACGCACATTGGGGCTTGTTTCCGGAAAGTCGGATCCGGAACCCCTCAGGCTTGTTGTGTCAATAGGCGCTTTCCTGACGGCAAGATGCAAAGGAGTGTTGCCTTTACTTTTCTCGCGCTCCTCGAACGGAGAGCGCTGTGGCTTGTCCCCGGGTTTCTTAGGGGAAGGTGGTTGGTACCGTCGCATGTGCTTGACCATTTCAAGGATGTGGAAGTCACCATCATCATGCACGTCAGCATTGTCGATGGCTGCGTGAAGACAGTACCTCCAAATGCTCTTTTCAGACTCCTTCCAAAAGATTTTACCGAGATTCGAAGGCGGCGGTTTGAGCTCGAGAAGCGCCTCCACGAATGACAGATTTCGGTGTTTGCCCGCACTAAGAGCCATCAAGATGGGTGTCCCGTCATTGAAGTCCTCCTCGAGAAGTTCTTCTCCAGCAAAAGAGTCCTTCTTCGTGTTGCGCTTCAGGCTGGGATTTGTAGTAGCCGAGGAGGGATCATCTTTGGGCTTCCGCAGTATCCGAGCGAGGACCGCGTCGAGGTCCTTTCGGGCCCATTCTTTGTCCTTGCTTTGGATGACCAGCTCGTGGAAGATGTTCGACTCAGCTTTAGCGATGCTTGTTGCGAGCCTCGCTTTGCGCCTTTTGAAGTACTGGGACTGCTCTATGCGCTTTGAGTCGTTCAAGAACTCGCGGTATCCCTCGTCACTAGGGTCGCGATTCACCAACTGTCTCAGGTCTTCACAGGTTTCGCCTCTCCTGAACAAGCCGGGACGATGGTGCGTGGTGGACTCCGCCGCACCCCTCTTAGGGCGATCGGCAAGGTTCGTAGAGGACCCTTGCCGCTTCTTCTTCTGGTTGCTCTCTTGATCACTGCCATCTTGAAACGTTTTAGACATAGTGAAAGAAATAGAAAACCATGACCGGTCTTTCTGTTTTCAGGGCGGATGTCGGAGGATACGAGGCACGAAAGACTGACGCATCTCACAAGAAAGCTCAGGATAACAGATGGCCAGCTGGAAGTCTCGGCCACTGTGCACCCAGAGTTATGCACAAGTCAGCACGGAGCCACGGACGGAGGTACGGTACCTCAGCTCAGGTGGTGTAGTACCAGGTATGTACGAAGTACAGTATAGTACATGCAAGGTCCCGCGGGGGTTTACTAAAAGTTGCCCAAGGGGAGACGGGATTGATCTGCCCAAAGGACCCCGAGGCTGCATGTATGCCGCTCAATACTACGACCTTGGAAGCGGCACGGGCACCACTCTGCATCTTGACGGGGGTACACCTATCGGTGAGAATACTTATACTTGATGCTTTATGTTGCAGTACGGCAAAAGGAATTCCTTGCCTGCAGAAGCTCTGGGTTACCCTATATAGTACAACACTTTACAGACGTGGGCCAGGCTGATGCTTCCATTCGTGGCGTTGCTATTACAGCAATGCATGGTCTCCGCAACCTAGACGCTCTACCTACTAATAATGGGCGTGAGCTGGCTTCCCCCAAGATCCGGGTCTGCTTAATGTATTTGCACCTCTCAACTCTAGTTAACTGTCATCTATATTCTTTTGTTTCATCTCGCGTCGAGGCATCTATCAGTCCCGTCTCACTGCAGCGTTGTGATGGAGTTCGAACTGGTACTTGAACCTGTGGTTAGAGCTGACCATGGGGAGGGTGTTGTAGCCGGGGAGTTTCGCAACCAGAACAAGGCAGGCGAAACATACCGGCGAACATTGATCGATACTCCGAAGTTGAGCCTAAAGGTCGCATTGCTAGGTCACGGCAAGATTGTTCCCGGCGGCTCCGAGGCAAGCCTACTGGTGTTCGACTTCCGGCTCACGCCATCCAAGACGACTCAGAGATTCAAGTGGGCGTCGTTTGAGGTCTTCTTCCACGATACCGAAGGAGACGACCTCGCAGATCCCGAAGTATATCGCATTTCCCCCGAAGGCACATTTGCCATCAACCCCTGGATCCTGTCGGCCAATGTGAAAAAAACATTCGAGCTTGGAGGGAATATCGGGCTCCCACAGGCCGGACTTAATGCTAGTGTTGGGCTGGAACGCGAGGAGACTAAGGCAGCCGAATACTCGGTCACCGTCATTGGACGGTCCATGGTGAGCGAAAGGGTGTCGGGCGAACCCAATACCGTCTATTGGGAGATGCACGAGGACAAAAAGAAGCATGCAGGGACGCCGACATTCCTCCGCACCGCTGTCATTCTCGAACGGAAAAAGCCAGGGCGAAGGTTCACCTTCAGTGTCAAAGCCGAGATCGATGCAAAAGTTACGCTGATAGACCAAGCGCGCAGCAAGACTGTCAGCTTCCTTGGACGCACTGGGAAGCCGCAGCCCGGTCTAATCGGCGATGTCGAGATTAACCCTCCCACCGACATCCTAAAAGCCCAGGATGAGGTGCTTTCGGTTTACGCGGACAAGATTGTGTGGGATAATCTGCATGGGCTGAATCTGCGGGGCGATGTGGTGCAACACACCGAGAAGGAGGTTCTCTGATCCAGCCAATCCAGGAGCGCAAGGCTCCGAAGGGGTCGCCGATAACAGGGGATTTGTATTGGACAAAGTCTCGTTTTCGTTGCGTAATGGTCCAATGAACAGGTTGAAGATTGAAAGTTCCCTATCTGCAGACTGCGTTCTTCCATTTCCAGTTTGGCTTTTGATTTGTGACCTTCGGGTGACGGACCTTGGGACTTGAGTCTTGAGGTGAGTGCAACGCCAGATGCTTATTAGCTCATGTAAGTAACTTCGGGTATCTGTGTTACTAATAATGGATAAGACGATAAGTACCGTGGACGCCAAAGCAGACACGGGATAGTCAGGGCCCGGGGGCTACCGAGACTCGAGAGGTACTATGTACGGGAGTGATTAACGTCTACTACTACTTCGGTAGGTACTTCTGCCCAGGTGACTAAGGTACCTTACATTTCTGGCGTCGCGTCTCTTACAGGGACCAAATTATAAGGTACCAGGTAGTCAGGGCCCAGGGCCTCTTTACACTCGCGCTTTGCTGGAACACAGGCACTTGTACTAGTACCTACCTTACATTCCCAAATCCCAAGTGCGTGTAGCAACTAGCAAGGCGAGTTGTTGGAGGCTTGTTGGGGCGTTTACTCGGCATCCCGGAGCACCTTCCCACAAGGTCACAAACAGCATCACGGGCAATCCGAGGCCGCAAACTCAGGTGTGAAAAAGACCATCTGCTGGTTCAACGTTGTCGGAAACGAGCCCACAACAGCCAAATGGAGGATCAAACCGCAGCGTTAGTACTCCTAGTTGTCACTCAAATCGTACGTACCTTCAGTTTTCGCAGCTAACCAGAAGGTTCGGGCCAAAATAGCCTCATCATCGTGACTGGCATCATTGATCGGCGGCAGTGGCTCGCGGTCGGCCCCGAAGTTGGCGATACGAAGTCCTACAACGGACCGTTTTGCTTCCTAGCAAAATCGTTCCGAAGCCTTCGAATCAGCGTCTTTCACACAGTCGAACCCAATCCCAACAGCGAAGATGATGATGCCATTATTAACCTTCCCGATATCAGGCAGCGATCTGTGGATCTTCTGCATTTCGTTGACCGGAAACATCGACGGAGGGACAAGATCACGCCGTCAGCTGCTAACACCGCAGGGAAGTTGGATGATTTAGCTTCTGATAGCGCCCCGCCAGTACTAATCTTCGCTGGCCACGACTTGGGTGGAATCGTAGTAAAACAGGTACCACGCTCCCCCAGCCCCGAGATATCTTTAACAACCAAATATGGGAATGAGAAACATCAGATGCTAACAACTCGATGCGTATCCGACTTTAGGCCCTTCTAACAGCTAATTCTAAAGCTCGCTTCGACTGGATTGTGAGCGCCTGTATCTCAGTGGTAAGCAAGCCAAACCCTTAATCTGGCTCGGCTCCCACCGCATATCGCTCTGTATTTGACTAGAGCACTAACGAAGTCCACACTGTGACCATACAGGTGTTTGTCGAAACGCCCCATTACGCACCGGACCTGCACGCGTGGGAACGGACCATATTGCGGATGCTGGGCCTCGTGGAGGGTAGCTTCGACTTTGTATCCTTCTTCAAATACCTGCCCGCTTTCGCCAGTCGGGTGGAGGAAGACTTTCAAGACGCTTTCGAAAGTTTGCCAGTCATCAACTTTTACACCAAGGCATCTCCGTTATACAATGTACGTACTTCAACCCGATCTCCGGCTTTCCTGGCCTTCCTGGCCTTCCGTATTCACTTGTGAAGGGAGACCGCTTGTCTAATGGTAGATCGAGTAGGTCACCAATAAAGGCGAAGGCCCTCTGCGATTCACAGGCCATGACAAGACGGAGCTTCTGGATTATGATATCTCGGAGTCCTGGTCCATCAGGGAACATGAATCGGCGGCCGAAACAATCCGCAAAGTCATGAGTGGAGGGATAGCAAACCGCCAAGGTAAGATTCAATTTGGGCCGAGTGTCTCATTTTCTCGTTCCTTGACTCGTTGCTTTTCTCTCAATTTGGTTTCCTGCGATGATAACTCATTCCAACTGAGCAGCCACTGCGAACGATAGCGACATCAAGAAGCTCTTATCGTTCCTGGCAGAAGTGACCCCCAATATGCGAGCACTTTGGAGCTTCGTCAACCGTTCGGTCTCGTCGGCCTTCAGCGAATGGATCCAGGAAACAGACTGGTACCGTGATTGGATGGCGAAAACGAGCAATAGTGTTCTCCATATTGCCAGTCCGAGCGGCTCTGGAACAGCCGCCCTTGTCTCCAAGACTGTCCGCAGGTTGCGGAGAAACGGAGAAATCGTCCTCGGATTTTCGATGCTTTCAGTTCCCGAGCACCTTCGCAGTGACGGCGAGGCATCCAGCGCAATCCTTTTCTCCGCCCTCTGCCAGCTTTTACTGCAGCAGGTTGCTCACAAAGGTCAACGATTCTTCCCTAGTTATCTTTCATTCTATTCACGAGCTCAAGAAGAGCTCTGCTTCACCAAAACGGTTCTAAGAGGTTTGCTCTCCTCTCTGCTGTCCTCCCAAGACTCCAGAAGCCCAGTTTTCTGCGTCATTCACGGCATTCACTTGCTCCTTGAGGATGATCAAAAACAGCTCTTCCGGGATCTAGAGATGATCATGGCGTCGTCTCAGCCATCCTTCAAGCTCCTTATTACTACAGACGGCCAGCCTCTTTGGCAAACGATACCGGAATTGCGGCACGGTAGTATCTCGATACAGTTGCAAGAGGCACAAGAGAGGCACGATGTGAGAAACAAGTACTCCGTTGCAAGAATTGAGCGTCTTGCGCTCTCGCGGCCAGTATGGAGCTTGTCTGAACCAAATTTGAAAAAGATGCTCGTCACCAAGCTGTGTGCCGAGTCTGTTACGATGCTCGAGTTGTCCTTGAAACTGGACTTGATCGAGCTAACAGAAACCGCCGAGACAACGTCAGACGTCGAGTCCATGATCTCCGGGCTCCCCCTTTCGCTTACCGGGATCGTCGATGCCATTTTCCAACGCCGTGCTCATCTTCACTCTGTGGCCTCGGCGGCTCTGGAATGGATTCTCTCCTCCTCAAGACCTCTCAGCCCGTCAGAATTGTCGGTCTGTGTCGGGCTGGGAATTTGTTCCTTACAGACAACAGAGTGTGGAAGTCTCAGGGGGAGAATTTCGTTGAATCCGTCCAAGGATCTACAACTGGCTCTCGGACCAGTCATCGATGTGTCGGAGGAGACGGTGCGACTGCGGCATCACTCGCTGGCAAATATACTTCGAGGACGGAAGTACTTGAAGATAGCCGCAGATTCTCATTTCCTCATACTGTCAGAGTGCCTCAGTTACCTGAAGCTAGTGGGAAACACATGGAGGGCATCGATAACTGGGCAGGAGGATCTAGAAGACAGCCGAGAGCTGCTTTTGGTCGAGTACGCGGCAGTTCATTGGCCGGATCACGGTTTTCTCAGCAACGACAAAGAGGGAGCTACAAGCCTAATCTTTGATTTTCTGCAATCCGCTTTCTTCGACACTTGGGTCGCCATGCTACTGTACTACAGTCCCCCCGTAGCTCTACACAGCGGTGCTAGAGTTGGAACGCCCTGGTCTGCTGTTGAGGCGGCCTGTTACTTCGGGTTCTCAGGGGTAGTTGACAAATTTATCGAAAAAACGCCGCCCTCCGAGTCTCTGCGCAAAGAACTTACCAGGGGCCTCGAATTTGCCACACAAAGAGGCCATGTATCCATCGTACAACGCATCCTGGGCGAGAAAATCCGGAGTAACGATGCGTTAAGAATCGCGGCTAGATTTGGCCAACGGAGCGTTCTGGAGGCTTTGATTCGCTCCTTAACACTTGACATCGAGAGCAAGGACGAGGCCGGGTTCAACCCGCTTCTCGAAGCCTGTCGTGGCGGTAACTTCGGAGTGGTAAAGCTTCTGATGCAGCAAGGTGCAAGTGTGAAGACTACCAGCATCACGGGTCTCACTCCGCTACACTTGGCCTGCAGGACTGGGCAAGCGGAGATCGTTGGGGAGCTCACTACCTCCGGAGATGCCCTTCTCAACTCTAAAGATCAGTTGGGCTATACGCCTTTGATGTATGCTGCAGAGGGCGGCTTCGAACACATTGTCCAGAACCTAATATCCGGACTCACGGTTATGAAGTCCGATCCAGAGGAGGAGGACTGGTCACTCGAGGTTGAGCTGGACCGAAGTACATCAGAAGGCAACACCGCTTTACACTTGGCAACTTCCAATGGCCATCTGAAAACGGTTGATTTATTACTGCGAAGGGGAGCAAGCCCGGCCAAGGAGAACGGGATCGGCTACACTCCACTCCATCTAGCCGCTAAGTTGGGCCTACTGGAAATTACCAAACTCCTGATCAACGCATCCCAAAAGGCGACTTCCCAAGAGGATGACATGACAGCGATGTCGCAATCATCCCTGGTTGCGGCAGATAGTCCCCTCAAATTGGCTGTCGCAAACCGACACATCGGTGTCGTCAGGGAACTTCTCCGTTCTCAGCTGCACAGGAGCCCGGAATCAGCATTCCAAGCGGTGTCGCATGCATGCAAAGCCGGCTATCTCGATACTGTCATTGATATACTGGTGTGGTACAAACAGCTTGACCCCAGTAGTGCGGTACTGCGGGATGAGCACGGCACCACCGCTCTGCACCTGGGAGCTCAGTTCAAGAACCTGACGCTGGTTGAAAAAATCCTTGTCGGAGGCCTAGTGCCGGTAAACTCACCTGACAAACTCGACTGGACGCCGCTACACACCGCAGCCATGCATGGAGACGATGAAATTGTCAAGACTCTCCTGGCCTGGAAAGCTTCAGTGCAGAGCGAGACCACTGACGGGATGACTTCGCTTCACTTGGCTGCGCGGCATGGACACGCGGGTGCGTGTCAAGTGTTGGGAGAGAAGTGCAAGGAGTTGCTCCGAGCCAAATCAAAGGATGTCGACCTCCCAGTCTTTCTCGCGGCCAAGGAAGGCCATATTGATGCAGTCGGCGCACTTTTGCGCCTCGCACCTGAAACGGGACAGCAAGGCCTTCTCCACCTAGCAGTGCAAAGCGGCTCCCAGGCGCTCCTCGAAACAGTCCTGGACACAAAACCAGAGCTGAACTGGGTATCCAGCGACGGAGACACTGCTGCTCACCTAGCTGTGTCAGAGGGGCATATTTCCATGATCCGGAGTCTGCACAAGGAAGGCGCAGATATGACAAGGAAGGATGGAAAAGGCAGAACCCTCCTATTTCGGGCCGTTGAAGAAGGGAATGTTGACATGGTCAAGGCCCTCACTGGCTTGGATACAAACCTCAATCCCGATGAGACCGACGAGAGGGGCCTTACGCCGTTCCTTCAGATTTGTGCATCCTTCTCCTACACCCCCAACGTAGCCATCGAGCTAGCCCGCGTACTCCTCACCAAGTACGGCACCGCGGTGAACATCAACGCTACTCATCCAGACTCGGGCAGAACTCCCTTACACTTTTCTATATATAACCAAATATATAACGAGGACTCAGAAGACCTGACTATGCTTCTTCTTGAAAACAATGCAAATCCAAACATCCGGAACCACAGAGGCTCGACACCCATTTTCCTCGCTGCTGAGTTGGGTAAATTCAGAAGTGTCGAAGCACTTATCCAGCGCAACGCAGAAGTGTCGATAAAGAACAAGAGCAACACGACTCCCCTTCACAGAGCTGCGGGTGGCAATCACGCTGAATGCGTCAAGCTGCTGTTAGAGCACGGAGCGGGCGCGGATTTGGACCACAAGAACAACTATGGATACACACCACTTGCCCTGTCAGCAGTGAATGGCTACACAGAGACCGTCAAGATGTTACTAGAACATGACGCCGACTGGAACATTGAGAACGACGACGAGCTCACGCCGCTAGCGATAGCAGCAGGAGCCGACGAGGAGGAGACTGTGGACGAGCTCCTCAGGGCCATGGCACGTAAACCATCCGACATCCATCAGACCATCCGACGTGCCGCGATAAATGGTCACGCTGATATCGTGGACATGCTTGTGCGCAAGTATGGTGATCCGAACATCGGTGACGAGACGCACGGCTCGATCCTGGGGTTGGCAATCGCGCGGGAACAGTATGACACCGCCAAGATTCTCCTCGCCATACCGGACGTCAATGTAGACATCAGGGACCCGGTTGGACGGACCCCGCTATTCATGGCAGTCGAAAAAGAAAACGTTGAGCTTGTCGAGGCGCTGACAGCCGCAAGCGCTGACCCGAATGCCAATACCAAGGAGGATATCTGCGCACTGACCCACGCAATCACAAAGCAGAACACGACAATTGTGAACCATCTCCTAGGAGCCAAGGATATTGACCTGACCCAGGTAGATGGCCGGGGCTACGGCGCCCTGTACTGGGCAAGTCGGCGAGGTACCGATGAGATTTTCACGCTCATCCATGAGGCAGCCAAGAAGCATCCGAGCTACAACTCGATGTGTCAATTAGCAATTTACGGCGCGGTAGCCTCCGACAACCACTTTGCGTTCAACGCCCTGGCGGAACAGGGCATCGACTATGACGCTCCCGATGCCGACGGTTGGACGCTGCTGTACACGGCAAGATGCTACGAGCTCCCCAGCATGGAAAAGAAACTTATCGAGAAAGGGGCAGAGAATGAGGCTCGGCCAAAGAATATCAAGACACCCACGGCATGGCATGGCACAGACAAGGGCGCTGGTTTGTCAACGGACCAGGCATCTCCCAACACGATTGTAGTCCAAGGTAACATAACCACGATCGTGTTCCTTCCGACAGTTGCTTACAAAACTTTGGATTCAGAGATGTCTCGCCAGATGAGCGATGATGATTATCGAAACAGCGTGGCTAGAGCTGACCATCCCCTCCCGGGAGACGAGGATTGGTATTTCGAAGTCACGATCCAGCAAGGCTACAGATATGATGACGATGAACAAGATGTGGGGTGGGTCGAGCCCAGCCACCTTCCCGATACCAACTGGATAAGGCAGCAAGGCTAATCAAAGAGGATAGGCCCCTTGGTGTAGGCATTGCCGAAGATAGCACGGATCGATGGCAGTGGCTCGGCTTCGGCGACGACGGCGAGGGGCACTCATATGGCTTTCATGCCGACGATGGCAATACATATCCGTATCAGGCGACCAAGCAGATGAATAATGGGGAGTTTTACCGTCAAGATGATACCATCGGATGCGGCTACGTTCGAAGTAGCCGGGCAGTTTATTTCACACGAAACGGAAAGCGACTAGGTGAGTACCCCTTACTAAGTAGCCTTTCTCGGGTCCCATTACCCCCTTTTCCCATGGGGAAAGGGGAAAGAATGTCGGTGGCTCGGAGCATTAGGGATTCAACAATTCTAACCGCTCCGTCACATATACTTAGGCCAAGCATTCGACGGCGTCCAAGGGAAGTTTTACCCTGCCGTGTTTATGCTGACTTCCCAAGTCGGCGTCTCCATATCGGCCAACTTTACGAACTCGCCGCCATGGAAATTCGACCTCAAGTCACCGCGACTGCGGCCAAGCGAACCTCCGGAACAGGAGAACAGCGACGAGGATTCGAACGGGGTGGGCTCTCCCAAATCTTCAAACGACGGATCCTTATTCGGTAGTGATGATGATGACTAGCTGAGATGGTCCTCCTGCAAGTTGGGATTTGGATGTTCGAATAATAAGTTGTATGACCATTTGACCCTTAAAGATAGGTATGCACATGAAGGACGTTTCGAAACAATTTGCATCAGTCTATACGTTCTGCACCTGTTTCGAGCGCTGGATGTAACAGGCTAACAGTGAAGTCCTTGGTCGGCCGTTGGCCGCCAATATCTGTTGGCTCGAGCTTCGGTTTCCACTCTGGGGGCCAACTCTAAAGAGTTGGTGCCAAAATATTCGGACAGATAGTGCAATGTATGGATTTCCTGTACGAAGACTAACAGGCTGAGCAGTCGCATTCAATTGTAGACCCGAAATACTAGTAGCATTTTCAAGAAAAAAAAGATGACTATTGGATCCGCCTTGAAGAGGCGACTTGAATGATACCTCTTATAGTAGGTTGCATCCTATTACTCTTGGAGTTCTTGGTGAATTACTCTTTTTCTTGGTGAATGTTCGGTGTTCTTACCCGCATCTCGAAGTCAAGTAACTCTTACAAGAACACTTAAAGTACAGCACTTTCACTAGGAACTCGATAGCAATAAGATACAACCTACTATAATAGGTATTATTCAAGTCGCTTCTTTAAGGCGGATCCAATAGTCATCTTTTTTTTCTTGAAAATGCAGTATTTCGGATCTACAATTGAATGCGACTGCTCAGCCTGTTAGTCTTCGTACAGGAAATCCATACATTGCACTATCTGTCCGGGTATTTTGGCACCAGCTCTTTAGAGTTGGCCCCCAGAGTGGAAACCGAAGCTCGAGCCAACAGGTACAAGTCGCCTGCGTCGGCCCCTGAACGAGGCCACCTGAACCTTGCCCACGATTGTTGACGAGAATCATGCCCAAGGTACTTTACCTAGGAACCTAAAGTAGGAAATGTTCGCTGGCAAGTACTTCATTTTATACAAGCTACAATAGAACTCCTAGGGAACGAATTGTGACATTGTGAACTGCACGGCGTCATCCCCAATCCTCATCCTCAACCAGTGCCTGCGACTCTGCGAGTACTAGTACCACTGGCAACTCCTGAAACGCAGCGCCAACAATGGAAGTACCTTATCCAGCACGAACTTCAGACAAAAAAGCCAGCTCTCTATTGGGTCATGTCTGCGATTTTCGAGAACCGGTGTCGATCATCGATGCGACTTTAGCTGTGCCATCTCGCGTCGCGGCCGGGCCACATCTGGCCACAGCCCACAGCTTATCCGACCAGAGCGCTGAGTACCTGGCTACCTTAAGGTATTGTACGAGCAATAATTCCATAAACTTCAGAATCATCACAGACCATGGCGACTTACATCGCATATGCAGCCATGCAGCTATCAATTCCACCGGCCCATGACCTGTTAGTAGGCACTGGATACCTCTCAGGCTCTCACGACTCAACTCCGGTATATGATATATCTTCACGCATCAGAACTTACGTCCAATCGTTCCAGTGTGTTCTGCAAGGAAGCTTTCTTCAACTCACTTCAGACGGAACGTCCACGGCCTGTCACACCAAAAAGGGGTACACCTACATGTACCCGTAGCTGCTTTACACACTGAGTGGTGACTGCAGTCGCCACTTCACTCAACCATCAAGATGTCCCGTAGCGTCATTCTCAATCATTCCGGTTGGGACACAATAGACCTCAAGGACACGCTAAGCCCCCCGCTGTACAGCACATTCCTCCATGAGCTCCTCACCAATCTCTATGAAGAGAAGCCCGCCGGCCCAGCACAAAACGAAGCGCCATCTACAACAAAGAGCTTTACAAACACCAACTTCGGCACCAACCCTCCCCTACCACCAATCTACCGCAACCTCTCACGCACATCTGTTCCTACCCCCTACACCTACGACTACGACCATGACTACGACGACGATTCCGAGTATTACCATGACTACTGCCACCATCAAGCCTTCACCACACCCTATCAGAATTACGGTTACCATGCATCCGTACATGCACATGTACATGTACACACAGTACACTCAGCAGCTAGTAGCGGCAAAGAAAACTTGAACAACAGCTCGAACATGATGAACGAACCGTGCTACTATGAAACCCTCGACTTCGAAGACTACCTCCATCCCAAGCATCCCAACCACCACGCGACTCAGAGTCCATCGTCACATGCACCAGCCCCCTTTCCGACGCAACCACCTCCCTACTACTCGTCCACCACCTGCCCCCCTTACTCCCAATACCACCATCACCACCACCACCACCACCATCAACGGCATAGCGGCGATACCGAAAAACAACTCGCCAGTCGGTTGGTGGAGGCGTATCGGACCATCGCCCCAAAACCACCTAAAGCCCTCCAGATGGACTTAGAGAAAGGCTTACCTGAAGAATTCAATTCTGAGTTCGGAATCGCCCGCAGGGAGCCAGAGCGGAGTCGGGGCTTGGGTGCCGTATTCAATGTTATAAGGACGTTCTTTCTCGCCATGCTTGTGACGTTTGTGCTGCTGGCGATGAGAAGGGTCGCAGGGAAATGGGGGAGAGCAGGGTGCGGTGAATCATGGCTCTGTGGAAGGAGTCTGTTAGGGGATCACAGCACGCCTCTCATGGGTATGTTAGATGCAACCGCTGGCAGTCGGGGCCGGGAATAAGTATAATACCTGGGCATGTATCAAGGCGCCCGGCGGTTTAACTTTGGCGTTTGGTTTCTGTCATTTATTGGGAATTGGGACAAAGGAGCAAGGGGCATTGTCAAGTGGACGGGTTAGTACTACTAGTATACTGCCCAGTGTGGATTATTGGTGCTAGTATTCAAGGCGGCAGCCAAATGAGCCGTCATACTACCTCTTACTAGCTTTGGTCTTCCTCTTGACGGCGTCTACCAGAGTGCTTAGTTCCCCTGCAACCCCATCCGCCTTGGCCTTCTTGGAGCTTCTGTCGCCCTTGGTACCGTCGGCTGAGTCGTCAAAACCAGCTTTCCGCTTCTTCCTGCCTTCTTCCAACAGCTTCTTCATCCCCTGTGTTGCCTTGTACTTGGGGTTCGACGGGTCGATGGCGAATTCGTGGCTCTCAAACACCGCCTTAAACCGCGGGTCTTCCACATCCATCTTGAACTCCTCCTGTAGGCCGCCTTGGTCCTCGGCTGCCTTCTTGCCCTTCTTCTTCTTCTTGCCCTTGTGCTTCTCGGCACGCATAATCTCCTTCATATCGAAGTGGTCAAGATGCTTCCCACCACCACCCTCGTCAGCCATAAGAAGCTCCAGCTGGGCCTTCTGCGCAGCATTCTCAGCCTCCTCCTTCTCCCGAGCAGCCCGCTTCTTGAGTCGCTCTTCCTTTCGGATGGTTGACTTTGACGGCTGCGCCGGCTCGGAGGTGAAGAATGGATCGTCAAAACCGAGATCTTCAACAGGCTCTTGAGCTTTCTTGACTTCAACCATATCATCCGGGTCGATGCCATCCCTCTTTGCCAGCGCTTTTGCTTTCCGTCTCTCCCTCCGCTCTTTCTCCTTGCGCTTATACTTTTCAATTGTGGTTTCCTCAGCCTCGTCTTTCTTCTCCGGTTTCCCTGAAAGAGCTGGGGTGAATGTTATTTGCATCTCTCCCACAAAGCCGGATTTTGACGGCTTCGGGGCAGGCTCATCGCTGAGGCCGAGCGCTGCTCGCAACTTGCGCCTTTCGATCTCTTTCTTGCTTAGCGGCGCTCCTTCTTCTGCGTTTTGTTCTTCTGCTGGAGCACCCATATCCTCTCCATCATCGCTTTCGCTGTCACTTGCCAGGTATGCACGCAGGTCATTTTCTGCTATTTCTGACCGACTACCCGTAAAGGCCTTCTTGATCGACTCCTTCCTCGACACCTCTTCCGGATGCATGTCCCAGGTGAGCTTGACTTTGGAATGCTGCAAGGCGTCCGTAACAAACTCGATGGGCTTATATCCGGTGGGGACACTGTCACACTCGTCCGAGGGTTCATCATCGAATGTAACGTCGTCAGGGACGAAGCGCAAATCAAGGAAATTGGACGAGGAAAGGTACTCTGTGCCGTCAGTCGCTTCGTATATCTTGTGTGCTGTGTCCTTGTCAGAGCAAACCACTACAGCGTAGTAGTATCGCAATCGGTCGAGCTGGTAGGTCCTTAGGGCGTCGCTATCAAAGTCTTGGTCGTTTCCCTCCTTCAAAAGCTCCTTTTTTACCTCCTCATCGGAGTCTTCGTCGGTATCCTCATCGCTCGCGCTGTCGGACTCGGAGTCGTCCGAATCGTGGGAGTCCTTGGCATTCTTGAAAATCTCCTTTGGAGGACCTTCCAACTCCTCACGCTGCATCCGCTCCTTACCGAACTCGCTGGGGTAGATAGATACTTTGTCGATGCGGCCGCCAACTGGCACAAAACTTGAAAACAAAGCCATCAAATCTACAGCTTTGATGTGGTCCCAGTCCATGTTGACAACCGCAAACCGGTTCGTGACCTCGCCAACCTCGACCTCCTGCTTGTCCCTGCGCAGACGAATACCAGGCCGAGATTCCTCAACTTCGTCCACCGGTTCTGGCTCGTCCGATTCGGAGGCAGAGTCAGAATACGAGTCTGAGTCGGACTCGGACTCGGAAAAACCGCCGCCACGAGCAGGGTCGTATTTCGCATCCGCCTTCTCCAACTCGCGACGCACTATATCGTCGTCCTCGACCTCAAAGTCCTCGTTGGCATCCTGGGCCTCCTCATCTTCCTCCTCTTCGTCCTCGTACAGCCTCTGAAGCGCCTTCTTTTTCACGTCCGACTTCACCTTCCGACCGTAGCGGTCGACCTTTGCGGTGGCAACAAAGTCGGCATCCTTAAGCACCCGCGAGAAGCGTTTGTCGAGCTTGGTCTTAAGTTTTTTCTTAGACGGTAGTTGGAAACGCGGGTCCGTCTCAAAATTGGCAAAACGGGAGTCGGTAATGCGCCCGGCTGAAGAACTGTCGCGCTTTTCAGGTTTACTTTTCGGCATTTTGGAAGGAATTCGGGGATCGCAACCCAAGATCCGGGGTTCATAGACCGAAGGTTCCTAGGAACTGCAATCGCTGGAACTTGGAAGTTCAGCAAGATTTTTGGTGGGGCCTCTATTCTGCCAAAAGCGGTCTAAAAGGCGGTTCTGTATATTACATGCTTGTAGAATACTGGTGTACTGTGCACGGTACGATACAGTACGCCTCAGTACTCACTGTGCAGATCTAAATGTACTGTACTTATACTGTACCATTAACCCTAACCCTAAACCTTGTTCATTGGATCTTACCCCGCCCAACATGTTTTTCCAACCTGCACCTAAATGTTTTCTTGCGATCCATCCCACTATAAAATGGCGCTCATTCATTCTGAACACGACCTGCCATCTTATTGAGCCCTTGATAACCGAGTCTTGTCATCCGTTCTACTTTGTGAACCACATCCTCGATTTGCTGTGACGCCAATCTGAACACGACGACCTGACCGTTGTTAGTTGATGCACTACTGAACGAGGACGAGGCAGACATTACCGGATCAAGCTCGAGTCCATGCCCACACACCCAACGCCGTCATCGCGACAACCCCGCATACGACTGCTAAAGTGTGGCTTCTTTCTCTGGGATCTTCTTGCACGGCCTTCTCGTCATCCGAGTACGGATTGAGCCGTGTATAGCTGTCCAAATTCATGGCTGTCGCGGCGCTTTCGTCGATGGATGATAACTGAAGGCGACCTCAGATTCAGGATGGGACAAGAATAAGGCAAGCAACTTTGATGTGGAACCCCGCTCTTCCCCAGAACTCCAAGTACAGTGAGATTCGAGTTGTATGTATATGAGCGGCCAAGTGGCCGCTCTCTTTCACATGAATGTAATGTGTCAGGTTGTCACGTAGCATCATGTGGCCGCATTCCAAGACCCCGGCGATTGCCCATTCAGGTCTCTCGGAGTGGGGACAAAGCTTACAGGGCGAGCATGCCAGCGCACCATCACCTTCCTTCCACGGCGAGGTCAGGCTGTATGAGTTGCGAATCGTGCAACACTACCTCCTCTGCCTTCAGATTGCAGCGAACGCCTAGCCTGGCACCTGGCTTGCCACGAACAACTCCCAATGATAGGTTCTCAGGCACTGTGGGAGAATTAGCCAGCACCTGGACTGCTTCCGTCCGCTGTCCACATCCGAAGCGCAGCCTTTGACTCTGAATCGGAGTATTCGGAGCATTTCGAGACATAAGTTCTCTGCTTACCGTGCTTCGTTTGGAGTTCTTACTAACCTAGGCGCACCTCCGAACCGCTTGAAGGATCTCAGGGACTCCCGAACCTGCGGGTTCCTATTAACTTCCTAGGTTATCGTACCATAGGTATTCAAGTACGACCTTCAGCACTCCAGTCGTGGTACTCCGAGTGAGCGCCACATCTGTCAATGCAACTTGACTCGGAATACACCCGGATATTTATAGATAACCTTATACGGTAACCATCTTCCCTATCACTACTTTGAAGAGCCCTTTCCCGTCTCAACATGCCCTACATGGACATTCCAAGTCTTCGAAGGACTTCCCCTTCCCCAGGGGCACTACCTGGCAGCACCTGCTTCCACTGCCCAAAGCACCCGAGTTAAAGGCCTGCCAGGTCCATACATCTCCCCTTTCGGGCATAGGACTATTATACAGCGAACCATTGCGAGACCACAATGATCAGTCTCATTTCTATGAGTCCATTTTGGGGACGAGCCTCGTTACCTAGGGAGTAATCAAATAACTTTAGCCATTCTCTCGTTCCGTATTATCAAAGAAGTTCTCTGCCAATTTGTGGCCCTGCCGTGGTTGCGAAACCGCTGTTGTATAGGTGGACTCTCAGGTTTGTCGTTGCTTTTAGTTTTAGGACCACAAGAGGACAACTTGAAAGATGCATCTGACGGGCTAATCCGGTATCGAAATGTCAATATATCACCAACTAGGTAGGTACCTAGGTACTAACAGTATGAGTAGGGCACATACAAAACCTGGAAGTATCACGAATTCAACTGGAACTAAACCATCCTTTCAAGGGCATCAGAGACTCCGAGGTCCCAGTTTCAATTATTACAGTAGCACCGGCCACATACGTAGATTAGGTATCCAGACGGTTCAGTTTACAACCTGAGCCAGAAGACCACCCTTGATGCCCCCCTAATGCCCATGACTCTCCATCCTTCAATATAGAGACGAGGTAGTGGAACGTGATGTCAGTAATGAAAGCAGCTTGAAAGAATAGAGCCGGAGACACCGGATTGAGCAGACGATATCGTGCTAAAAAATGCAAACCCAAATTAAGGTATGGTTGAGACACTGCTGTCTGGGTATATGTAAGGACACGCCTAGGTATCTACATAATCATCTCAGAACTGGAAATGAAGCAAACAGCGTAGGAAGCTGTCCGACAACAAACGATGGTAGCAGCCGACCGTATTGACGACTCGCTATCGGCCTGAAGCTTGAACGGATACACTGTTCCTTATCATCGATTCAAGTTTCTTGTTTCAATACGGAGGGCTAGGGGCCACATATTTCGTCGATGACTTCAACTCTTCAAGTTTTGGCACCATGGCGGATGGTTCTTACCTCACATGACAATAAAGCTACTAATACTACCAGTAGGTCTGTAGCCAGAGGTAGGTGGCATGAGCTCGATTAGTTTTGCAGCTTTGCTACACTATAAGCACGAATTCTTAGCACTCTGCTTGGACTATGACCAACAGGTAGGTTACTAAGTAACACAGATCGACCTGGTGCTCATCGGCACATAGGATCTCATATCGTGCGCTTTACCTGGTAATAGTATCCCTTCGAATCTCCATTCAGATCACAAATCTCCTAGAACAATTCTATTGCAATCAAGATGGTCATATCTTTCCGGATTCCAAGTAACTGAAGAGAGCGAAATACTGGCACTTTGCGGGAGTTCGAGGCAGTTCCAGGTTTCCTGAAAGGCGGGGGGCGGATGCCGGAGACATCTCGGGCACTATCCACAGGGAGGCGATGATTGGTGAAGGCATACCTCCGTACACCTTTGCGTCTCTCAGCACGGATCCTTCTCGGGCATATACTGCTCTGATCAGGCAGGATGACAGTGATCGCGATGTTGAAGATCTAGCTCTATTAAAGCAAACGCTCTGTCTCGTAGCTGGGCTTGCCTAGAGGTGGTGGGATCACAGTAAAGTCAACATTTACAAGCATTCCACCCACAGCACAACTATCAGTACATTGATTCCACGCTGCACTATAAACATGGCGGCCACCACAAGGACCGGAAACTCCGCGGAAGCCATGCTGCAAAACTTGAAGATGGTATTCAGCAATACGACACTGGCATCTAATGCGTGGGAGGAGACTCTCCTCGACAATGCCCATCGCGTCAGCACACCTCTGGCATTGAGGATGTTGAGCCAGATGGGTCTAGGCAGAGAGACCACAAAGCCGTTTAGGATCCTTGAGAACGCCTGTGGAGCCGGAGTTGTTGCGCCGCTTCTGCAGGAAATCATCAAGCCCGATGTCCTGAAACAGAGCAGCATCCTCTGCGGAGACTTCTCCGAACAGTCGATTGCGCTGGCAAAGAAGCGGATTGAGAAGGAAGGGTGGGTTAGCACGGAGGCCAGGGTGGTTGATGCTCAGGTAAGCTAAAGGCCTTGTCCCATTGCTTCTTGGTTTATGACTGACCGCGTTCGAGAAGAAAACGGGGCTTGCCGACGGCGCTTTCACGCACTGCGCGACAAACATAGGCTTCCATGTCGTGCCCGACTCAGAGCGAGCCTTAGATGGTAACACACCACTATTGAACAGCAGCCGGGGACAGTTCGACGATGCTAACGAGTGTCGGCAGAGGTAATCCGCATCCTGGAGCCAGGAGGAGTGCTCGGCTTCACGACCTGGCACAGGGACACCGCCTGGGTTATGGATATCAAGGAGGCGTTCGCCAGCTTTCCGTTTGAAGCTCCCTTCGAGCTTCCACTGCAGTTAACCAAATGGGGTCAGTGGTCCGACGTCAACTGGGCCCGGAAGACGCTCGAAGCGAAAGGCTTGCAAGATGTCAAGGTCGACGTGTTCGCCTACCTCAGCACCGTGGACAGCACCGACCACGCCCTCAAGGGCACCAGCATGATGATCCAGTGGGTGATGAACAGCTGCTGGACCGAGGAACAGAGGGACCAGCATTCAGCAGAGGAAGTATCGGGGCTACTCAGGCAGTATTTCGACAAGAAGTATGAGGGAAAACCTTGGCAATGGAGTTGGGTTGCCCTCATTGCCAGCGGTCGGGTGCCAGCTTAGCTTAGGCGTGTGCGGAAGACTGTATGTAGGAGGCAAGGTGCTCATTTGGTAGGATACTGCGGTTAGGTGTGAAATGGAGTTTGGGTTTGGGCAGCAAGGGAATTCCAGACCCCGCATCGGGTGCATCCACACTGTTTTCCCGCAGGGCTGAGATTGATTCGTGCAGACCACGTGACGAGATCGCATCGTTCAGCTCCCCCCTCTCAGGAAAGCGCGCTGGGGAAATCCAGAGCGCGTAGGTTTGAAGGCTGCAAGAGTTCTTTCCACGTCTGCTGCGCGCCGCAATCCTTGATCGCTGCCTGTAACGGAGACAAAAAGCGAGCAAGATAAGTTGCTGCAAACCGCCCTTGTCTGCAACGACGGCGCGCAAAAGGAGAGCTCGCCATTGAGCTCAGCTACTGTCGCAGGCACAGTGCGCGCTCCCGGCGACTGGCAGCCACAGCAGAAGGTTCATTCAAGCTTGCTTGTTGCCAAATGGCGGACCTCGGTCTCCCGCAAAACCAACTCGCAACTCTCCTCAACGCCTTGGCGTCCATCGATCGTCGCCTAGCACGCATCGAAGGAGTCCTGAAAATCTCAAACTTTAATCCCAACACCCCGTCCGCCGGCGCATCCTCCTCCACTTCGACAACCGTCCTTGCGACCCCCGTCCAGACCGGGCCTATTCCAACAGCCCCCCCACAAAACCCTCAACACCCCCAACCCCACAACGCTGCTCATCCCCATGCGCTGCAGCACCACCATGCCCAAGCTCAGTCCGCAGGTGCGGGAGCTGTGGTCCTCAGCACGGCCAGCACTGGGCAGACACACCTCCTTGGGGGAGGCAGCGGCGGCAATGGCAGCACGGCAACCGTGATCCCGATGGAGCCTCCTCCGCAGGGCTACACCATTTCCTCCCGGGCAACCATGCAGGAGGAGCTGGACCAGTGGACGCTGCCGCGGGGATACAGCATGCGGATCGCGGGGGCCAAGGTGACGGGCAAGCGCAAGGTGCGGTGGGTGTGTTTCCGGGGCGGGGAGGCGCGGCACCACCGGCCGCCCGTGGACGAGTCGGTGCTGCTCAAGGCCAAGGCCGAGGGCCGGCGCAAGCCGACCACGGACCGGAGCAGCAAAAAGTGCGGCTGCCTGTTCAAGTTTGAGGTGGTCGAGACGGCCAAGGACAGCGACGTGTGGGTGCTGCACTACCCCAACGAGGAGCACAAGGTGCACAACCACGGCCCCTCGGACGAGACGAGCGATCCGCGCGCGAGGAAATTGCCCAGCTTCATGTCCGCCGAGGTGGACCAGTGGTTGAGGGATGGCTGGTTGGTGAGTAAGATCCAGGAGGAGCTCAGGGCTAGGGGGTTCACGAACGTGCTCAATACGGATCTGTATAACCGTAAGAGGTTGTTGAAAAAGGAGGCAGGACAACTGATGAGCTGAGGTTACCATCCGGGGTCTGAGTTCGGATGATTGGCGTTATTTCGGGACATTGAACGAGCATGGCATGCTGCGGGCCTAAGACCAGCTGAAGACGGGATGATAAGATGGCATTGTGGGAAGGCGTTAGACGGGGTTCCGGGGGTTCTCAGTCCCGGCGATGGCAGGTATAAAGGCCAGACCACTAGGTGGAAATGGAATAAGCATAGACTTAGAAGAAATGAAATCTACACGGATCATCAGCTCAAGTAGGAGAAAGGTACTAGTACTGGTAGTACCTAGAGAAACTGGGACCTGTGATTCATGTGCTGGTTAGATGTGAACCTGCCACAATCCAAGACCCAGGATACAGAGCCAAGACTCTGTTTTTGGTAGGTAATAAAAAAGCGACCGCTGCTAGTCTTGTCTGGCATTAGAGGGTGCATGTATAAATTGGATTTGGTTGGGGTAAAATCAAGTCTTAACACTACCTTCACTCATGCATCCTCACTTCAGTGATCAAGTGGAGTTCAAGTTCAGGCACACCTCGGCTTGAACTTGAATCTCACACGCACCGTGCAAACTTGGCGCGTTACTGTGTTGGTGACGTGCCTTATCTTATCGCTTCACGGCAGGCCTGCATCTTCATCGAAATTGGAGTGAGCTTCTGTTTCGCTAACAAATCTGCGAACTGCGCTTCCCTCGAGTCCAGGTCGTATCCTTGCACGAAGATTGCAGCGCATCGCTGATGCTGCTATATAACACGGTCCTGAATTCCAACTGGTATTGAATTAACTTTTCGGACGCAGAACACATAAAGGCAATCAGGAGTTTCTAGGCGCACTACGCGCTCATCAAGCTCGTCGCGATTCCTCCCCGCCTGCGTTCAAATTGAACTACGATAAACGCCGTTCCACATTTGCGCATGGTCGCGGGGCCTCGGACTCTCTCGTATCTTCCTCCCAGCGGCCGGGATGGCGCCTCAAGTGGCCCAGCCGGCAGCCGCCGTACACAATGGGCCAGCTCCCGACGACAGCAATCCCGTTGGGCCCCCGTCTGGTCTCTCCTCGATACCTACCCAGTACACCTCGGAGCAAACACTCAGGCAAATGCTGAAGAGCATTGGCTACGATGAGGCGCGTGAGGACGGCTATCGGCTGAAAGGCATCCAGCTTATCAACAGCGTTCGACAAAGCTTGCACCTGTACGTCCGTTTCCTCCTTCAGCCATGACTGTGAGTCATTTGTGGCATCTGCAAGTCACTGGCTGACCCCAACCGCGAATAGACCAGTCAAGACCTTCGATACAGCTGCCATATACTACCACAAATTCCGCATACGGTTTCCGAGTAACGAGTACAATTACGAAGATGTCGCCCTGTCAGCGCTTTTCGTGGCCTGCAAGGCCGAGGACACAGTCAAGAAGTCTAGGGAGATTCTTTGTGCGGCACACAACCTCAGGCAGCCCCATGACCGCAAGATGCCAGACGACAAGGTGCGTGCTTTCACGAAATATAGCCGGAAAACGGCTTTGGTTCTTTTAGGCATGCTGACCGCCACGCAAGATATTCGAGGGCCCGTCCCGGTTTACCGTGGGGCTAGAGCGTCACATCCTCGAAACTATTGGTTTCGATTTTCGCGTTCAGTATCCTCAGAAACTTTTGATCAAGATGGTCCGGGAAATATTCCCACGAGAGGATTTCAACAAGGGGGGTGAGGGGAGAAGGTTCCTCCAGGCTGCGTACGACATGTCTATCGACCTGTACAAGACCTTCGCGCCCATCAAGCAAACAACTTTCACAATGGTGCTAGCAATCCTGGAGCTGACGGCATTAGTATTGGAGACAAGCCCTGAGAAAACCGAGAGGTTGAAGACGGCGACCGCATGGCACGCGGAGAGGGCATGCGTACTCGAGACGATGCTGGATCTGTTGGATCTGTACACACAATTTCCTAAATCCACCAAGATCGGCAGCCAGTTTGATCTTAAGAACTTGATAAACGTCAAGATTGACATCAACGCCACCGTCACCCAGGAGAAGCATCAGCGCTATCACGGATGGTGCGACCGGTGTGGCCCGGACGTGCTAGACACTCGATCCCTCACACCTGGCTCAGCAATATCCCCGGCGACTAACAGTTCGCTGCCGGGGGGGAACTCGGTGAAGCGCAAGCGGGCAGCCAGCGAAGGGACACAGCGGTTCGTGTTTGATGTCGAGGAGGCCCGCAGGGAAAAAAGCATCGTGGCGAGGTACTTTACCGATGAGTATGAAGAGCACGAGATCGAAGTTGAAGAGCCGATCAAGGAACCGGAGCCCCGGCAGTCCAGCCGGAGCAATCACCCCCACCGCAACCACAGTCACAACCACACCGATTACGGTTGGTCGCCGTACCCTCGAAGTAGTAGGCACGGCCATCACAATGATCGCCATCGCAGTCGGCGGGGTCACGGCTATTGAGTCATGATGGGCGGATCTTCTGGGACGGTTTTTGTACCGTGCAGCCTTGCGGCAGGTAGAGATACCCACCAGCGACTTGCTAGTACATGGTTAGTCCCCAGAACAGCCTGTGTACGTTGGGGATCTGTCCTCTTTGGCCCTGAACGCAGCGTTGCCCCTGATCTGACGCGCTCTCAAGTCTAATCCTGTGCACACAAAATGCCGCAATATCCACCCTATTCTTCGGGGTTATTCGAATCTGCCACGGTTCTCTACGTCATTCCCCAGAAGAACACGGTGCTGCGTGGCAGTTGTTCCACTCCTGCCAGCTTCCCCTGCACCTGCGAGCACTCGAGTGGCACCAGCAGGCATTCGCACAAGTTGCACATACAGTTAGATCCCGGCCACGCGACTCTTCCTGGGCCGTTAAATATAGAAGATGTCACTCAGCATCGACAACCGGCCCTGTGTCATGAGAACATGTCAGGCGGTGAATAACCTGAGGGACACTACACCAACGCCCACCTCCCAAGCGGCGGTACCAGGTCCTCTATCAGCTTGTCCGACTGATCCAGCCACCCCCAAAGCAGCAGTTGCGCTGCGAGCCATCCGCGCTGTCGGGATCCCGCCCATCAGACCCTCCCAGCGCCCTCGTCTCGGTAAAGAGCGCAGTTGCGACTCAGCGTCGGGTTCCACCCGGCCGCGCTGTGAAAACCACAGACTGCGCTTCTCAACGAGATCACTGTCGGCAGTGGACTGCCTGCCCGACCACCCCGCCCCCACCACTGGCCCTGTTGGTGCTGCTTCTTGACGAACCACTGCCGCCTTGCTGAGCACGACGACGCGGAGTATTTCCCTATCGGCTCCAACGCCCTGGACCGATTACAGCTTGTACGGACCGGGGAGGGATGCTTCGAGGTTCTGGGACCGGGCCGCGTCCGCGTGGCGAGAGTTAAGCGTTTCTGTGGCTGTTGTGGGCTTGAACGTTGATAGGTGGGAAGCCAGGAATCCTCCCAGGGTGGTGTTTCACGAAGTCGACATAGGGCTAGATTCGCATGGGTTAGGCGGCCATCGTTTGCGGTCTCCCTAAAGACCTGGGTGCATGTGGACAGGGGCGTTGGGATAGGTTCTCTCAGCTCTGAGTCTAATTGACGACGTCCGCTGTGCCTGTGAAGCTGTAGCCAGGTAATAAACTAATAACTGCTCAAAAGCAACCACTCAGGCAGAATGTCTGACTTCCTTTGACATCTTATACCCCAGTAATGTGTGTTCTTTATCCCTCAGTATCTCATTGCTGCATCCTCTACCTTCCGGATTCCTCGTTCACCATCTTATGCGTGATTACCACCCAACCCTCCTCATCATCAGACCGACTCTCTTCTGGGAATTTGAAATGGAAAATTGCAGAAAGCGACCAACACAATTGTAACAATCCGCCAACTACCAGATCAGAGGCAAACTCGGGCTCCGTTCCTTTGTACTCATTTGAGCGCACCTAGCAGGTTAAGGATCCAAAGGCCTTCGCCATAGCCAATTCGTTCGGAGTGTGAGACACCACCATGACCTGCTCTGGCAACACATGTGGTTTCGCTCGAGACTCCCCCAGCCCCAGGTCCGAGTCTCCGCTGTGCGACTCAAACCAGGGCACAATCTCCCTGGCAAAAGCCAATTCAAGATCCTCAGGCGCGGCGGGCGTGTCGCCGGTGTATTCCAAAACAGCACTGATATACCCGCGCAGCCCAACCATGTCCAGCATCTGCTAGGTGCTCTCGATGTCGCCGGATATCACCATGACCGGAACCGCCTGCCGCTCGAGCCCCTCCAGCAAGCGCTCCACACCGGGCCATGGTTTCAGCAGATGGAAACGGCTGGAGAAGTGTTCAAGGTAGGATTGTTTGAAGCGGGCTGCTCTCTCCGGCGGGATGTTTCCGATGCCGAGTGCCCTGAAGATTCCATCGACGGCGGACTCGGACATGGACGCGGAGATGATAACGGCGTCCGAAGGAGGCGAGATTTCGGGTAGAATGTCGGCAAACGCCTGGCGGATTGCCTGGATGCCGGCCTCTCGGCCGTCGATGAGGACGTCGAGGTAGACGAGGAAGAGTTCTAGGCGTCGGGCTCCGCTCTTCTAGGGCGCGGATGGGGGTTCTGGATTGCCCAGTGTTTCCTCGAAGCGCCGTTTCATATCTGAATTCTGCAAACGTTATGTCGATCAATGCTGTGTAAAAGATGCGCTGCTGAGGTATTTGACTGTTGTGTCGGGCTGATGATTGCCACTGGCTAATGGTGTATATTTGTTGACCGTGGAAGCTGAGATTGAATGCACAAGGTTCCAAATGTCTCATGAAATGGGAGAGAAGGAAGGAGCCACTTGACGCCGGGAGAAGCCATACCCCAAGGGGTAAATGTGCGTCCTGAAAGAGAGACATATGGTTTCACTGTTCTTGCAGTTTCAGCCTTGAAGCAGAAGTACAAACGTCATGATCAAACAGGATCCCGAGCCTAAGGGTCCTAACACAAAGTCCCAAACAACTTTCCCAAACCAAGCAATGATCTAGGTATATAGTACTAACATTACTAGACAGCGACAGATAACTCTTCATGGCTCACGAACCCAAACCATTTCCGGCCCCGCGACCATATTATCCTTTAATTCATCCAGCTTAATCCCGTTCTTGCTCACCACGGCGATCCACACATATCCGTACCAGCTCGCAGGCACCGCCGCCGTCCTGCCGTCCCCTTCGGTCGTAACCGGGGTAAACTCAAGCTGCCCGTACGGGCCCATCCACGCCACGAAGTGTGTCCCTGATCCACTGCCTTCATACTTCAGGTTGACAGCCACTGTCTTCCCGCCGTCGTCCTTCTTCCCAGTCACCTCCACCGCCGGCCAAGGCTTTTCGGGCATGCCAGCGATCTTGTCGGGACAGCTGTCCACAAAACCGCGCATGACGAAGCTCCACGCCAGCTGGGCGGGGATGGCAACCTCCCTGGGCGCGGCAGCAGCCATATGGTTCTGCATCATGTTCACGACGGCACCCACGCGGGATTTGGCACCGACCTGGGTAAGCAGGACGGGGACGATGAACGGGTCTTGCTGAGCGAGCTTGGCCGAAATGTCGATGACCGCGCCGATCTGCACCAGATTCAGCTTGGCAATCGCCGTCAGGTAGTCGTCGACTGTCATGGTCGGCAAGCGGTACGTGCATGATCCGAGCAAGGGTCGCTGGTAGTGATTCAGGCACTCGGCGGTCGTTCCGCGGTGAATCACAGACTGCGCTGCCCACGCCCCAATCGTGTTGACAATGGCCTTCGGGTACACGCCAGCTAAGCTGCCGCTTGGTGGCTCCAGTTTGACGTAAAAGTCCCATAGTAGGTGTAGTAGAACGTCTTCGATGAGCTGGTGGAGCTGTAGATGGGCAGTTGCGTCTGAGGACATGTTGCTCGCCCATCCCCAGTGGGTAGGCTTGCCTCCGCCGGCTTTGTCATAGTAATAGGGAGGTATTTCGCCACCCGGTGGTGGGAGAGTTTGCGAGGCAGCTGGAGGTGCGGTTTGGGTACCTGAGGCAGAAGGGGCGACTGAAGGTTGAAGAGACCCAGGCAGAACATTGCCGTTGAACCCGGCGATGGTCTTCCCATTGACCGTCAGGGTACCGCCGCGAGGAGCAAGAGGCGGGATGACACTTGGCGGAGTGGCCGCCTTTGCCTTGGCGGTGAATGCTTCTAGCGTGTTGCCTGTTGCTGGCCTGGGTGTTTGTTAGAATAGTGTTCAGGAGCCAAGTATAGACATTGCGAGGCCACGTACGCGTTTATGCTGCCAACCATGCCGGATTGGCAGTGATTTCCCTGAGCGCAGTAGAACCAGATGGGCTTGTCTTGAACGATGATGTCAAACTCAACGCCGGACGGGGAAACGGTGGTGGGAATGAAGCCGCTGCTAAAACCCCCATTCAGGGGCTTGCATGGTTCGTCAAAAGTTGACTGCACCACTGAATGGTTTTTGGGGTTGAAATTGAACCTGACGACCGTGTTCTTCGGTTCAAGAATGTTGTTGGGTTCAAAGATCAGTTTTCCATCTTTGCCAACCTCTACTTGCGTCCGGCGAACGCCGTTCACTGGTAGCCCGTCAGCCGGCGATGTACTCGTCGGAGCATTCTTGGCCAGCTCAACGAATTTTTCAAAAGTGTTTCCTTCGGCCGGGCTATGCGAAGCCGTTAATGTTGTGAGTAGCATGATGCTCCGAACAACGAAAGACCCACGCATTTATTGCCTGTAGCATGCCCTTCTGGCAGTGGTTCCCATTCGGCTGACTGCAGTACACCCAGATGGGTTTTGCGTCATGAACAGTGATGGTAAATGTCGTGCGGGATGCAACATCCGGAGAGTCTGTCGGAACGAAACCAGAGAAGAACCCTCCTGCCAGTGGTTGGCAAGGCTCTGAGAAGCTCGACTGGGCTACAGAATGATTCTACCGCCGTGTTAGCCAGGGTTTCATTTTAGTCAAGGCACTTTTGCATCGGAAACCTTGCTCACCTTTGCGTAGAACGTATACGTTACTGTGTCGCCCTCCTTTGCCTTGATGGTAGGAGGATCAAACTTCAACTCGCCACCCTTGCCAACAGTGACATCAAAACGGTCTGCCTGAACCCCTGACGCCACGAGGGCGACTGAGACAACCGATACCGTTGATACTCGCATCTTCGATGTGAAGCGAGGTGTGCTAAAGACAAGCCTGTCAAGCACAATGGCCCGAGGACCAGAATTTCGGGGTGGGGGAAAGCCATTTTAAAGTTTTCTAGGTTTGTATATGTGATTCCCGCTGGAAGGATCGTGAAGATGTTGGATGGTTTGCGTCCCGTCCCATAATTTTACCAAGCCTGGCCCCGCTATTTGCCGTTCTTGGGTCGCGTCAAGGCGTTGGCGCGACCCTGCAGATGCCCTGCAGCTCACTCGCATGGGTGCTATTTCTAGCGAGCCAATCTCCGCTCGCCATGATCCTTCAGGCACCTCGGATACCCGTGGGCCGGAACAAACAGTGGCTGATGCTGTGAATGTTCACGACCGGCCTCAAGCCCTCTCCAGCGGGACTGCGCCTCGCGGTAAAACAAACTCCGACGATCTTCAACCTACGTCTATGACGGTTACTAGGACGGCGGGTGGAAATCGCGCCAGAAGCCTGGGCCTCAGTGGCTGGTGACGGAAACACACTCAGAAAGTTGATGAAGCGCTTTCATCATCCTTCGAGTCTGGGTTTTCTTTCCAACCTCCGGTATGCAAACATGTGGCACCATCATCCATTCATTTGGGTGCCTACGCCACTATGCGATAAGCGCTTCAAGCGGGACTATGAATGGCCCAGAGCTCGGAATCCCTGGCTGAATTTACCGGATGGTGGGTGAGCCGTCAGCCGTGTTTATCCCCAGGCGGCCGCGCTCTCGGACTTGGACGTATCTGCATGGCGGCCTGCCTGCAGAAATCCTTCTCTTCCATGGCTTGTTTCCACGACAGGCTCACCCTGGCTGCTTGAAATATTCTTGTTGGTGGTAGCCACGCCGCCAAGGGACATGCCGCCGAGGCTCAAACAAAAAGAGACGACAACCCAAGTTGACGACCCATGCACGAGTGCCAGCATTCAATAAACCATTATCTTCACTTTCACTGGTGACATACTAGACTATCTTCTTTTGTCATGCAAGGCAAGATGGCCCCGGGAAGTTGCTTTGCCTTTCTTCCCTCCATCTGCAACGCCATTACCCTGGTGTTGATGTTCCTTATCCTCTTCTCGGGGTTCAATGGAAGGTTAACAGAGCTATATTGGCTAAGGGTGAGCAAATCCCTTCATCTTCTGGCTCTGGTCTCAAGTTAACAATCTCGTAGATTGACACAGCTGGCTTGTCGTCTCCGTCAAAGCTTGCCAGCTCCGACTTCTTAAACGCGCTCTCTACGGTTTCAGGGACCGATTTTGTCGGGCCAAACATCACTGCCTCGTCCCTCGGTCTTCCGGACTGGTCCAGCGTCCATCTTCTCACCGAATGTTCCCACTTCGCTGATGGACGCGTCGATTGCTCGAAGCCGCGCTACGGCTTCGAGTTCCTCCCTGACCGCGACCTCAAGCTCGAAAACACACCCCTATCACTCAACCACTCCCAAGCCCTAACAGATTCCCTGACGGCATATCACAAAGCGAGCCGCTTCCTCTCGGGCGCACACATTATCGCGGTCGTTGCGTCGAACCTCGCTCCAATTGAGAGCTGCTTTTCGCCACTGTTGGCCGCCATCACAAGTGGCATCGCATCGCTCATCCTTTTCGCAGCATCCGTCGCTTCCACCATCATCTTCCGCAACATCAACAACGCCTGGAACGCCGAGTTTACGACCAACAACCTAACAAGCAGCGTCGGCAATATCCCAGTCGCCTTCGACTTCGCAGGCTCTGTCTTCACGCTGTTCGCCACCATCTTCTACATCCTCAACCACCGCGCTCAGTCCCGCAACAACCGATCCGCGAGGAGCCGTCGGGTCGTGGCGCACAGCGTTGGCAATGTTGACGTTGGCGCTGGCGGCGCAGCAGCCAGAGCAGGGGGCCGTCTCTGGGGCCGCAGCGACCACAAGTACGTGCAGATTGAGGAGCAGCAGGCGCTCCAGGCGCACAGGGATGGCGCCGGCTCGCCTGACAGCCTGGGAAAGCAGAGAAGGTTGGATGATGACTGGGCTGCGCCCGATGAGTATCACTCGGGCGGTGCGTCAAGCGGGGCGGCGAGCTCAGGCCCAAATATACCCCTGATGACGCTGGGCGGCAACAAGCAGACAAAGGACTTGAATACGGCATATGAGCCGTTTAGTGGACCAAGATGATGGGCTACTAGAAGGCAATTGACTTGCAAATTTGAGAAGCGAAGATTCTAAACAGCTTACATCGCTCTAGCAAGACGTAGACTATAGTTTAGTCGATATGCTGGGGTGACCGTGGTATCGCTGTGTGTATTGTTGTATGCACAGAAAACGTTGGGCCTTGGCGAGCGTGATTCACAATCCAGCACAAATCTACGCATCGGAACATGGCATATACTAGCCAGTGAGTATAGTTCAGATCACATCCATGTGCGGAGAGGTTTCACATTTGTGGTTGACACCGTTGTTCTGCAATGAACAAATCGCTTAGTAGGCAGTAGCCTATTACGACCATTCCGGTCTCTGAAGTTATCTCGAATGTTGGATAAAAGGCTACCTAGTGGCCCTGCCTGGACCGCAAGAAGCAATGAGGTTTCTCTGTTTATCTTCCAAAATCAACCTGTCCTCAGTGGAACCGCCGCAAGACCACAATGCGATCAAGCCCTGGTGGGATGTCGAGGTTCTACTCGAGTCCTCGACTCCGTATCCAAGTCATGTTGTCGTAGTCTGACAGTGTCTGAAGCTCCCCCCATGACCTTCTGGAGATAGGCTGAGAAACCTGTCGCATGCCCGCAGGTTTCCTCTCAACTTCATACCCCTCCATGTACTGGTTCCAGCTGGCCATAGCCTGATTTTGTCTGGAGAGAATAAAATGAGTTATGGGGTGTCTGTTGTGGTCGGCAGTCACAAGGTAAAACTGATCGTTCTTCGCCCAAGGGACCGCCCTTTCCCCTTGCGCAGAACATTCCCACTGCCTTCTAGACGTTTCAACTTCCTTTATGAAACGGTCCATTTCATGGCTTATCCACTTGATTGACCGTCCAAAATCCGGAGAGCCGTCCTGCAACCGAAAGGCCAAGCTCGGCGGAACATCGCCTGCGAGAGAGGTCCTATCTGCCCGCTGGTAAGCTCGGAGGAGATCCAGGAAATGGTCCTCTAGAGACAGGCACATTTCCTCCCGGCGGGAGCGACGACAGCATGTTGAGAATGTAACTACCAGCTGACGGATACCATGTTGAGTTTGGATTCAATGGCAGAGCCGCTGTGCAGTCTGAATGTGCGGTACACTGAAGGCATCGCTTCTGCTGCCACTCGCTTGCAAGTGCGCAACAGACCGATACCTGTGTTCCACCGCGCGGAGAAACGGGGCCAGCGGCGCTTGTACACCCATTTACAGGCAAGGTTGTAGATGTAGACTCGGATTTCAACCGGGAGGTCGAAGAAGTTTTTCGAGTCGGTCTCGATTGAAATGTGCTCTTCCTTGTGAGCTTTTCTCATTGCAGGGAGTCCCTTCCAAGAGTTGGACTCGGGAGGCAGTGCACCTTTGCTAGTGAGGCAGTGTTCCATATATATCCCTAACCCTTTTTTCCTGACTCTTTACGGCCACGCCCAACCGCGTGCCACGCTTACACGCCCATACCTATCCACCGCCACAGCGTTGGTTGGCTGCAGTGGCCCCGGGCCCTGCAACGGCGAGGCTCAACGCCCTGGTGTTCAATTACAGGGCGGTGACGGCCCTAGAGACAGCAACGCTCAACGCCCTAGCGACGGCGACGGCGACGGCGATGTACAACGTCTGCAGGGCAGGTAGAGGGTGAGTTAAGGTAAGTCTGGGCTGCGCGCAGGATCTGTAATTGAATCGCAGTCCATTTGCTCGAACTTGAAGATTACTGCGTTTTCGAAGCAATTGAGCCACTGCAGCCAATTCAACGTTGTGGCGGTCGGTGGGTGGGCGTGGTCAGGCCTGGCATGTGGGCGGGCGTGGGCGTAAGAGACTGAAAAATCAAGGATTAGGGGTATGTATGAGGCACACTGCCTCCCTAGCAAAGGTGCACTGCCTCCCGAGTCCAACTCCCTTCCAAAGCCCGACACGGCCGCACCCCACTCTGGAGGTTGATTGATGGAATGACGGTCATGCTCTGGAAGGTATTTCGGGTTCACGATCTTCCCGCGGAACAAGCAGTTGCGACTGCAATTAATATCGTGGTTTGGCATCTGCCACTTGAGTTCCTTTGTGTGCCGGTAAACAAAGTACTCGGGCACCCAGTCGCAGAACTCAATATCCCGGGCCGCTGTGAATTGCTTCAAACCGCACCACAACCCGTTCCCTTGATCTTCCCGATCAAGGAGACACTGCCCATATTCACTGCATCGTCGATAAAAGACCAGGACGTTACGTATGCAGGCCTGGCTTTCATATAAATGTTCGCAGACAAATAGCCAACCGAGGCTGGGTTCGCCCCGGCACTGGTATGGCACGTATGGCGTTGGGCACAGAGAACGGATGACCAGGGTTCGGGCCTGCCTTATCCGGACGAGACCAATGGATTCCAGGTACCTCAAGGCTGCTCGTGGATCGGAACCGAGATCCAAGGTCTTGTAAAGGATGGCTGATGCCTCGCTGTAAATACGGCGCGAAGCACGGAGGAGACCCAGATAGTCAACAGGGACACCAGGACCTACGCTTTTCTCCGTCCACAGCATCTCCTTCTCGTTCAAAAGCTTCTGGCGATCAATGCCGTAGAAGACAAGGTCGTAGATTTGGTTGCGTATTGAGATTGGCAGATCGAAGATTGTGAGGTTTTTGTCTTCGGCTATCGGCTGGGGAGAGTCCCGGGCGCTGGCATGATGATGGACGGGGACTTGTAGTGCCATTCTTGTCATTCGCGCGTGAGTGGTAGGATGAGGCTTGATCTTAGAAAGCGGTGACACCAAGAAAGTGCTGTACACAACTCAAGGTGGCCGATTTAGGAGACCTGTTGTCACTTGCAAATGTCAGAAATCTCTGCTGCAAATACTAACATCAAGAGCAAACGAACCTGAAGAAACGACTTATCAATTGAAATTGAATACTTTATTCGTATCGGCCAGATGTAGAACCTTGCTTTGTATGTTGGATGCCGCCAGGAAACGAGTAAGTCGTGGGTGCCGTGGTACCCCGGGTTGTGGAAACGATCGAAGATTGCGCAAATTTTGGAATTGAGGGAGGGAACTTGAAAGCCAGGTGCCAGGCTTGCGGTCCAGGGAAGTGCTGCGAGGCGGTTGCCACTGGGTGGTTCGGATGATATATAGACGATAGACCCAATCCAAGTTTCGGAACAGGATTGTTCTGCGAACTGGATGTAAGGACACTGGGACAGCACAAGGTGAATGAGAAGCTGAATTTTGGGGAGGGAGGGTGAGAGATGAAGGCCGTGAATTAAACTTGCCAAACCTAGATCGGTGGGAGTATTATAGGTAGGTACACACGTTACCTACCTACCCTACCTTATGTATCAATGGTTAACGTCTCTAGGTGACGAAGGTCACATTGAGCAGGCGCACTCCGTTTGCATTGGTCAGCGATGTTCTAGCTATTAAACATTTTAAGTCAGAACTGTCAAGCTCGCTACATTCCTTCAAGGAAGGAGCAAGCTAGCCGCGCTTTTGTACAACTAGATGTTTGCAAGAGCATCCAAACAGATGTCTGTCGACAAGATTGCTCCTGAACCACTGATGTCAGAGAAAGCGATAGGACTCAGGTTGCCTCACATGCGTGGTTACCCCCTGGGCGCTGAGTCAACGATAGGCCGACAGATACCACCTTAGATAGGTTGACAAGCTACAACTTAAAGTCGGCATTGGTCTTTTCCCACCCGTCCACTGTCTCGTCCATAGCCGCCACCTTCTCTGCCAGTTTCATCTTCAACGGCCGCGACCTCTCAGTGCACAGCTCATACATTGTCGTCAAATTAAACAGCAACGTCCGGGAATTCTGACCGGAGTCAACGAGACCCTCCAGCAACGCCTTGCCCTGTCTTGCGTCAGCACATGCGATCACGCAAACAAAGCGGACTCACCTCCTGCATCTTGCCCACGTATAACAGACAAACAGCCAAATTCACCCCAACCATCTCATCATCTACCGCTTCCCTCAGTTCCCTCCACCTCCCCAGCGCAGCCTCATAGTCTCCCTCGGCCATCTCGCACAACGCCTCAACCACCTTTTCCTCCACCTGATTCCCCTCACCATCCCCGAGGCAGCCCCTCGCAGCCTCCACATCACCCAAGTGCAACCACAATAACGCCCTCCGCATTCTCATCCTCCCCCCGCCAGGCCCATCGTCCCTCAACGTAGCCAAATGATGTGCCGCCCCGGCCAGGTCATCCATCTCTACCAACGCCCCCGCCACCCGAATCCCCAAGTCCGCCAACCTTTCCCTCCAAACCGTCACCATAGCATCATTCCCACCACCACCATCACCAGCCCCCGCCCGTTCAGCCTCAACAATCCTGACCCGCGCCTCTCTCGCAAGGTCATAGTAGCTCATAACAGCGCGGCGGGGATCCCCGAAGCCAAGCGCCTGCAGACGCACGTTGAGGACGCGCAGGTCCCAGGGGACGAGGTGTCTCGGGTACACGGCAGCAGACAAAGCCGAAGATCCCGCCGCATCCTCATGGTCGTAGTAGAACGCACTGTTCAGGTCGCCGAGCGCCTTAACCTCCTGCGCGGCTAGCGCCGTCGCGTCCGTGAGGGTCAGGCACGCCAGGCGCGTATAGAGCAGGTCGAAGATGCGGGCGTGGTCGGTCGGCGAGGGCTGAGCGAGGTGGGTGCCGGTGCCGGTTCCCGTGAGCGCTTGCGCGGCGGCGATGGCGGCGGCGCGGAAATGGCCCCGCGAGAGCAGCTCCGGGATGGGTGTGTCGGCGGAGGGCTGTTTCGGGGAGTTGCGGAAGGCGGCGGGGATGTTGAGCGCGCTGAGTGGATGGTAGATTTCTGGGCGCAGCAGGTAGGAGAAGTCTTTTGGTTTGGGTGGTCCCCCTCGCCTCATTGCTGATGCTGATGGCGTGCTTGGGGCGGGGGAGCGGGCTGGTGATCGTGGTATTGGCGATGCTGTTCCTGGGGTTCTGCTCCCTGGGTGCCCGGTAAGGGATACCACTCTCTGCTGTGGGTTACTAGAAGGTGATGCTAGAGGTACACTTGTGGAATGAAGGCCGCCTTTAGCCATACTGTATGATCGGGCAGGGGTGATGGTAAGGTAGGGAGAGAGCATGCCACTCACTCGTCGACATCAAGAGGGCCTTTAGTGGACGATCGAGGACGTGTGGCTGTAGAAGCAATTGTCAATTTATGATGTTGCACGAGAACCCTGAGGGAAGCAGCAGGGGCCGTCGTGAATCGCGAGATGTGACACCCAGAGCGCCTTCCGTTTGTAAAGACAGCATTTATCGGTGTCGACCCTGAGACAAGCAATTTCAATCCGACTTGCCTTTCACGCCAGATCTTGTCCTAGTGTGCCCTTTAGGCACCGAATCTTGCGGCGCTTTATCCATAGCGAGAGCTAGACTAACTCGTCGTCTATGGTATCAGATACGAAGTACAGTGTTGGAAGAGATGACGTTGGGAAAACTGGGTCTCCCGGGGCTCACAGGTGGCGCCAGCTGGCAGCTGCTCAAACACCAGACAAATGTCAACTTCGGTTGATCGTTCTCAACTTCCCCCTTTTTCAGTTTCCCTGTTCATGGTTTCAAAGTTCCAATTCGATTAGCACTCCAGTGTCCAGAATACCGACTACTTACACCTGACAGTGCGTCCAAATCATCAGTATTCACGGCAGTTCTCTGACCACAATACTCCGGCCCATGTCTCGTCCAAAGCCGTTATATCGTTGCTGGTGATGGCTATTTGGATTGAGGATCTGTATTCTCCATTCATATACACAAAAAGCCAAAAAATTGCCGATTACCTTAGGGATCGGAAATTGGAGTCATCGAATCGACCACTGATCATCGCTCATCGAAACACACTTGACCAGCCTTAGTTAGACGCCCTCGGCCCCTGCCCAACAATGTGCCTCTTGGACTTATGCGCTAAGCGCAGTGCGACCACCAATCGCCCAAGTACACGCAGGTGAATGGCGGCTGGCACTGAGTCGGTCCATTGTATCCCATGCCACCGCACTGTCCCCATTGCGGAACCAGTGGTCCGGTTGGTGTTGGACCATTTGTCGATGTAGTTTTCGTAAGTGTCACAGTGCTTGTCGATAGAGTCGTGGTCGGGACCTGACTTGTCCTAGTCGAGGTGGTCGTCACGGTGGTAATGGGTGGAAGGGGGACTCCGAGAGCTGATCTTATACCCTCCAGAAATCCCGGGTTGCCATAGGCCTGCGACATGTCCCTGTCACCAAACATTAGCCACCTCACCCCCAATGAGTCCATCTAGCCCCTGCAAATCGGATCTTGTACTTACCAAGCCATAACCCCCCCAAAACTGCCATACCCTCTCGCATATGCAATCACCTGCCTCAGCTGCTCTCCGCTAACATAACCAGTCCCCGCAGCCGACGGGCTGGCCGGTAAGCCGAGCAAGACCTTGACCTTGCGGTTCACGCTTGCCGTCCTGGCCCACTGGTCCCAGGTGCCAAAGTTGAAGTTGTTCTGCGCTGGGGCCCCCGGCACATAACTCGGGGCGCCGCAGTAGTTGTTGTAGAACTGCACAGCCACAAAGTCAAACCCAACAGCGTCCAGCATGGCGCCCATGGCGTGGTCGGGGAAGGGGCACTGGGGCGCCGCCGACAAGAGGTAGCGCCGGCTCGGAGTCTCCCCGGCGGCCGAATCGTCCATGAGCCGCCTCAGGGCGGCCGCAAACGGCTCCATGTTGCTGGACGTGGCCTCAAAGTCCATGTCAAAGCCGTCGATGACCGCCGAGCCGAACGGGCGCAGGATGTCCGCCGACGGCGGGGCAGCGGGGGGCGGGCCGAACATGGCCCACAGCCTGTTGGCCCATGTGATGGCCTCCTCCGGCGAGGCAAAGCCGCCTTCGGTGTAGGTCGCGCCGCCGATGGAGAGGAGGATGGTTTTGTTGAGTGATTGGCAGAACTGTATGTCCTCTCTGGCAAGGCACGGGTTAGTTGCTGCTCTTCAGGGGGCCGAAGAGGATGATCCCAACTCTATCTCAGGACAGCGGAGGAGCTGGGTGCCCTCAAAGGTAGTGCAGTTGTCGCCGGCATTGGCAAAGTTGAGCGAGGTTGGATTCTTGATGACGTGAAGAAACGCGAGTGGGATTATATTGACAGGGGAATCTGAAGCAATGTCAGTCCATTCAGGTTCGTTGCCCTGCCCGTGGTGACATGGAGGTGGTTATTGACGAGCGCCACATACTGGAGCAGTAAGTCGCAAGACGCTGCTGCCCGCCGGCGCGGTTGATAGAGTTCTGACCTGAATATAGGTATCCTAGCGTTAGTACGTGTCTGAGAACTCATAGCCGCTGGCTATTGCGTACCCCAGTATATAGCAATGTTGTTAGAGGCTCCAGGATCGAAACCGGCAAATGCCCTGGGAAGAAAAGCGCCCAACGCCCATAGAGCGGCAATGCGGAAAATAGCAGAAGCCATTAGGGAGATCGACGATGTTCCAGCCTGGATCCTCAGTGCTAGCTCCTCAGGGTCAAGGACGATTGGGCGAATCGGGGAGAATAGTATCTCTTTAACCTTTCACCGTCCTCGACTAGCGGCCTATCATTCCGTGATATCCCCGCTGGATATTCTCGGACCCAAGCAGAAAACTTGGTTATACTGCTGCTTTTGAAACTTCCATTTCATCAAGACTGCAGTCCCGGGCTCTGGGCATCCAATCGAAACAGGACATGACTACCGTTGACGGTTGGACCGGTGCCGTGACTCGGACGTTGACGTTGTGAATGTGCACACCTTCCGGCCGAGGAGCGGGGGAGAAAGGAGACCACACTCTACCTAAGGCTTGACCACGTTATCAAGTGCAATCGTGAATGTGACCGTGACCAGACCAGACCCCATCCCTCGGCCCAATGCTACTGGTCGGTCCATGTCCGGTTCATGGGACACTGGCCGTGACTGAAGGAAAACATTGTTTTTCCCAGCGGTGCAGCAGGACATGATGGCCATGTCTTGCAAGTGTCTGACGCTCTGTTGGACTGGTCGCGTGTCATCGTTGTTGTGCATGTGGTGCTCAACGCCACTCGGAGCAGGCGTTGAAGGCCAGATCAAATTGACAGAGTGATACACACTTTGGCAATCTTTTTAGAAGGGCATACCTGCCCTTGATGGGCCGTATTCTCGGCGCAAGGGGTACAGATTTTGTTCGAGAAGGGCATTAAAGCCCATGGCAACACCCCTGCCTGGTGCCATGGAAATGATCGAATGGTGCATCTCCAGCCGCTGGGCTTCGGAGCTTCAGCTCAGCCGTTTTGTTCGAGATAAGCGATAGAGCCTCGCCGGGGCCTTTTTCGGTTGGACCCCGAACACATGTCAGCCACTGCGGTGCCAGGAGGGGTTGAAGACTCAACATGAATTGTGTGACCTGGTTTGTGGCGCCAATCATGATGGCCGTGCCGTCATGACCCCTCTTGAGGTGCGCCCTTGCATGAAGATCTTGGAGCTTCCTGTTGGGGAATAGCAGCTGTTGAACCGCTAAGGCAGGACGCAACATGTTTGGAAGTTGGAACCAATGCGCACGCGCCGCCGCCGTAACGTTATAATGACGGTCGCGTGGCATCAAGATCACACAGAGATGCTCACATAGCAAAGACAGTTGGGGTGAGAGCACGGGGGGTGGCGGTTGTGACCCTGTCCGACGGGACGCAACAGGACCATGTCTCTTATCTGAAAGGTCTTTGCCAGTTGGGATGCAACTGAATCATCTTGCCTTTCTTGGCTTAACAAGGCACAAAGTTCCAGGCGAGGAGAGCAACGTTACCTCGCATACTAGTAGGGAAAGAAAAAGGGCTGGATGCAAGTGGGAAACTTGAAAGCAAACTGAAATCATTCCAGTTGACCTCCACCAAGAGCGATTGCGGGTCTTGAAAATGCTTCATAATACTGTGGGTGCCGTTGCACACTGGCACCAAACCAAAGACTGGGTGTGTTGATTGTAGACGGTTGGAGGGTTCATGATTCATCGAGGGTTGAAGAGCAAAGCCCAGTGCCCCAATAAATACCTTACAGGTCTGCACCAGGTTCCTCCTTCCCATTCAACATCGGTCAACGTCAATAGGGGGTAGGTAGGTAGTTATCACCCCAAGGTCCGGATCATTTGATTCAACAGACAACAGGGCTTCCCGCATCTCAGAGCTACCTTATGGCTCACGGTAGGGAACCTGGTCTAGGAACCAATGTGATGGAGGTATCCATGGCACTGTTACCCTCCATTGGAACATGAAATCTTAGACGACTCCGATAGCTAGGTACCCTTATTCCATTCAAGACTAAGGTATCTACTATCTAGCACGTATCAGAATGTAGCTTAAGGAGTCTACTGCCAACGTGCCTACTGCTTGAGTATCTTTAAGGTACCTTAGCTGACCAAAGTCACACCTATACTATTGAGACGGACTCTATACACCATACATCCCGCTGTGCGTAGGTACCTACGGTACCTACCTAGTACCTTAGCAGGTCACATATAGTGTTCGGTCAACAGCAAAGGAGTTAGTACTATTAGTGACCTCCGAATACTCCTCGCTAGTAAGAACCAGCCGACTTGTTTTGGTTGGATTTGGGGCGGCGATGTTGTAGTATAGGTCCGAGGTTTGACTTGCCAGCTGCCAGTGGTAGCGGTTAGGACTAAGTCAGGTACCTAGGTAGATATCGACTCGGAAGTCGGAACATCTCGCTGCCAGCAATGAAGGCAATCAAGTTATAAGCAGATCTCCCTGAATTAGTTCCCATGCTTTTGCGAGATACTCGCTCAGACACCTACTGTCTTTCAACGACCAGCATATTCTGTTGTGGATTCTCAAAACTGCAGTGCTTGATTCCAGTCTGTGAACAGTGTGAAGTGTCTTCGGTTTACCTCCATGTTATTGGTTCGACATGGAGTCGCTCCATGTCGAGCACCAGGCTTGTCTACTCCAAACCATACCTACTCAGGGAGTCAGATAGTGTATGGAAAGACTATAACAATGGGAGCACCCATTGCATGGATTTGCGATAACTTGAAGCATCTGGGAAAGAGACGGATGACACCAACAATCCTAACTCCAGATCATGATGGGCAATATGATCCATGGATATGTGCGACCTACAGACGGGAGTATACCTACTCGTACTTGTCCTTATTACTGCATGCGATTGCCCAGCTTGCTATATCCCATGTATATCTATTCGAGCAATGACTACTATGTGTTAAGGTGACAGCGGCGCTCGGGATCTACCTGAATCTTCCTGTTGATTCTCCATTTCTCATCCGTACTAGTAGCGAGTCTCCTTTCATTGACTGCAGTGACGTGCAACCGTTTACCGGCACAACAGGCTTCCTATGCTCACTCGGGACCATTGACCGACATGAGCCACTCACCGTACAGTCTCCGGGCACCTGCTTTGGCTTCCTCCAATCTCCACAAAGGTTCTCGGGATGTTTGGCGCAACAATATATCTTCCCCTTGCCTCCCCCTTGGCCATCTGTCCCTGGTATTTAGCCTTGCGAGGATCGTCAAAATTTACCCGCTTCTCATTAGACGACTTGCATCGACATAATATCAAAATCGTGCTGCTGCTATTCTTGGACGACATGCATTGTACATGTATAATGTCCAGTCCCGACGCTGTGGAAACATCACGGCGACATCTCCACTCAATGCTGCAGCATACTGTATTTGTATGCCAGTGTTGTTCTTAACCTTGAGGGGAATCAAATCACTCACGACAGTTACCTGGCTAGTGTAAGTACATCACAGAGTGCTATGCCTCCCTGTGGCCACCCGGCTAGGTCAAGAGAGGGAGGGTGAGCCCCAAAGCTTAGCCAGTTTCACCACCACACCCTCCAAGCCTTTCTACGGTTACAGTTGCAAGTACCTACCTACCTTACCTAGGTACTACCCCGCAAGTCAGTAGAGTTCCAAGATGGTAAAAGTCTGGTGGCTATATGGGAAAAAGCTTGACTTCTTAGAAGTCCCTCATCTAGTACTTTATGAGGTGAGTTGACACTACCAGTGGTAGATATAGTAAGGTACCTATACCCATCGTTCAGCATCCATGATCCTAGGCGAGCTTACGTCGACCTCATATACTGCAGTTGCAATAGCTCCACACATCCAGCCTCACGGTCTAGACTCCCCCGGACCTAAACTGGAGAGAATCCCGAGCGTTACAGTCGTTACCGGCACTTGAGAGGCTAAGCGTGAGCCAAGATCCCGGGATGGACGGGCCGTGGGCATTCGAAACGGCGACATCTTAGGCCCTGCTAGTGAAGGTTAAAGTCAACAAACAGGTTTGGGATGATAGCAACAAATACTGTGTACCTAATTAGCGAGGTGTCTACACCCGGTCGGTTGACCGGGTCCTTGGAACTACTAAAGAAGTCGAGAACATTGAAGCGATCAGCGTGGGCATAGAAGCCAGGACAGCGAACCGGCTATTTGCATCTAATGATGATCTCCGCGAATCGCGACATCAACCTTGAACGGTCCTGAGCATCTCGTTGGGCGGAAAAATAGAGACGGCTCTGGAAATTGAACATTTACCGGGAACGACGCTACGGTCTCTTGAATTCCATATTGAAACTCAATCTCCAGCCGTGCTTGTTCAAGGTATATTCGGTTCCGTCTATATTGAGTCGCTTGCGAGAATCTTCCCCATGCGCTCCACTTGGAGAGGCCCAGGCTTGACGCCATCACCATGGCTGATGAGACTCACGACTATCAGGCCAAGGAGCAGAATGAGGTGATTTGAGGACGACCTCATCGACCGCTGTGTTGGGTTGCAGTCTCAGAATCGCCATCAACAATCCACCTTCGCCTGCCCACCCCGCATGTGCCATCAATATATGCAATGCGCCGAACATGCGCATTACCCCTGAGCCGGAAGAGTCCAAGAGCCATCTAGACTCCACGGTGGTAAGATAAGGACATCATCTGGGCATATAAAGCGCCAGCGAGGGGTATTGGCCGAAGGCGTCCATCAGTTTTTGATCCGCGTCAGTCACCGCTGCCCTGACTTGAGACTCTATCAAGAACCCGCCAACATGACTCGGATTCTCTTCGCTCTCTTTGCTGCGGCCGCTGCAATCCAGCAAGCCGTCGCCGTTCCCGTTGCCCAGGGCGATGGAGGAGCCGTGGTTGCTCCCACGGCTACTCGCAGCCGCACCCCGCGCCCGACGGTCGTGCCCCCGACCCCGACCGCTCCTCGTCCCACGGTCACCCGCCGTCCTCGCCCTACGAGGTCGGTTACCGCTACCCGGGCTCCGAGGCCGACTGTAACCCCATCGGGCCCACCCCTACCCCCGCGACCTACCGCGACGAGGCCCCCCCGGCCGACCTCGACCCCGACTCGTGCTCCCCGTCCTACCACGACGCGGGCCACTCGGCCAACCACGGCCCCGACCCGCTCTCCTCGGCCTACCCCGACACGAGTTCCCCCGACTCGGTCTCCCAGGCCTACCCCAACACGCTCGCCTCGGCCTACTACGGCTCCCACTCGCTCTCCCAGGCCGACGCCTACGCGGTCGCCACGGCCGACCACGGCTCCGACCCGTTCTCCCAGGCCTACCCCAACACGGTCGCCACGTCCCACCCGCTCTCCCCGGCCCACCCCAACACGAGCTCCCCCGACCCGGTCTCCCAGACCCACCACGGCTCCAACCCGTGTTCCGGCGCCGACCAGGCCCGCCCCAACTTTCACCCTGGTGCCGCGGCCGCCGACTGACAACTAAGTGCCCAAGCAGGAGGGCTTGATACGTTGCATCGATGGCGATGGCGTATGGGTCAGGAACTCGACCGTGACTACCTCGACTAGGTTGGCGAGTGGATGATAGTAGGAGCTGGAGGTAGATGGGACGGGAGTCGGATTTGTTCAAGTTGAGAGGAGGCCTGTTTCGCGCTTTTGCTGCGTACATAAGTACTTGATCTCGCCCCCTTTTTTTCTGACAAGTGACGACGTTGGTTGTCTGGTATTGATGTGTGCGCCTCTGCTTCTATCCTGGTACTGTCAGTCATGATAAAAGGCATCCATGCTGGCTTCTCTGTCGGTCCATTCATGGCTTGAAGCCAGAGGACGACATGAGCCGCGGGCCGCATCGGGTCAATGGTGAAGACTTCGGATATTTGTCACTTGTTCGATCCTCTCAAATTAAAATAGGCACGAAGGCTTGCCGATAGTTGACATAAGTCCTCTAGTAGCCGGTTTCTTGTGGAAACAATGCTGAGATATTTTCCGGTATGTTCTCTGGTGAACCTGTTGGCATAATGGGTGTCTCGGATCGAATCTTCGCCCACGTCATCGTCGTCACAGCAGTGCGTGCCGCATCTTTCATGTTCCCTCAAGGTGAAGCTTGAGATAGCCGTAGGTAGGACGTGGGGTCTGTCTGAGAGTACCCTATGTAAATTGCAACGACTATGTCGTTAGTATCTTCAATCCCATCGGACTGACATGTTTGACTCAAGGTCGAGATAATAAGATAGGATAGGATCTGCCACTGGCTATCTGGGGATATCTCCATGCTTCCAACGCAGTTACCAATGTCTGCAATCTTGAGACTTGAGGTAGATGCCCGCTCGGTTGCACGAATCGCAGGCACAGGAATCAAGGCAAGAGAGCCGGATGCTTAGTTTACTAGCGTCGAGCATGATGATCGCCGCTCGAATGCTGTGAAGGTGTGTCGCGACTGGTTCCACACGGCGTTGATGCCTAATGTTAATGGTGTCGTATTCCCTGTCACTGTCCATGAGTACAGGTAGTGTAGGTGTGATACCCATAACATCTTGAGGGGTAAGTCATGCTGTGTACTGTGTCGACGGGCGAGGAATTTGATATCCCCCGTCCGGATAGGTATGGATGTTGGCAGTGGTGAGAACGATAAGATCAGAGGACACTTCGCAAGCAAGTTGCCAAGTTGGAAGTGAGAAATCAATTATCAAACAGATTCCCCAATCCACCACACATTGGTCTAGCAGGCTGATTAAATGGCTGCCGCCCATCGATGGGTTCATGGGAAATGTCAGATCGACACAACAAATAGGTAGTCAACGCAGGCCCCAGACACGGCCACCAGGTCCAACGGAGAGGGCCGGCAGCCAGACAAAACGTTGGAAATCTGGAAATCTGGGGAAGTTCGCCCCGCCCAAACCGGGAAGCGGCATTGCCCGTAACGCCAAGCCCTGCTCCACTCCCGCCTAAAACCCCGCTGTTACCCCACAGTTTGTGGCTCGACCTGGAACCACTACCGCACCACTTGCAGGCCACCTCTGGCGCCACCTGCCGAAGCAGTTCCCCTTCTGTGGTGGGATGCATGCGATGCATATGCTTTACAACCTGCGTTTATGAGCCGACGCTCAGCTGTGTGAGCCGACTCAGGCAGCCTGGCGGCAGTTCTAAACTGTCATACATTCTTTTTTCACGTTTGAGGGAGGAATCCCCCCGAATCTTTCCATTTCTGGCACGCAGCGTCCTTGAACTTTAACTTCCAGTTCTCCGAGCTCTGTTTCGTCACTTATCTTCTCCCTTAGCCGAGGCCGAACCGATCTCCGGGGCACTACTCCGTACTTTGGATCTCCACTTGCTGTCATTTAAAGCCAACAATTATCAACAACCTACACTTCGGGAAACGAGACGTGATTAGTTCACCTCCGTGGATCTGGCTGGCCTAATACCATCACCATCACTACAATCGATCTCAAACTCAAAATGAACCGCCAACAACCACCCTCCCGCCCCCTCTCGACCTCGGCACGTGTTCATCCGAGCTACCTCCCCTATCTACACAACGCCTCTCGCAACGGAATGAAGAGCATAAAATGGTATGTTTGTTTACATTAGAGGGCTCTGAAATAGAACCCATCTAACCTTCCCACTTTCAACCCAGGGTCCCTCCCCTCGTAGCCGTCGTTGGCGCGGGCTACGGCATCGCGAGCTACCGCGAAGCACAGGGCTCGCAGCGCCTCGCAGCAGCCGAGCAGGCCGAGGCCGAGAGGCGGCGCAGGAACGCTGCCTTGGCCGATGCCTACGGTGACCGGAGCAGCCTGGAGGAGCTGGAGAGGGCCATCAAAGTCTATGAGGCCCAACAACGGAGCGATTCATGAACAGTCCCGTGGCCTGATTGTTTTGGCCAATTGTTGATTTTATTTAAGCATCATTGATATCCGGCATTCTTACAAGGGGGAAATGGCGTTGGGCGGCGTTAGGTGTTTGTTGGTCGGGTCTGCTGGCTGCTTCTACGGCTGTCAGTGTTCTGTTTGCATAAGGGGCTTGAGGGACGATGCGTGATCGCATGTGGGAACCAGGGGGTTCAGAAGTCGGGATACGGGGAAAGGAAGATCTCTTCTCATGTTTACGGTATTAATGACCACTCATCTTGTGTCTACCAATAGCGCAAAAACTCAACTGCACGAAACAGTCGACCGTCGGAAATAGGCGGCCGTTTATTTGGCCTCCGGCGGACACGAAGTATCCACTGAAACCGTAGGCATTGCTTGGAGACTATCTGTCTTGGACACCAGTTCATTTTATCGACGATGCGGAAACAGCCGGCCAGCAAATTGAATCTGTATGGCTATCGATGCGTAGAACTCAAGACAGAGTGGCCAAGATAACGGCTTTAGGTATGTACAGTACAATGAGAGATCTTGCCAAGCTTCTGCTGTGTAACATATGAACACCATGTCAGTCCTCTCAGCCCAATCATGGGCAGTTACTCGGGAGGACCTAGTGAGACATGCATCCATTCTGAGAGTCCGAAATGCCCTGGGACATTTACAGCGCTGTTTCGTAGAGACACTGCTGCCATGCATCCGCTACACAGATGCCTAATGCACTATATCCTACTGCAGTCCGGTTCAATGAGTGCCTTGGCGAGATCGTGAAAGCAGGGTCACAGTGCCTTGAAACCTTTGACAGACTGGCTCAAACGGTGCCGAGATACTCAGACAATTGTTTGGTTTCAGCTCTTGAGAGCTTTCTTCTTGGAACTTTTGTTGCCCTTGGCAATCTCTTCTTCCTCGCTCTCCCAATCTCCGTCCTCTTCCATCTTGGCATTGACTTGCTCTTCAGCATCACCCTCGAGCCCTTCACTGTCAAACGCGTCCTCGTCGTACATGTCGCTGTCGTAGTCGTCGATATCCATCTCGTCATCATCTTTGTCTCCCTCGGTGCCACCCGACTTTTTATTGGCCTCCTTCGCCTTGCGTTTCTTCTCCACGTTCTCCTTTTGCTGCTTCTTGCGGGCCTCCTTTTCCTTCTTGCGCTGCTCCCATCTCTTTTCCAGCTCCCTGATCTCCTCCTTCGTCTTGTGAACGTACTCATGCCACATGACCTTGCCCGAGCAGAGCCCTTCCTCCACCTTGGTCATGCGCAGCCGCATGCGCGGTCCCAGCTCTACTAACTTCACCGCGCGTCGCTCGACATTGTCGTTGGCGCCGGCATCTTCATCGTCACTGTCTTGTTTCCCAGTAGCTCTGGGCTTGCCGCTGTGGACCTTCTTCGTGGTCGTCTCGAGAACTTCGACTTCAGCATCCGTCTCAGGCTCGCTACCGCTTGTCCCGTCGGTCTGGTACCCATCCCCGTTCTCTCCGCCAATCATAAACTCGGATATGTCTTGTAGATTTCCAAGGTTTGGAAGACCACCCTTCTTCCCCTTTTTGGATTTGAGCAGCTTCTCGGCAGCGTTGAGCCGCCTCAGCGGCTTCGACAGTCCCACCGCTTTAGTGGTAATGGCGTAATGCCTGAAATTCAAGATGAATGTTCCGTCGTCTTCGGGGGACTGCTCTCGGTTCAGGAGCAACACTCTCCTAATCGACTTGAGCGGCGTTGTCTGGGGGTTGATTGGTGGGAAGAGTGATTGGAAGGCGGTAGTGGTGAGGGACTCAAGATGTCTAGGGACTTTTGAATTCGCGTCGGAGGAAGGATTGGTGAAGTTATTCATGACTAGCTACGGCGATGGTCAGCTTAGAAGCAGAGCGCGGGATATATTGGGGGCTTCTAACCAAGGGCGGTGTTATAAATTCTTTGCCGCCTCCTTTAGGATGCCTCTGTGCCCTCCGGACATCCTTCGTCAGAGAATACTTTTCGACCCTGAAGTGAAATGTAGGACCACGGGGCGCCACGGCCAGTCGCAGGTTGGTGTTTCCCGATGAGGATCGCGAAAACAAAAGGAGGTGAGTTACTCCAAGCGGGCCGCACATCGTAACATAATCTCGTAGCCTATTTGCCTTCCGCTCTTTGAGACGCGACGCGGTCCCGGGCTCCATCACTCGACGAACATCGGCGGCCAACTGGCTGACGCTGGTTCCAACCTCGCCAGCACCAATTCGAATCACCATGCTCTTGGGGTCCCGCGGATTGGCATGGCCATTGACGGCAGCCGGGGTTGCCGGGTTGTTTGCGCCGACATGGGTTCTCTTTTTTGTACGTCGTCTCGCCATGGTAGTCGACGGCTTGGGATCATCTGGTGTTGAGATGGTTTAAGATGGTCTGCAGTTGAAGCTCCAGGGCCAATTGCCGGTCGACAAGGTGTCGGCGAAAATTTCGGTGGGGCAGTTCTTATCGTGCATGCTCCCCACTTGATAAGCCCGAATTTTGGCGCAACCCTTGGCTTCCATCGTCCAAGTTCACGACCTCGAGACGACCAAAAACATTTCAGAGCAGAAGATCGACCTATAAATCACAGCCAGAATGTCAACCAAACGCAGAAAAATATCCCACGACTCCGGAGCTACGGGAGGTGACTCTCCCGAGGCACGAACTACCCAATCGAAGACCAAGCCCGCTCCAAAGCCCAAAGATCCATCACCACCGTCGACCTCCGATGCCGACTCTGCCACCCTTGACAATGGTCCTAAGCAAGAAACCGGGGATGCTGCTCCCAAGTCATTTGCCGACCTAGTATGGGACCTATATATGGCTTCCGAGGCGAGCAATACTGACATGGAGGGCAGGGGATCGTCGACTCACTTTGCGACGCCTGCGACAAGCTCGGATACAAGAGGCCAACCCCGATTCAAGAACAGGCAATCCCCCTTGCCCTGCAGAACAGAGATATCATTGGTATTGCTGAGACTGGAAGCGGCAAAACGGCTGCGTTTGCGCTCCCGATTCTCCAAGCTCTCCTCGACAAACCTCAGCCCCTCTTCGCCTTGGTTCTCGCGCCCACAAGAGAGCTTGCCGCCCAGATTGCGCAGGCGTTCGAAGCGCTTGGATCCCTAATATCGCTTCGATGTGCTCTTATACTCGGTGGTCTGGACATGGTACAACAAGCCATTGCGCTCGGGAAGAAGCCCCATGTAGTTGTTGCGACCCCTGGTCGGTTGTTAGATCACCTGGAGAAGACGAAGGGCTTCAGCTTGTAAGTTGCGCCCAGTCTTGGTCAGCCCGACCGGCGCAGAGCACTTGGATTCGATTTGTCAAAAGCATCATACTTACTTCTGGCACAATAGACGCAACCTTCGCTATCTGGTCATGGACGAAGCTGATCGGTATGCCACCCCTTTCGCAGCCTTAAACGTCATTCTAACAACGGTTAGCCTACTTGACATGGACTTTGGGCCAATTCTTGAAAAGATCCTCAAATTCCTCCCGAGAGAACGGAGGACATTCTTATTTTCTGCCACGATGTCCAGCAAAGTCGAGAGTTTGCAGAGGGCCAGTCTTCGCGACCCTCTCAAAATCAGCATTTCATCGTCCAAGTACCAGACGGTATCGACACTGGTTCAGAACTACATTTTCATCCCCCACATGCACAAGGACACTTACCTGATATACCTGTGCAACGAGTTCGCTGGGAAGACTATCATCATCTTCACACGGACGGTTCTCGAGACACAGAGAATCGCCATCCTCCTCCGCACGCTCGGCATGGGTGCAATTCCCCTTCACGGCGGGCTCTCCCAATCAGCCCGTCTTGGTGCTCTCAACAAGTTCCGTGCCGGTTCCCGCGAGATTCTCGTGGCCACGGACGTGGCCGCACGTGGTCTCGATATCCCCAACGTGGATTGTGTCCTCAACTTTGACCTGCCGCAGGACTCCAAAACATACGTGCATCGTGTCGGCCGTACCGCTCGTGCCGGCAAATCGGGGCATGCGATAAGTATTGTCACGCAATAGTAAGTCCTTACCCGAACACAGAAAGTTTGTCGCCCGCAAAATCTAACCCTGATGAAGCGATCTCGAAATCTGGTTGCGCATCGAAGCGGCGCTGGGGACAAAGCTCAAGGAATATTCCCTAGAGAAGGATGAGGTCATGGTGTTCAAGCCGCGTGTCGAGGAGGCGCAGAGGCATGCCAAAAACGAGATGAAGGCTTTGATTGAGGACCGTGGCAAGAAGGGCTCGGTGCTGAAGGGCGGCAAGGGCCGGAAACGGGGAGCGCCAGGGACAAACAGGGATGATATGGACGCCGAAGAGGGATAATCGTAGAAGAAGGATAGTCGTTGACCAGAATGAAGATTGGGCGGCTCTATAACGATATGCGAGTGGGCGGTGTAAGTAAAGTACGTGAGTAAACAGAAAAAAAGCGTGATTGATCGAGGAATCGAACCCAAAAAGAGAAGCAGACGTTCGAGCCTGGGCAGAAGTCCGGGACAGTCTTTCGTCAACCAGAGCCTGTCCAGGGATTTTCTCAACGCCTGCGCTGGAACCGTTACACCACAACGCCGTTGAAGGTGTAGTGGTTCCTGTTGAAGACCTGCCGCCTTACACATGCCTATATACCCCCGCCCATCGCCCACCTCATGTATCAAAGAACCGGCCAAGTGTTCATTACAGCAGTTGCCTTTCACAACGGAAACTGAGGTGCTAACGCTTGGTCAACGGCGTCGGATATGTACAACTCTCCAACACTGACACGCCCACTGGCCTCCATTCACCCGCCCTCCGTCAGTACCCTAGTCCAATCAAACTTCCTCCACCGCTTCTTGAACCCGTCCACCCGCTCGTCATTCCTCGTCCACTTCCCCTGCCGCTTAATCACGTCCGGCTCGGTATCCAGCATGCCCCCAATAACCTCCCTCGCAAACAAATCCCCCTTTGGCCACCGGTCCTCATCCTCCACTACGTGGCCTAACCCCCCATCCAGATTAAACCACACATGAAAGTAGGGCATCTCCTTCGCCAAACTCCGACGAAACGCCAGCTTGCCCAGCCCCTCGCGGGCCTTCTTGGCGGTATCAATGATCTTCTTGTGCTGGGACCACTCCTCATCGGCCGACAGCATGGCCTCGCGAAAAAAGACCGGGGCCGTGTCGCCCAACTCATAAGGAATGGGGACGGCGACGAGAGCGGCGTGCAGGCGACGCCGGTGCGCCGCGGCCGCGTTCTCATAGAAAAGAATCTCGCGCCCCTGCTCGTGGTACAGGCGCGTCAGGGCCTTCATGAAGTTGCGCATCTCCTCCCACTCGTCGTCGTCGCACTCGAGCAGGTTGGTGCGGTGGGACAGCGGGACGATGACGGCGCCGCCCTCGGCGCCCGTCAGCTCCGGCGCTGTGGGCAGGGAGAGGTAGGTGCGCGTGCCGAGCGAGATGACGGGGGCGAGGGGTTGGTTCTGGGGCGGCGCCCGGTCCTCGTGGTAGCAGAGCGGGCACGTGTCCAGGATGCGGTTGAGTTTCTTGTACTCGGCCACGGCAACGTTTTTAAGCGAGGCTTCGTTCTTGTGCACCCTCCGGGCGAGCTTCTCGGCGTTTTCGTCGAGGTACTCAAGGTCATTGTCGAACTTGGCGTCTTTGGCGATGCGCTCGGCTAAGCGGAGACCCTCGCCGCCGGCTTGTCCCCGTGTCCGCCGCTCCTCACGCACCATGTCCTCGATGGACATGTCTTCGTTGGCTTCGACTTGGCCACGCTCGAGGCCCCGCTTGTTGGTCACGGCTTTGACTTCGCCTCGAGGGCCGGCTAGCATGCGATTGTGGGAGGCGTCGAGGACAATGGCATTGCTCGAGGCGGCTCCGGTCTTGAAGGCTGCCATGGCGGCGTTGTACTCCTTCTCGAGCTTGTCGGCTTCAGGGGCATTGCGCAGCTTCGCTTTCATGAGTTGAGCGCGCATCCGGTTGAGGGCGGACTGGTCCATTGGGGGAGCTGGTTGGATCATGTCCTCGATGACCAAGCCCTGCTCGGGTTGTGGAGGCGGAGAGCGCGCTGGTTCGGGCCGCGTCTTGGAAAGTCGCTCGGAATACAGTTCGCCTGTTGGCTTCTCCTTGCCGACGTAGCCCTCACCGTATACTTTCCGCCTGTCTAGTTCCATCTTCTCCTCCCTTGCGTCGTCAAAGTCTTGTAAGCTGCCAAATCTCTCCACCGCAACATCATCGACCGAGCGACCGGTCTGCTCGGCAATTGTGTAAACCGCTTTCAATTTAGTCATCCTCCATTGGGAGCCCTCGTCCCCGAACTTGTAGTTCACTTCCCGGGCCTTGATTGGCGCCAGTTCCTCAACGCTGTCTCCTACCTCAGCCAGCCTTGTATTCAGCTCTCGCTTGTGCAGCACCCTTTTTGATTCTTCTCTCACAGGCGAAGGGCTCTTCCTCTTGGTCCCCCTGTGGAGGTAGTCTACGTCGAGAGCGGATGGCGCCGTCATCCACGAATCTCGAACGAGGGGGACGGTTTCGTCCGGAGCCTTCTCTTCGTCAGGCAACGGAAGGTCCTCCTTTGGGTCCGATTGCTTCAGGTCCTTGGGGTCCTTTCCTCGCCGTCTCTCGTGGTTGCCAACCACACGGTCTCTCGAGCCATCCCTGGACCGATTCCTAGGACTGCGCCGATCCCTAGGCGCCTCTTCCTCGTCTTCCCGGGAACGGCGCGACCGTTTATGCCGATGCCGGTCCTCATCTAAATCATCATCTCTGGATCGGTGATGCGAGCGCCGTTCCCTATCGCTATCGTGGCTCCTATGCTCGTCTCTTTCTCGATCTTTGTGTCTGTGTCTGTGGCTGTGTCTGTCTGCATCGTGATCGCGGTGATGGTGCCTGTGTCTCCGTTCGCGCTTGTCTTCTTTCTCCCGGGCTGCGCGGTCCCGCTCAGCTTTCTCGGCCGCTAGCGCTTTCTCAAAATCTTCGAGACTATTCATTCTGGCTTGCGGCACTGATACTGGTAGGATTGCGAGTGCTGAAGTTGTCAATCAAATGCCAAGCCAAGATTGGAAAGTTCAAACTTGTGAGGTGACGTTATCGTAGGTTACACTACGGTGGATGATTAAGCTAGCTTACAAGGTTTATCTAGTGTGACCCACAAGGCTGTAAAATCGACGCCCCATAAGTCGACGGTGATGAGATTGTTCTGTCTCGTTTTTCCCATCTTCCTTTTGGCTTTGCATTGGCAGTTTCTACCCTAGTGTCAAATTATTTCCTGGCAGTCGACCGCTCGGTGCATATGTCATGATAATGTTTTAGAAGACTGGTCATTTTGCTCCATCAAGCTTCTTTTGCGCATTCGAGCTATTTTAAGCTAGTCCCCGCTTCCAGTGATATCAGAGTTACCGAATCCGTTATTCTGTGAGAGCAATACGTATCTTGTGGCTCAACGCCCAGCCAAATCCACCATAACCCACAACAAAATTTCAATTGTAGGCCACCTTACAGATTTCCATCATCATACAATGAGCGTATTGAAGCCATCAATCTTGCGCACGCATCGATGACCTTGAGTAGGTTGATGCCAGTCCGAAAGCTCGGTCGTTGCGAAGCTCAGGGTCAGGAATTGGAGCGAGGCTGCCATTGCTTACATAAGCCTGTATTGATTCTTCAAGACACCCTGGCAGATGCAGCAAAGGAATTAGGAATGTACTCATTACACTATTGCAAATAGCTTTATCAGGTCGTCGCTCAGTAAGTATAACATTTTAGGTTTTCATTTGCCTTTCAGAGGTATTTAAAAGTCAAATGTGTGCAAGCATATGGCTTGCTCTTCCGTCCTGCAAGAGAGTGCAAGGGGATGAGCGTGTGTAGTGAATTGCGCCACATGCTCTCACAGAATAATGTTTTCACAGAGTTATGGAGTATCCAGGCTCGCCAGGCAACAAGATGCTTCCCTGTTCAACTCCATTGGAACCTTTGTCACAGTCTCATCTACTGTGCAGATCTGTGAAGCATTCTCTGTCGTTGTTTCTACTTCAAGCACCGCGATACTGCCAGGAGTATTGAGTAGTACACGTCTCTTTAGAGTCCCCATGATCTTGAGATCTAGGTAGATAGGTAGGCAATTCTCGGAGACATTGACCGAACAACAACAGAGATTCAGGTGTGTCTTGTATTCTTTCTTGTTCTTATCCATCTTGTCTATACCACGACACGAGTTACCATACCCACTCTCTTATCCATCATTCTTCTAAGCCCCTCCTGAACTTACTCAGCCCCGGCAACGGGCCGCCACCTCTTCGGAGACCCGGTTATCCGGTGCCGAGCTACTCACTGGGGTTCTTGGGGGACCAACCGAGTACCGCGACCCGACGCTGGCCCTTACCCGGCGATTTGGAATTGCGAGACAAAGATAGGCCAACGGCATGTATTGTATGTACAAGATCGCATTCATACCGTTCCTTTTCCGCGTAAATACGTGCACAAAGATCCGAGTACTAATCGAGCGGACTCTTTGTTATCAGGCCTCCGTTTCTTGCATACCCCGGGCAGCACAGCATCGGCCAGTCGCGGATGCAAGCATCAGGGAATTCGCCTGTTCCGAAGGTTTCTGGGCTTGGGCTGACATCCAAACAGGACAGAAACCTCCTCTCGGCATGGTAATGGCCGCCCCTTGCATCGCGGAGCGGAGTTCGCGTGGGCTTGGCTGGGCAGCGGATTGAAGCCTAGATTTGAGAGAGCATACCAATGATGAGAGCAGTGCATGTTTCTCCAGGATAGCTAATGGAATAGTGAATCTAAATAGATTATATTCGTAGTTGATCATCGAGCATCATGAAAGCCTTTCCAAACTCCTGCGTCCGAACATCAAAACATCCTCTTGTACCCACATAGACAAAGCTTCAAACAAGACCGTTGGGTATAAATCAAAAGCCATCCAGTATTACCTTGAAGCCCCTAAGGTTGCGGTAACAGATGCGAACCAGTTCACTGCGCGTAATTGTACCGCTGGGGCAATTGCCCATGCCCGTACTGAGGTTGTGGCGGCACTACCTTGGCGTAATCTGCTGGATTATACGGGGGATAATTGGATGGAGGAGGCATGCGCCTGTCCCCCTTTTGAGCGTCCCGGTGTTCCTCTGTTGTTTCCTGGTGCGGGGCCAGTTGAGATGGGAAGCCCTTGTTATCCGGGGCCCCAACACTTGAAGTATAAGAGGTAGGTCGCGAGCCGCCTGCGGACCACTGCCCTCCCAGCGAGGGATTTGGGCTCGAGTGTGGGGGATCAACAAGCGATTCCCGATGCATTTGCGATTGTGAAATTGGTCGGGGTGACATCCTTGCCGGCTGGAGGTCAGCGGACGCATGGTAGAAATCCCCCGGCATTTCCACAGGCATCTGGTTTTCCACATTCGGTGCGGCCGGAAGCTCCTGCGGTACGGCTTGCGCCTGATCATTGTAGCCTTTGAGGCCTGGCTGAGGATTGTAACCGCTGCCGGCAGTGCCGGGTCTGCGTACAGACTGTAGGCGGGGAACGTTATACGGCATGACTGGCGAAGCCGCCGTCATTGGCGGCGAGTTCCCGCCAAGGGTTGGCGAGTAACGAACACCGAGTCCAGTGGGCGACGGCAGCGGCGATCTGAAAGTGCTGCTTCGGTCGGCCGGATTGATCGTCTTGAGCTTCCCATCCTCAATCATCGCCTGAAGCACACCGGCATCGAGCAGTTCGGCCTTCTTGATGATGCGTCTCACCATCTCAGAGCCGGCCTTCTTCATCTGCGACTTGACAAAGCTGTGTACTGTAACATTGCACTTGATCTCAATGTCCTCCCTCAGGTACAGGCCGTCAGAAGGCGCGCCAAGCGCTTTTAACCCGATCTCTGGGATCTCTGGCGGCTCGACGCCGGGTTGGTTGCCGGCGATGCGATACGTGTTTCGCAAATCGACATTCATGGGTGCGTAGATGTGAGTCTGGAGGCCCCACGGCATGTTGTGGAAGCAGCCGTTGAACTTGATGGTCGACGAGCCCATCCTGCCCATGCCTGGTAGGAACTGGATACGCTCCGTGATTTCATACCAGGTCGAATAGTACTCGTCGGTTTCAGCATTTTGTGGAGCTGGGATGGGACGATGTTCGAGAACAAGCGGATTCAGAGTGATAACTTCAGAGTGGGAGTGGAGGATGTCGATTGCCAGCTGCCGCGGGATAAAGCCCGGGATGGGCGTGATCACGGTAAAGGTATCCTTTTTCCGCAACATGGCGGAAGAATTCCCGTTGATCGGATTGCTTGGATTGGATACCTGTTGGGTTGAGAGAACTCGACGGCAATGTGGGATTGCACTGGATCGCGCTGCGCAAGGACCTAGACCAGCAACTGTTGCTGAAAGAAATTGTGAGAAGGGCAGGGGAGATTGACCATCTTATTATCGGGGGCCAGGGTACTGTACTGTTTGGGAGGTCAATCTGCAATTGTGCCACACATTGGTCATTTGTTTGGCCTGGCTACAACTTATTGGTTGTGGCTATGGATGGGCACCAACCGCCCAGAAGGATTTGGATTAATAGCGTCTTTGTCCCCGATACGGCAACATTATTAGAACGATGACGTGAGCCTGCTACAGTTCGTCGGGGCCACTGGGAGAGACCATAACTGTTTCGGGCCTTTCTGTGAGAGTTCTGAGAATCTCCAGTGCTGTACATTTCGCTATCCGTCTCGCTTTGCGCAGCCTTAAGGTAGGTTGGTATGTGCTGCAAAAAGGGAACTGCATGCCCGTGTATATTTGTCCAGCTGCAGGTGCAAACGTTGGGGACAGGCTGCAGTGAGTCGGGTTCTAGCCTAAGCTCTCTCAAGACAGCGGATTCCCCCACCGGCTCCACTCATAACTTAGTCTACATTCGGTTAGGTACGTATGAACAGGTGTTAGCCATACTGTGTAGCCCCGCGGATCCGCAAACCGTTACTGCGGGCCTCGAACAAGTCGAACAGTTTCGCCCCACTATGATAGCATTTTGACCCCACCATGGAATTTCTGCTGCATATCTGAAGTCTGCGGTCCAGACTACTTCTTCTCCGGATTCTTTCACGACTTAAGGACGTATCGCAGATCAAAGCACTCCGCAGGATGGAATCGGAATCAGCAGCGGCAATCACGCCGCAAGGGCAAGCGCCCCAACCTGTGACCATCGTCTGCGTCGGCATGGCAGGTTTGTGATATCCCTCCTCTCCATCTACTGATGTCGCTGATTCTGGGTCTAGGATCTGGCAAGACGACCTTCATGCAAAGAATTAATGCCCATCTACACGCCAAGAAAGAACCACCCTATGTCATCAACCTCGACCCGGCAGTCACTCATGCGCCCTTTCAGAGCAATATCGACATCCGTGATTCGGTCAACTACAAGAAGGTGATGGAAGAGTACAATCTCGGGCCAAATGGGGGGATCATGACATCCCTCAACCTCTTCGCGACAAAAGTGGATCAGGTGCTTGGATTGCTCGAGAAGCGCGCAGCGCCAGACCCCCAGAACCCGAGCCGCAAACCGATCAAGCATATCTTGGTCGACACCCCGGGGCAGATTGAAGTCTTTGTGTGGTCTGCGTCAGGAAGCATCTTGCTCGACTCGCTTGCCTCGTCGTTTCCCACAGTCATCGCCTATATCATTGACACGCCGCGGACCAGCTCCACCTCGACGTTCATGAGCAACATGCTCTATGCCTGCAGCATTCTCTACAAGACCAAGTTGCCCATGATCCTAGTGTTTAACAAGACCGACGCGAAGGATGCGACATTTGCCAAGGAGTGGATGACTGACTACGAAGCTTTCCAGGCGGCTCTGAATGAGGATGAGAATAACAATGCCTTTGGCGGCCAAGAGGGAGGAGAAGGCGTGGGCAGTGGATATATGGGCAGCTTGTTGAACAGTATGAGCCTCATGCTGGAAGAGTTTTACGCTCATCTCAATGTGGTCAGCGTGAGCTCGCTCTATGGTACTGGTATCGACGAGTTCTTCGAGGCCGTACAAGAGAAAGCCGAGGAATTTAGACGGGACTATCAGCCTGAGCGGGATCGCGTGCGGGCCGAGCGGGAAGAGAACAAGAAGAAGCAGCGGGAGAAGGAACTCGAGAAGATGATGAAGGATATGTCAATGGGCGGCACGACGTCAAAAACCGCAGTGGCAGATATCAAGCAGGACGACGACATCGATCCCGTTAGCCCGGATGAGGACAGCGAGGACGAGGTTGATGACGAGGAGGACCGCGAAGGCCTTCAAGCAAGATACGAGGCGGCAATGCTCCACCAGGAGGAGTCAACGGGGACAGAAGCGAGTTTCGCCAAGTATCTCTATTCACAGCGCGGATAGAGCTGTCTGTAGCGGAGGGCTGGCACATCATGGTAGAGCACTTAGGGACTTGGGCCGAGGGGCTTCGGCATGAATAGCATTTATGGGCGTTTGGGCGTGATACCATAATCATTTCTTGGCTATAGCAGAGACAAAATCCGAGGCAGACCTCCCATAATCATATCTGAATGTACCAATCAAAGTGCCTCCCGAAACGCCGATTCCCAACAGATGCTGCCTGCTGTTCGCCGATGAAAAATTCTGCCTTGACACCCGCAAAGAGAGTTGGATACGACCGTACGCTTGTCTCGTTGCAAGCCAAGTGGCCTGCTATCGTGCCTCGAACTGAACCATCCTGCACGTAGTAAAATGTCAACACCTATCCATCTTCCCGCTCATCAGATCTTATATATGCTCACCGCTTCGTCCTCTCCTTGTACAAGACGCGTGCGCCACACTTGTTGCATCTGATAGGCGCACCCTTCTCGAGCGGCACCCGGGCCGCGCAGTCGCCGCAGAGATAGGTCATGGTGGTGTTGTTGTTGTCACCGGCATAGTCGCGCGGCGCGGGGGCACCGCTTCCGCCAAAGCCGCCGGACCACGAGTTTGTGGGGACTTGGTACTGCTCGCGAGACATGATGGTCGAGGTTTTGGTTTTGGGTGAGTCTGATTTCCGATCAGAGTGGTTTGTAAATCCGGATAGGTTTGCGGAAGCGGCGGGGATGGCTGAGATCTGAGAATGAGATGGGGGAGCAAATTTTGGCGGAGGATGACGGCAGAATTCGAGACTAGGGCCAAGGCTGGTTGGGGAATTGGGGCTTCGGGGAGCGTCATGTGACTGTTTAGCTAGCTTACTAAGGTGCCGAAAGTTGCCTGCCGAGCTGCTAAACTGTGATGGCAGGCAAGATCCACATGGATAATTCCAAGCTCCCCGGAGCCGAGGAAGAGCATCTTGTAGCTCCGTCGTCTTGCTCTGGTGTAGATATTCTACTTCTACATCCATCGTTTTGTCAAGCATTCATTCCCCAAATCTCCCAATCTGCTCGTACCAATATCCTATTTTCCTCCGGAAAGAGTGGCTTTGGGACGCGCAGTACCAGTCCTCGAACTCATGCCGAACTACAATGGCACCCAAAAATACACTTCCTCCCTTCCCCCAGCCCCCTCTTCTGCCTTCGATCCCGGCCTCTTTGACAGTGATAACCAGGCGTGCCCCTTTTGCCACATTTCCTCCACCTATAGCCCGTACGACCCATCCTGTCCACCCCCGTCCTCCTCCCCGCTCCTCAACCCCTCTCTAACCTCTCCCCAACCCGCAACCTTCATGGTGCTCTCCACCCCGTGCCTGGTCGCTTTTCTAGACATCATGCCCCTCTCGGCCGGGCACGTCCTGCTGTGTCCGCGGCGGCACCGCGCCAAGCTCACGGATGCGACCCCGGACGAGGCCACCGAGCTGGGCAGGTACCTGCGGATCCTGTCCGCGGCCGTGGTGGAGGCGACGGGGGTGGGCGACTGGAACGTGGTGCAGAACAATGGGGCCGCGGCGGCGCAGGTCGTCCCCCACATGCATTTCCATATCATTCCCCGGCCCGAGCTGCGGGACAAGAGGAGCGAGCGGTTCACGGCGACCATGTTTGGACGGGGCCAGAGGGACGACCTGGATGAGGAGGAGGGCGCTGCGCTTGCAGAACGGATCAGGGAGAAGATGGCTGAGGTTTTGAGAAGAGAGGGCTGTGGGGAAGGGGGAGCAAAGCTGTGAACTTGGCCTCTTGACTGGTCGGGGTCGAGGGTCAATTCACGGTGAGGAACGCCTTCATGGTTATGGCACAACAGGGATATGTCAGGGCTATGAGTAAGTTCTATTTGGTGTCACCAAGCTTGTATGAGTCTGATGCTCCGAGCAGCCTGTTATACCTCTTTCACTCGTCGTCCCCGAAGAACACCTTGACCGGCAGCCAGGCGTCACCACAAACCTTGAAGCGATCCGGGATCGCATCAATCTTAGCCACCTCCTCGTCAGTCAAGCTCCAGCCATCCAGGTCAAAGTTCGCCTTGATCCGCGATTCCGTGACACTCTTCGGAAGAACGCTCCATCCCTTCTGCAAACCCCACATGAGCAGAACCTGCTGCGCACTGCGGTTCTTGGCCTTTGCAATGGACGCGATCGTCTCATTGCTGTACAGCGGCGATTCACTGCTGCCGAGTGGCGAGTATCCCGAGCAATGGATGCCCTTCTCCTTGCAGTACGCAACCAGCTTAGGCGACGGGTTCCCCGGGTGAAGCTCGATCTGGTTGACAGCCGGGACAATCTACATTCGCGAGTCAACATCTCCTTCGACCACAGCATAATGAATGTCGTACAAACCTTGCAGCTTGGATCGTTCAGCAGCCTCTCGAGGTTCTTAATCCCAAAGTTGCTGACACCAATGTTCTTGACCTTGCCGGTGCCAACCAACTTCTGCATCTCCCGCCAGGTATCGACAAAGTCCCAGTCGGGATAGTGCTTCTTGGTGTCGTTGGGATCGGTGCTGGAAGGCCAGTGCATGAGGTAGAGATCAACATAGCTCGTGCCGAGGCTCTCAAGGGAGCTGTCGATCCCCTTGGTCACGTCCTTGTGCCATGTGTTGTCCAGCTTGGTGGTGAGCCAGATCTCCTCCCGCGGCACCCCAGATGCGCGGATGCCGGCACCGACTTCCTTCTCATTGCCGTACGCCAGCGCCGTGTCAATGTGCCGGTACCCCGCCCTCAGGGCCGCCTCGACGGCCTTCTCGACCTGGCCTGGCGGTGATTGCCATGTGCCCAGGCCGATTGCGGGCATAGAGTCGCCCGTGTTGAGCTTGAAGGTCTTACTGGATATGGCATGAGCGGGGGGCAGCTTGGCTGTAGAGTAGGATGGTCACTTACGCGGTGTTCTTGACAGCAGCCATGATTCAGACGAGGTCTTCGAGTCGGCTCACGAAGTGTGATAGAAAGAAAAAGGTGGTGAAAGAGGAGAATACCTACTTTGATTCACATCTTATTAAACCATCTAGCTGGACCAAGACTGCGGGGAAATATTTCGTCCGGTGTAGATAAACACGCAGGACGATTCCAACTTCTTCGATAGCTCAACGACTAGTTGACTAGTGACGTATGTTCGTCCCTTGGCCCGCCGGACTAGACAAAGCTTCCCTGGAAGAACCGCAACTTACTCCATCGCCTCAGCGGGGTTGCTGCAGGCTGTGTGGGTATGTAGTCCTCAAGGGACCACACGGCTGCCGCCTCCTCGGTAGAACCGGCATCACGGTCCGTAGTGTCTTTCTCGGCCTGAGGGTTAGGTGTGAGACAAGGCTTTCGAGAATTCCCACACACATGTGAACACAGAAAGGGCCATGCTATGCTTTTCGGGAGGGGAAGCATTCCCCATCGAGGTTGTGACCCTTTGTTTCCCGTGCTCCGTAAATAAACACCCCTGAGCCGAAAGTGAAACCTTTTAGCGATTGGTATCTGTGTACCACAATGTCTACTGCCATCAACCGATTACGCTCTCTTCATACGAGAAATCTTGGCAAAGGGCAAGCAAGCCTGACTGAGAACCTCAGATCACCAAAAAAAGAGGTATCGATGCGGAGATGCGCTATTACACCGAATCCACCTTTCCCCCTTTTACCCCCCACTCCACACGATTAGTTCCGCCCCAATCAGCCTCTACCTACATCAGCCATCCGTCCCACTGCTCCTAAACGTCGCGCAGAGGGCCGCATAATGATGTGTCAGATCGAGTACATTCTGGGGCAGATTTGTCGCTTGAATTATGCTCCGGATCTTGACGGCCCCCTCGTCCTCGATCAGCAGGCGGATCGTGTGCAGCAGCTCGGGCGAGAACTCGCTGTACCACCGGTACTGCCACGTTACCAACCTGATCGTGGCCGCGACCGTATCGCGCGTGCTCTTTGTCTTCTCGAATACCTTGAGGATTCCCGCCAGCGCCCTGGGGCTGAAGCGCTGCGACAGGCATGCACGGTACGCCTCAACCGCCTCGTCGACGTGCTGCAGGCGCTCGGCCAAGCAGCCGAGAATCTCCCACTCCTCGGCCGACTTCTTGTACTGCATGCTCTGCGCACGGTACTGGGCCATCTGCGTGCGCCATATCGTGTATACGCGCAGATCCTCGTAGAGCACCATGAAGAGGCTGTCCAGCCAGCGCTCGCACAGCCGCTTGTTGTTGAGCCGTGAGAAGTGATTCTCGCTGGAGGCCTGTTGAGACGTCAGCTCTGAATTCAAGGGGAGGGTTTTGTGAGGCTGGCTTACGCTCTCGTCTGCCTTCGCGACCTCCTCCGGGCCGAGGGCGCTGGAAGGCCTTTCAATATCTTTTGCGGATTTATTACCATTGGGAACAGCGAGAGTATGCGCCACAGAATCTTCATCGCTCTCATTGTCAGCCTCGTCAGCTTCAGCTCCTTCTGCACCGTTTCCATCTTCGGGACTATCGCCATTGGTCGCAGGATCCGGGGTCCCACGGATAGCGTCGGTGCTCGCGTTGCGCTTCTTGGGGTAGCTCTGCTGAGCTGACTCGTGTTTCTCGCGGTACTCGTCTTCCATGACAAAGACATTGCTCCTAATCTTGAGCAGCTGGTCCCAGCCAATCTTGGCTGTCATTTCCGTCAGGATGCTGTAAGCTTGCTTGAATGTACCCCGATAGGCGGCGGCGCGGAGGTTCAGCAGACTCGGATCTACCTGCTCAGAGTACCGCGTCTCGGGCTCGCTGTCGATTTCATCCAGCCTCGTCTCGGGTAGGGTTGGTAGATTGATATCTCTCGGTTCCGGCATGACGGGCGCATCTTTATCCTGATAGGTAAACATCGGACATGAGTTCAGGGTAGTGAGTGCGTTCTCCCAGTCTTCCATAGCCACGTATACTTGGGCTAACCTGGCCCATGTACCGAACTCGCTTGGCGCTGCGATTGTGCTCCGGTCAGCGCAGCCGAGGGCCATACGCAGCCTCTCTTCCTTTTGTTCTGGTGTTGCGGCGGTCTCGGCCTTTTTGAGTAAGAATTCCGCCTGGGTGTCGAGCATCACATAGTCCATCGGAGACTCCTTCAGCGCCTCATGGAGAACGCGAATTCCCTGGACCTCCTCATTTCCCATGAACAAGACCTTTGCCAACAAGGACGCTACCTCAGTATTTTGTGTGCGCAGCTTCTCAAAGAGGTTGATAGCGGAGGCGTAGCGTCCAGTGGTATGGAAATACTTGAGTAAGCCAGCTGTGAGGTGGTTCGAGACCAGATTAGGGACTTGCACGACGGAGTCGGATCCAAGTTGCCAGCCTGCGAATGGGTTAGCTGATATGGGTGGCATGGTGCATTTCTATTCCCGTGTCTTACCCCTAAAGAAGAGCTGCTCGGCTGCACTGAGGAACCGATGCTCGGTTTCGGTGTTGGTTACCGGGTTGAAGCGCCTAACGCCGATTATCTTGCGAATGGTATCGCCAGTGCCATCGTCAGCGTAGGAATAAGCGCGTAACACACTGCAGAGGTATGTCTCAAGCCAGAGCTCTTCAGTCGCCTTCTTCTTTTCCCCGCGCTCGTCGACGCAGTAACTCTCAACAGAGCCCGGGAAAGGGGCGTGCACGCGCATGTCAACCCGCGAAAAGGCATTGTAACAGCTGGCGCAGAGTCAGCAGGTGCAAGGTATGGCACTGGAAGGCTCCAAGTTACCAATAGGTCCCCTCGAGCGTCTTACTGGTAGCCGACGGGCCAAACTCCTTGTACGCTAGGGTATTGATGTAGGCGGCGAGACTGGCGGACGAGGAGGCATCCACCCCGGTGACATGATGGTAGACTCCCACCTAGATAGCCATGTCCGAATTAGCATCCGGGTCTCAGCGAGGACACGCAAGACTAACATGTTTTCCAGATTGGCGCAGCGGCTGCTTGACCAGGTGTACGAGGTCCGGAGGGCCAAGCTCGCGAAGGGATATCAGGGAATCGGTGCGCGCATCAATTGCCTCGTGCAATACCTCCTCAGTCAACCTACACATGCACACATCAGTCCCCAGTGTTCTTGGCAAGGCGGGATCGGGAGTAGAGCGGGAGCGCAGACTCAGGAACAGCGGGCGCAACCATGGCGAGAGACGCTTTCGCACCGCCGTTGTCGTCGACGGGCGTAGGGTTGGGTTCGATTGGAACTAGCTCAGCAAACTGGAAGATTGGAGCACTTCAAATTCACAATGATAGAGAGCTGCCAAGGGCGATGCATCGGTCGTGGATGCCTTGGGTAGACTCAATCGGGAGATGTCAGGGGTGCGAGGGTCAGGCTGGTAAACTGGAAAGGAGTGGGTTGACGATCCGTTGGCCTGTTCCGGGTTTCTTTGTATCCAAGCGATTGTCTGTACTTTTTATTGTTGCCCAAGTGGGCTAACATTGCTCGAGGTAGCTTCCACCGGAAGGAAGAGTGGACAGCTGCGAAGCTTGTTCTTCTGCTTCTGTTGACGCACGGACCTAGCACCCACAGCTTAGTGGACAGACACTTAAACACTTTCATAGGCTACAGTAGCTCGTCTCATTAACGCGCTCCAACGCTCCAACGTGGTTGAACTCGATTGCAGTGCTTGTCGCGTCGCACCCGAGTGCCGATCGCGAATGCCAGGCCACCCTTGGCAAATCATACATAGTTGCGGGCTTGCGGCATGGCAAACGCAGTAATTCCAGCCTACCTTTGTCGCCAACTCTGATTGTGGATTCCTTCCTGGCTACAGGGGACAGGAGGTAACTAGAGATTCATGATACCCTCTTGTTGGCGACAAAGATGGTAAGCCGGCGAATGCTTTGTTTTCGAGTTTATGGTGCTAACTGGGCCATCTGCAGGCCGCCTTCTCGGCCATCAACGTCGAACCTGAAGAGAATGTCGACGAAGAGGTTGATACCACCAAGGATCTTCAGGTATATTGCCTCTTCCCGGATCTTCTCGATCTCAATGGCCTCTAATCCATCCCCCTCTAGGTCGACGATGCTTTAAAGCTCTTCCAGACCGCTCTCAAACTCCACTCACAAGGGCCCCGATTCTTCGACCAGGCTTCCGCTGCCTACGATGCGCTCTTCGCCTCCGAAATCTTCAAATACCCCGAGAGCAAGACCGAGTACGAACGCAATGAGTTGGGGACGGACGGGGCAAACCTTGCCATCGAGCCTACTCTTGCCCCAGGCCTAGATGTCCTCGGGGCGGAAGCCGACGGCATTGGGAGCACACTTCCTCAGGCTCTCTACTTGTCTTACAAAAACCACGGCCAGTTCATTGTCGACCGCATTAAGCACAAGCTCCGCACTGCCGCGACGACAAAAGAGACTTTACTGCGAGACAATGCGGTTCAGGATGATGCCCGGAGAGCTCTTTACGACTTCAGCGCGGCATTGGATCGGGATCCCTCAGATGCTGAGCTCTGGAGAAAGGCCGCTCGCGTGGCCGCCTTTCTTACAAGCGCACGTATAAGTCGCTACAGCCTGGAGGCTGCCGTAGAGCTGGATGATGATCCATGCGTGGATGAAGTCGAACCCCCATCTCTGGCTGAGGGTTTCGCCGGAGGACAGCTTAAAAAGCAACTTCTAGTTCTGGACGATAAGATGGCATTGAGCCACCCTGTCATGAAGCCCTTCCTTGAAAAGGGCATGCCACCATATCTGACTCGCTTCATGGATCCCATGCCTTTCCTTCCCGATCCGACCACGTCTCTGCCGATCTCGAGACCACCCGCAGCAGAAATTGCTTCCCCCATTCTCTCGGTGTCCCTTTCGACCTCGTCTTGGACAGAACTGGGCACTGTCTTACTCCGAGTCATCAGAGAAGAAGGCTTTTCAGGGCGCGCCATTTCCATTTCACTGCCATGTGAAGACAACACAGCGGAGATTCAAATGGAAATAGACCAGCAATTACAACCGCCGAGGCCAACACCATCTCCGGAAAATCCTCCAGAAGCCACGCCAGCAGGAGAGCCAGCTACGGAGCAGTTGGTGGACGGAGAAACGGCAGCACAGGAGGCTAAGTCGGCTGCGACTGAGGCCAGCCAACCCAATGAACAATCCGCGAAAGAGCGAAGCAGCTCCATGCCGACTCGGAAGCGGTCACAATCCGCAGCCGGAATCCACGACGCCCCTGAAGATGAAAATGTGGACTTCAAGAGGAGCAAGAGGACTAGACGCCGAGATACCGCCGCGGAGGAGGCTATGGACCCCGCTACTTTTCTCGCGACACAGCTCCAACCATTGCAGGCTGCCGATCAGAACTTGTTTCAGACTACAAAAAACCTCCTGGAGAATCTCGGAGTGACAGATAGGGTGACACTAGAGAGGATTGCCGAAATCCTCGACTCCTGTGCTTCGGATGACCGAACAGGCAAAATTCAGAACCCGGCCACCATCGATCTACGAGATGCCATCACGAACTTCGATGAGGACACAGCGACGGTTTTGCTGAGTAAAAGGGAACTGCCCCAGCTGAGCCTCTCCGCATTCCTCGAACATGCCAAATCCGGGTCTCAACGAGCCCATGAGGCCCCGGCTTTTGATGATAGGCAAGGTATCAGAGACTTTGTCAACCGGATGAACGCTGGATGGAACACAATACACGACCTCACTTTTGAATACGTGAAAGCGCTGACACATACATACTCCACATCGAAGTGGCCAGACTCGCTGAAGACAACAGTAATAGAAGTCATTGGCCAAGGGGACGAAAGCATCTACAACAGGATCGTCCACGAAATCTCCCTTTGCCAGAGGGATAGCCAAGGGGCGGCATTCTCTGAGCTTGCAGACCTCGTGCAGATGCTTTTTGAACTCCATCTTGACGTCTACGAGCGCATCACGAACCCAAACAACCCTCTGGATCAGACCATGAGGCTGGAAGCGAAGGATAGGCTTGACCGGTGGATGAATATGGCGATCGAAGTTGCACGACTGCGGGATGCCGAGCCGAGCGAAAACTTGTCGCTTCGTCTTCTATGGGCAGGAGTCGCTTCAACCACATTGGGTAAAGGTACCCCGCGGGACCATGTGCTTAACTGCTGGCATAGCTTGCGAGACTTCCTTGCTAGCTTTCCTGGTGCCGAACTCAGTTTGCCCAATACCGCCGTCATCACTGAGATCTCAGTTCATGCCGCAGAGCGTGAGATATCCAAGCTCACAACCATGGACTTCTTCTTGGGTCTGTTCCAAGAGGACCTAGGCAACCCGGTGTCTGTGATTGAAAGCCTTGAGCCCGTTCTGAACCCCGAGAGTGTCTACATCAACATACCAGTCTCCCCCGACCCGAACGAGGTCAATGGCGATCACGACAAACCAAAATTTCACAGGCGTCCCATTACAGAGTGCGCCAGTCAGGAGCTGGTGGACCTGTGGAAATTCCTCAAGGCCAGCAGCACCGAACTGCGGCTGCTGCTCTGGTCAAGGCTCGGTGAGGCTTATGGCAAGATTCAGTATACCACAAAGCAGTTTTCGTGCTTTCTGCGCAGCATCGAAATCATCATTGCCGACTTCGAGCGGGACGAATATATCAATACGCCAACTGAACCCAGGAGAGGGTTGTTTATGAGTATGCTAAAAGCCCTGGACGATCTTATCATACAGTCTTTGCACCTGGCCTTGAACGACAACAGCTCCTTTGACATCGTTGACGAGGATCACTTGAGGTCCAGCATGTCTGCTCTCGCAAAGGTGAGTTGCCTTTTGCACGTTGCGGCCATGTATGAGGATGAGACGCGCATCGGGATGACGCCGGCCCCAGCAAATGGCTCGACCCTGCGAGCCTTCCTCAATAAGCTCCAAGAGATGCAAGTGAGGGCATGGTCACTCCAGTACACGATGCTCAAGGTTGGCATGAATCAGCACCAGGACATCTTCCCGAGGCCCGAAAATGATCTTGCCGATTACCTGGCTGCCGTGCATCAGGTTCTCGGCCTACGGAAATGCTGCAAGTCCTCCAACAAGATATTCCTTAAGATGATGCGCGTTGAGCTTTTGAAGCAGAAGAACATCGAGAACTGGGAAGACTATCTGGGCCAGGTACTCTACGATCTACACGGTCTGAAACTTGGTGTCGGCATCTGGGACGTGCAGGATCACGGCTGCGAACCCGAGAACCTGGAAAAACGCCAGGCCCTGCAACTTGTCGAGAAGATCATGGTGCTGGCAAACAGGATGTCGATGAAGGACCTCCTGAAATCGGACCTCAAGACGACGATTGAGCGGATGCAGCAGGCCATCGGCTCAGCGAAGTCCAGTCCACAAATGGCCCACAATCTTCGCAATTATACCGAATACCTCAAGGCACCAATCCACCCTCTGCATCTCTACCAGGCGCTCACCGGCAGCATTGATCTCGACGCCGTGTCTATCAACACGCCCGAGAGTGCCCCGGCCAAAAATGGCTGGTTTTTCTTGTTGGGCATGATTGCTCTTACCAAGTTCAAGGGCGTGGATCTCAATCGCCGCCAGACGCCAGGTGCTACTGATGACCTCAGAATCGGGGCCACCTTTCTGCGGCTCCAACTCCAATACACGCCTGACCGCTGGGACGCATGGTTTCGCCTTGCGGAGTGCTTCGACTACGAGTTGGAAGAGTCTGTGCTCTGGACTGCTGATAAGATGAACAAGGAGCGTGCTGAGCTGGTCCGGTTCCAGCGGCAGGCAATCCACAGCTACATCATGGCCCTGTCGCATTCCTATGCTTGGGCGTCTCAACCCGCGGTTCTCACGTCGTTGGAGAACGACGAGGAAGCTCTCTACGAAATGTACCAGGAGTTCGGGATGCGAATGTACTCGTCAAGCCGCGAGCCCTTTGCAATGGAGCCCTTCAAACATGAGGACCACCAGAGATTTTTCATCGGGAACGAAGGTTCAGGGACGTACAAGAAGATTCAGCACAACCAGATGTCGGACTACCAGGTATGGAAGTTTGCGGCCCACCTTTTCCGGAAGGCCATGGCAGGCAAACCTAAAGATTGGAAAAATCCATACATGGTAGCGAAGTGTCTGTGGAAGATGTATCAAAAGCCATCAGAAGAGCTGGACAAGATGAATCGCCTGCATAAGCCCACAGTACAAAAAGTCCTTGACGCACTTGAGAAGACGGTTGAGGTGGTGTCGGCGCTGCCCAAGCCCCGACACGGCCAAGATCCCATCCTTGAACCGCATTACAAGATTCTATCAGTCGTTCACAAACTCGTGGCGAGGGGCGACCTCCCGGCTCAGGAAGGTGCAAACATCTTACAGCGCCAGCCGTACGCGCCGGATCGTGGCAAAGAGGTTACGATCGAGAACGCCGATGACTGGGAGGCCTACGTGCTTAGGTGTCTGCGGTACCTTCGAGACAAGGACAAGTCTAACTGGCAGCATCGTCTCATCATCCGGCACGCCCGCATTCTGTTTGACGAGAACGCCAATGACGAAGAAAGCGAAAGCTACGTTGCTGCCAAGGCCGCCTTCACAGTGTTGCGAGAAAGCATGTTCACCAAGACCATGGTGATGAACGTCTGGAAGTGCGATGCTGAACGCCCAGGTCGCCACCATGTCTATACGGAGCGATACATCCGGTACATGGTGAGAGTGCTCGACGTTATGAACGATCGAGCCAACCTAGAAGCCCTTCTCCGCCGGATCCGCAAAAAGGGAGCCGATTTCTACCATTTCCACGAATTGTGGCAATTTTGTGTCGTGACATTCGTGAAGCTGCTCCGGCAGGCCTTCAAGATTGCGGTAACCGGGGAAGACGCGTTCAAGAACCTCAGGCCGGAAGAGTTCGATATCGTCGGCGACAAGATTGCTAAGTGGTCAATAACTCCCGAAGCAGAGAACAGCAGCGCATTGAGTGCCATGAAGGAGGCCGTCGAGCTCAAAAAGCTAAACGCCAATCTTATGAAGGCCAGCCCTATCGACGACCTTATCATCGACTGCTACTCAGCCATCTATCTGCATGTCAAGCCTGAGCTCCCCAAACCAGTCCCCACGCCGAGTGTGGAGGTTGACTCCAGCCAACCCAAGGACGAGGACGGCGGAGCGCACGCAACCGAGCTGAAGAGCAAGCTCCTCCTTGGGTCGCTACTAACCCGAGACAGCCGGGACACCCCTAGCGTGCTGGGCTCCCTCCGCGGCGCGTCGGAGCAGCCAGATAAGGACGAATCGGAGAAGCACTCTGTCGCGGGCGAGGCTGCCCCTCGGAACGCCAAGGTCAGCGGGATCCGCCGCCCAAACATTGTCCGCAAGGCCGAGCAAGCCGTGCAGGCTGTTCTGCGTGCAACTGAGGGGCCGCCTAAATCCGCTGGCGGCAGTGCCAGCGGGGGCGCAAATGGAACAAGCACTGGCGGCAGCGGCAGCTCCAGGACCAGGCTCGGGTCCATGTCGAGCGGAAAGAATGTGCATGGACGGAGGACGCCGCGTGCGGAAGGGGACAGTGAGGAGGAGGGCGGCTCGCGGCATGGAGACGGCGACGACGATGTCGAGATGAAGGATTATGACGACGGGCGGGGCAAGCGCGAGAGACGGCAGCACGATGAGGCCAGCGACATCTCCAGCCCGCCCGGCAGCGTGCATGACTCTGCCGATGACGAGAGTGACCTGAGTGATGTCCCCGCGGATTATGAGGACGATGCGCCGCCTTCGCTGCTGTTTCCCAATCTCAGGCGCAGTGTGGATGCTGCGACGGTGGCTCGGCGGGGAGCTAGGGCCGAAAGTAGCGGAGAGAGCTCTGCTGAGGAGGAAGAGGAGGAGGCGGGGGCGGAGGAGGAGGAGGAGGATGAGGAACGTGACGATGAGGGTGATCATGAGGAGGGCGGGGAAAATGGTGATTATGGCAGAGATGGGGGCGAGAGGCATGGAAACGAAGACGTTGGTGACACTGAGGAAGAGCATGGGTCGGAAAGGGAAGACGAGGAGGAGGAAGATGAGGACAATGAGGAGGAGCACCGGCAAGAAGATGGGGATGAGGATGAAGCCGAAGAAGGCTTGCCCCAGCTGGGAGCTCAAGACGAAGATGGTGCGGATCCTATGGAAGAGGATGAGAGTGAGTAGCCTTCTGTATTGTATTGCAATGTTGTTTGGGTCGGTTTGGGGGTTGGGAAAGCATAGATGAAGGGATTGGTTGGGCGGTTTCGGTAGCTGCCAGGCGTTCGGCGCTTGGTTGCCCTCAACGCAGAAAACTGACAAGTCGATTGCCATATCTCTTTTCCGTGTATTCCTTTTGAGTCAGTTATACCTACATGCCATTCGGGGACATGCTTCTCAGTACAGCGGGCGAGGATGCACTGCGTGTTGCTGAGGGGCCAAATATTGTACAGTACCGTACGAAGTATACGGATACCGTAACAGCTACATAGGTTGCCTACCCCTGTTCGTTTAGTGCGCTGGGAAAGAGCTTGGCCTCTGACAGACTCAGTGGGCTTGGCTTTCACCGGGCCCCCTAGGCTGCCTTGCCTTACAGTGTAGCTGCGCTCCAACGCCTGCCTTGAGCAGCCAACCCTGTCTTCAAGTTGGGCAACGACAACCGGAGTATCAACAAGGTGACCTTCTAGGCAGCAGAAAGCGTTTTACCAACTCTATCGCACTCACACACCATTATATCTATCTCAATCCGAACCACGAACTCATAATCCGTCTTCTGTCGCGGCCCAAATTCCCTCTCTCCTGTATCAGTAACCCGCGGCAGCAAATCTCTACTCTATCCCAACATGGCATCACAAAAACGCATCGCCAAGGTAACGACCGCCCCTTCTTCCCTCCCAATACGTAGTACACCTTGCTAACCGCATGGGTCTCCAATCACCCACCCACCTCAGGAACTAGCAGAATGCACCTCCTCCCCACCGCAGGGCATGACCATCAAGCTGCCCAACGACTCCGACATCCACAAGTGGCACGTAACACTCGAAGGGCCCGAGGGCACCGTGTACGCGGGCGGGAAATTCGGCATCATCGTATCCCTACCAACCGACTACCCCTTCAAAGCTCCCAGCATCACCTTCTCGACGCGCATCTACCACCCCAACGTGACCAACGACAGCCTGGGCAACATTTGTCTGGGGCTGCTCAAACCGGAGAACTGGAAGCCCTCCTCACGACTGTCGAGCGTGCTGGAGGCCGTGCGGGCCTTGCTCGTCGAGCCCCAGCCCGACGACCCGCTCGAGGCCCGCATCGCGGACGAGTACCGCCAGGACCGCAAGGAGTTTGACAAGAACGCGCGCTCGTACGTGCAGCGCTATGCTAAGGGGCCTGTTAAGTTTGAGAGTGGTGGTGGCGAGAGTGGCGGCGGAAGTACTAGTAACACCGGGGGAGGAGGCAACTGAACTGAAGGCGTCGGTGGTAGGTTATATGACATTGACTTCCCTAGGAGATTAGCGGGAGAGGAGAGCCTCCTTACGTCGTGCAAATCTCGGCTTCGGGACGGCGGGGATGGGCACACACACAAACGAAGCCTTGGAGATGCCAAGTGATGATGGGGGCCTAATCAGCTCTAAAGCTGGTGACTGGGGTTATCCAGGGGCCCAGGGGGTGACTGAGCAAGTCCGCTTACCACAAGCAGTCAATTATCAATGTGTGGCATGAGATAGCGCTGAGCCCGAGTCTCTCTGCTCGCTATCAGAGGCACCAATCCGGCGGATAGCCATGAGCAGACCGCTCGTAATGCAGCGAAACTATGTCAACCACTGCCATGATAAGATGACAACAGGCCGTTTCTGCGATTGACCATCTATCGCTACCTCGTGATGCGAGCCATCTTTGATCCCCATCTATGTGTATATAAGTAGTGCCCTCCGCATCCGCAATGGATTGTGCTTCCTTCTTTTTCTCTGCCCATGCCTTATTACCCTCAACAACACCTATGCCCGATTGCCCGCTCCTGCAATGCCGTGCCATGCCACGCCCATGTAATCGCACCACGTAATGCTATGCTTGCCACCAGACAGAGATCACACGATGAATAGAAAACGAGAAAGTGTAAAAAGGGAGAAGATTATAATTACATGAGACTTTGTTCCGGAGCTTCCGATATGTCCGCTTACAGATCTCTTCCTTGCACACCAGGCCGGACGGAGGCCGGAAAGAAAGCGTACCCGACGCAAAACTGGAGACAAAAGAAACCAAATAGAAACGAGTGACTTGTCAGGAACCGGGGTGTACCGCAGAGGGATCTGGGTCAAAGGTTGAGAGAGGCCGTGGCGCGCACTACATCACCTCGGCCGCCCGAGTTTGTTCGCGGTCCTTGCGACGACTGAAAAGATTCCCCTTGCGGCGAAAATCGTCAAGGTCGGCAGCCAAGTCCAGCCCAAACCTGTGCCTGGTCGCCGGTCTTGGGCTGCTGTTCTCGCTGGCTGCCGCTTCTTGCTCGGCTTTCCACCTGCGAATTCCCTCGCGCCGCGCCTCCCGCTTCTCCTCGACCGACTCCTGGCTCAGGTGGCCAATGCCATTGCGCCGTTTGTAACACGTCTCCAGGAGCATGTTGCAGTCAATCATCCGCCGGGGGAATGTCTGCACAACGCCAAACATCTCCATCGGGTCTTGGACCGCCTTGATCTCGGCCTCGCCCAGCTTGAATATTGTCAGGGCAACGCGGAACAAGGTGCGCGAGCCCTCGTAGAAAAACACATCCCAGACACGTAGTACCGTCTCGATTGGCAGAGTTCCGATGAAGCAGGACATGAACCAGGCGGTCATGCAGAGCGTGATCGCAGGCAGCCGATTGGGGTCGTTGATGCTGGCCAAATTCCGCTTGTGCCCGTCTTTAGCCCGTCGTCCCCTGCCCTTTTTCCCGGAGCTCACTTCAAGTTCGTCACCGCCAATTTGCTTCCACACTCCAGGCATCGAATCCTTCAAGGCTAGCATAAGCACGCCCAGATCAACCTTGGACCCTTCCAGACTCATCTCATGGGTGCCCGGGAGGTAGACTCTGGTGATTATGTTGAGAAGCCAGAAAGCCTGTTCCTCGGTCTCTACAAAGAGGAGGAGCAGGCCAGCCAGGAAATTGAGCGACTGGCAATAGCCGATGCGTGGATTATAGAGTGCAAAGGCGTGAAGAACGCGTCGCAGGGACGTAATAATCTCGGGTTCGGGGGTTTGGTTGGACGTGCTCGCCCCAGTTTGGTCGCTGGACTCGCTCGGGGGGGACACCTGTGGCCGAGGGGGCGGCTTAAACCGTATGTTATCGGGAAATGTCCGGTAAAGATCCTTTTCAATGTCATCCACCACCATGGGCTTAACCTCACCCCTTTGCTCCGGTGACGTTGCTGCGCCGTTAGGATCGAGGCCCGCCCGACGCACCAGATCGTCGTAAACTCCGCGATGCTTGCTCAAGATGGCGGGACCTCCTGCATAGTAAAACCAAGCAGCACCCCTCCAATCCGGCGGGATTCCTTTTCGAATGAACCGCTTCGTCTTCGCGCTGCGCGGAGGGAATCGGTTGGGCCGGTCCGTCATAAGAGAGTTGTCTTTGAGAAATGCGATCCACTTTTTGCGCCTCCGGGCCAGATATTCGCTGTAGGTGGCATCCCAAGCATCGTACTCTTGGCGAGTGATGTTTGGGCTTGCCTTCCGAAAACCGTACCGGTCACGGCTTCCGGGCTCCTCTGGTGGTTCCTGCGGGAGGCGAGATTCCGGTGCTGGTGCGAAGGAGCGTGCCTGCGATTGCTCTGCCGTTGGGGGTTGTGTTTGCATTCCAGAAGTCGGCGAGGGCGGCAAGGCGGTCTCGGATTGTGGGGCGTCAAGCTCGTCTCCGCCGTCCAGCATCTTTGCGGAGTCATGTTTCCCCATCGTGTCCGGCTCAACATTGTCTTTCTTAGCCAGTGCCTCCGTAGCCAAACTTAAGCCGATATTGTCGGGTAGCGAGTTGCGAAGCATGGATTTCCTGGCCCTGTAAATCGACTGTCGTTCGGTGGAGAGTTCGGATTCAGGCGTCGGCACCGCACCAGGCATCGGCAAGGTGTCATTCATGGCCTCCAAAATCTTGGCCTTCAGGCCACTCGCATCCGAGTGGCAGCTCGCCGGCCGTGAACCTCCCACGTTGGAATCCCCAGCGTCGACCTCCGTCCTAGGAGCCTTCTCGTCGTCAGGAAACCGCACGCTGCGGCGAATACTTTCGATATCCGAGTCGTTGAAGCCTCTCTCGTACATTCCCATCACGTCCTCCAAGCTCAAACCGTCGTCGATCGAATTAGCTCGCCAGCTCCTTCGCTCATACCCGTTAATAATAGATTGCTCCGTAACGACGCTGCTAGCTTTAGTGATGATGCTGTTTCTCTCGGTTCCAGCTGACGTGAAGACAGTCCCTTGAGCGGTCGAGGCAGTCAGCTGGGACCGGAAACTCGATCTCATCTCGTCACCACCGGCTAACCAGGGTGGGAGCGGTTCCCGAGGGTACGCTTGATGGAGGTTGTGGTTATTAGGAGCTAGTTGTGGCCGAGCAAATGGGCTTGGGGTGCTGGTGACCGTAGGATTCACGGGCCTGAGGGAACTGCTTTTTGGAGCCGAACTAGTCTGGTCGTTTGACGGGCGGGGTGGTATGGAGGAAAATGTACTCGACGAGTGCGACGAAGACGCGGAAAGGCGGCGACTTCTTGGCCAAGGATTGGGAGCCGGAGCTGTGTTATAGTTTGGATTAGTTTGTTCTTTGGTGTTGCTTGTCTGTTGGTCGAAGAGTGGCTCGGCCTGCCAGTGGGACGGCGCCTTCCGCCGTGACAAGGCGCTGTCTGACTGTTGCGACCTAATGCTCGGTCTTCGTGGACGGGAGAAATTCTCCACTGCCATGCTGGCCTCGGTGGGCGTTGGCTGCGGACTTTGGCTGGGTGACTCGCGATTCGAATGCGGGGACAAAGGAGCTAGCTGTTCATAGTGGCGGCCTACAAGCGGAAATTTGCGAGCCTCGGACCATGGAAACTCGGGTTTTGTTGTTTCTGGGATGAATGGGTTGGAAGAAAGACCTGGAAAAGCAGACCGCGGGGGCCGTGGTATCGGCGTCGATTCAGCCCTTGTTCTATGCTGTGATTGGAAGTGATGAGCGGTCGGGCTTGTGCTGGGGCTTGGTCTGCCACTCAGGGAGCTGTAAAAGAAAGAATCGCTGCGAGGGGAAATGAGGTCGGTCGGCACGGGTTTGCTAGATTTCAGTTCGAGGGATGGCTTGGGTGAGCTCGAAGGACGCATTCCGCCATTCGGAGACTTCTGCAGGCGGAATGGGAGGCCAAAAGGCCGGCCGTGGTCAAAAGCATCAGCGCCATCAGCACCGTCAGCACCGTCCGCCTTGTCGTGTTTCAGCCGGGATCCCGCGTTTGGCCATTGCTGTCTGTTCTGTAACCGGAACGCATGCTGGGCCGGTCCGCGGGCCGTTGTCATGCTTCGCTCTTGGTACTGCGGATGCTGTTGGTACTGCTGATAATCTCCGCCTCTGCCGGCCGCCTGGTCTGTCGAGTTGCTGCCCATCATCGCTGCGGCCGTTGGGCAAGAAGATCGGCCAACGGAGCAGGCAGAGGCGAGGTGGAAGAATCATCAGGCACCGCGAAATTCTGATGCTTTCCTTTTTTTCCTGCCCCGGCCACGCCGTGATCAGCGTCGAAATGAGTTCCACACAGGCTCGCGTGCACGTCCTGAATTCTTGGCCGGCGATGGACCCAAGGACCCGCGCTGCTGGGTTGGGCTTCTTTGTGCCAGGGATGGTGGCCTAACTATTTAAGATCCCAGCCGCACCAGGTTCACCACTATTGGCTCGGGCCGCTGCATACAGGGGAAAATCCAAGTTTTCCACCAACGTTAATTACACCACCTAGTACCAGTACTAAGGTACTGTACCTAGGCAGTTTGGTTAGGTCCAGCAATTCGGTCGCAAGCTCCAGATGCTGAAAACGGCGCTGTCATATGGTGATGGACAGAGGTCCCCAAGTATCTGCCGTTCTCCTGCGTTCAGTACAGGTAGTGCCTCGCCCTTGCAGGCTATAGATTGTAAATTGATGATCTCCAAGGGCTTCGGTTAATCAACTTGCACGGCCGGCGAGTCGCCGTGTATGGTCCGATGTGATTGCGCAGCTTGGAATGCGGCGCTATGTCGCTTAACGTTACACGTCAACGAGCTTGGTGGACTGGAGCAAAGCAGACGAGACACACCCGCTCGGGCCGAGAGACATTTTAGGGTTCTTGTCCGCTGCAAAAGCAGGATTCACTAGGAGTTGTTCTCTAGTGTATCATGTATGCATGTGCTAAACATCGCTAACTTATAGAGCTAGGTAGGTAGTTTCTTTATAAACGAGTCGAAGGTTTTTTGACTCAGGTTTCCGTAGGAGACAACAATCGAGATGAAGTTACAGTAAATCCATTATGTTACGATACACCTAACGATAACTCCGTACCTTCCCAATTACCAGCACTCGCGAACACAATCATCACGGTATGTACTTACACAGCGAAGCAACATTTACCGGGTTGCGCATCATAAGAATGAGCACGAAATATAACTACAGTAACCAGCTTGAGCTGCAGAATGGAGCCTTTCTCGGACATGCTATGCCTGACGATTGGTTTCGGGAGCACACTGTTGTAGAGGAAAAGCAACAGTACAATAAGGAATTGGCCTGGCCTCCTGGCCGCCCATTTAAACCCCCTTTAACCCCAGATTGATACGGAAAGCTGCCACTTCCAGGGGTAAAAAAAAGAACTATGAACTCTATTGTCAGGCCCGCCTCTGTCCTGCAGGGCAATTCTCTCACCAAACGGGTTGCAATGCGAACGACACCGTCAGCAAGGTGCCAGGCAAGCGCAAGGGTCGCATGGTTTCGGAAGGCCGTTTGCGCCTGCCGTTGGCGGGCGCTCTGCAGTCCGGGCCACTCGACAAGGAATCTGGAAGTCTTCTACCTAGGGCTGTCAACGACAAGAAACTTCCAAAACCTCCCTTTTCGAGCTTCGCTCCAGCTAAACCCTCGAGTTTCGAATAAGCCTGCCATTCAGACAGGACCAGTAGTATTCCTGAGCGTCCAGCCATCGACCATGCACTCTATTGCAAACTATTCGTGCAGCGACACGAGTTGAGCACAAACGGCGCGACATGAGAAACCGCTCCCCCAGTTGCGCAACACCTAAGCTTTCCGACAAGTCATGAGGACATGGCAACGCCCCGGTTCTCCTTTCAACACGACGGTAGACTCTATTGGCAGTATCTGTGCGTCAAGGCACGCCCAATTCCGTCTGCAATACCTCCGTATCTCCAGCCAGATACAGGATGCTCGGTGCAACATTCCCAATTCCGAGTCACGGATCACTCCCGCTCATCAGTCATCACCTTAGGTCAGCTCCAGGGCCGACTGACCTCGGCGCAAAAATCAACCGATCCGGTTTGCGCCTGCACGTGACGAGATCTCCTGTGGAATCAATGACGTTCCATTTTCGGACTCGGCTGCTTTAGCGGCTGCCCGTACACCTTGGTGTAGCTACGGTAGGGCGGAACTTGCAAGCTGCTCTGTGGTGAGAAGGCGCTCAGAAGACTTTGTTGGACAGCAAGATGCTGCCAAGCGGTCCAAGCTCTGTCGGCTGCTCAGCAACTGGCAGTGGCTAGATTTTTGGATCGTCGGCTAGCGCACGTACCAGTTCGTGGCTCGAGTTCCACCCTTCTTCTCCAAAGCTTCTGCGGAGCTCCAGCCCATCACAGCCAAGGCCTCAGCCACGCTTCCGCGCCGGCAAACAGGTGCCAACTGCCCCAATGTCGCGCGCAAACAGCAACCTCAGTCAAGGGAGCTGCTGGAGCTCCCCGCCCTCCCCCAGCGAGTCTGCCGTGTGCTGACGGCCCCCCTCTTCCCCCACCCCCTTTCCTCTCGCCTTTCCAAGCTGTTCCCCAAGGTAGGGGAAGGTACGTACCCGTTCGCTGGAGCTCCCAGCCTTTGCCCGTCCAACACCCCGAAAACCCCCTTCTTCTCAGCCTTCCTTCCCTTTCCTCTCTTCACCATCCGGCCACTCTCCGTCCACCTACCATCAAACCGGTCCTCTTACACCTCAAAACAGGCTTAATCTTTCCAATTGACACTGCTGCAGCCTGCATTCGGCATGTCCGGACGTAAGAGAAAGCAGGAAGAGGAGGAAGAGCTGGTGTCTCTTCCAAGTGACGAGGAGGAGGAGGAGGAGTAAGTCACTTTCCACTTGTCGCAAAACGGGTTTGATACCATCACCTCTGTCGGCCACATTACGCGACAAAGGACAGACATGTGAATATGAGCGAGTATCTCGGCGCAGCGAGGCGCAAGACCCTTCTCAAGTCGCTGCTGCCTGATGTTCACGGCCATTTTCCTTCTGAATTCCCTGCGCGCTGTCATCCTAAGATGGCAACTGTTGTGGAATTGGTGTTGAACTTCTTTGGCTGACCAGACGCGCATAGGTACGTAGAAGACGACGAAGATGAGGAAGATGTCGAGGACGAGGACGAGGATGATGAGGAATATGATGAGGCCGAAGCTGAAGGTGAAGAAGGCGAAGATGATGAGGAGGAGAATGGCGTCAAAGGTAAGCCTACCGCTGCATTCCATCCTCGCTCCACACAGTCCCGTCTCACAGAGCTGGCTGACGCTCGTCCGCAGAACAAGCTCCTCCCAAGAAGAAGAGAAAGACAGCTGCCGCCCCCGCCGCCGGCGAAGTGCCCCGGAAGAACGGTACTGCCGTGACAAACGGTAACGAAGAAGACGAAAGGGAGGGCGAGGAGGAAGAGTATGACGAAGAAGATGAAGAACAGGACGAGGAGGAGGAAGAGGAAGATGAAGAGGCCGGCGATGAAGACGCGGAAGAAGATGAGGCTGGTGATGATGAGCCCTCAAAGGGAGTCAGCAAGGTCACTGCCGCGGCCGGCGCCGGAAAAGGCGACTCGAAGGCCGTTGCTGCAGGCGGGGATGACGAAGAGGACTGATCTGGTGCTCCATTCTCGGCGCCGTTGGTTTTTTTCTTACGGCGAATCCTTGCAACCACTTTCAGCTTCCCCCCACCTGAAGTTCTGTTGAGACTATCGTTTTTTCTGTTCCGCCGCCTCTTCAACACGAAAGTCGTTGTACCTGCTCTCCGCGTTCGACCATGCGCCGGGGATGCTCTGTGTGCGAATGTGTCTGTCGGCCATCTCGGATTAAAACATCTGCAAAGAATCTTAGTTTGTAACTCTCTGACGGGCAGAAGAATAGATCCATCTCAGTTCGTTGTGTTGACATGATGGCGGTTGCCTACTCTCAGTACTCGTTCCCGTCGTGTTCTGTCACAGGACAATACCCTCACATTGGGCAACTGGGCAGCTGAGACGTCTTTAAGTGCAGCCAGAATCGCCGGTCTTATTTACCATGAAGAACAGAAAGCCTCTAAAAACTTCACAAGAGGGAAATGCCCATGTTTTAAAGGGCTGGCTGCTCCGCACGCAGATGGGATCCAGTGGTGCTCGACTGCCCACGTAGCTCCAGCTATTTTATTACCCGACTCGTCTTCGAGCTTTGGGCCAGCTGCCTTGGGTTGAGGTTTTAGACGTTGCATTTCTTTAATTCCAGCCCAACCCCACCCCTCGGCGAGTCGGCGTTCTAGGCTGCCTCCCTCCCTTGGTGCTATTCTGCCAACTAGTGAAATATCAGTTGTGACTTCGATCCCCAGTGCTCTTCATATTTTCCAGGAAACATCCCTGGTTACACTGCATCGATATTTCTTTCCTCCCAAGCCAAATCTCGATGCTGAACATAAAGCCGTTAGCTTCCATGCGATCTGAGATGGACTGAGAGCAGAGCCATGCAGATAGTTAGGTATGCAGCGTCTAAGTTTGACCTGGGCCTTGCTCGACAACCCTCTGAATGCACTGCACTGCAGGGGCATGCCGTGGAATACCGGTCCCTCATGTTGTCTCGTCCCAAGCCCAATAGGAGGCGGTCATCCCGGAAAACTTCAGGTTGAATGTGAGATATTGCTTAAGGCTCGCACATCACAACGGCTCAGGGTAGGAGCATCGGCAGCAACAGGTTTCGGGTCGGTGGTATTTTGTAAGGTATCGTTGAGGTGATATGTAACTACCTGAGTCCAATGGCGTGATATATCATTAGCGCGACAAACGACCTATGGCTTTGGTTCGATGGAGATTAAACGGACGGTCAGCTCCTGAACATGCTGCCCGCGCATTAGCTTTGCTAGGGGAGGAGGTGGCGTTCATCATAGCCACACGGAAGAGTCCCGGCAGGAATACGGCAGAGGTGGCTAAGGTTACCGGAGAAGCGGGCTCAGGGACGGTGGTCGTAAGGGCCGGCGCGCGCTTGGACAAGGGAAGAGGGAGAGTAAGGTGGGCGAAGTTGAGGTGCTCAACCGCGTGAAATCGTTCTTCGAGTCGTTGGAGAGGGACATGCGGAGCTGGTGGTTGACAGAAAAGAGTTGTAGAACTGCTCTGGCGGGCGACTGGGAGTTGAGAGGGAAGGGAGGAAATGCCGATAGGTGTCATGATAGGTCCGACCTCGTAGCTAAGCAGCTGTAGGTGTAGCAGAAGATGATAATTTAGTACATGGGGAACATCACCAACGCAGCATGAGATGTCAAGATGTGTTGCCTCTATAAGGGGCCGATTTCTTGCTGTCATGGGCTCCTGCTCGGTATTGACCTGACGTCGGGTTCTTTCCGGTCTATATTGGGGCACTCCAATGTCACCGAGCCTTCACAAGGACAATGAAAGTTTCAGAGACAACATGAATGTATACTACTAGTGGCTTTGAGTTGGCTCGACCTTCGACTAGTTCTGCTGCCCAAATCACCCAGATAACCTTTGTCATTTGCTTCCACCGTCGCCAGGAATATGGAATGGATCATGTGTAACAGGTAAACCGACCGCCTAACCCATAATCTCCATCAAAATACCGCGACCTGACACCATAAGCTTATGGAGTCCACCTCCCATTCTCTTTCACAGTGAATGTTATCCTCCACTCATCCATCGGAACAACGGAAAGCTCAGTCTCAAGGGTGGAAGGTATCGATAGCGAGCTGAAACGAATTGGTGATAGGAGTGACCAGGCTCCGCGCGAATCCCTGATAGTCGGCAGGCACCTTCGAGATGATCGCCGTGCTCATCTCATCTGCTGCGTTCTTCTGCAAGCCAAGATTGGCCAAGGTGACTGGTGACATGGAGAGCTTGTCGAACTTTGGTTTGGCGTTGATGATGATGCTCAAGGTGCTGTTGACCGACTTGACAAGAGTGCTCGCGGCATTCGCAACCTCGATGGCTTGCCCGAGATTCAGTGGCTCGCTTTTCTCAGCCGTCTTGGTTCCCTTGATGACAGACACAAGGAGGAAGGTGTTTTCAGTCAGGATGGGCACCATGCCCAACATGCTTCCGTCCCAGTTGGCAACTGAATTGCCCAGATTGGTGGTCACGTTGTGGACTTCTTTCAGCGCTCCAACGATTGCTGTGCCTTCGGCGACAGCTATTCTGAGGAAGGTGAGGGGAACGAGGATGGCGCTGAGCTTCATGTTGTGAGAGGTATGTAGAGAGAAGTTTCTCAGGGCAATGAATGCAGTGCTTCAGGTTCGACACTTGGGCAGACAGGAGTGGTGAGAAGTGAGGAATGGAAATGCGGAAGAGAGTCCCAGCACATCCTTATGTAGGCTATCAACCTGGCACCGCACCTTCCACAAGCGTTCATGCTCCGCCGAACCTTTCGTTTAGGGGGCAGTCACGAGGATGAACACACCCAGCCAGCGGTTACCATTGATCTCCGCTTCCTGCCCGTTCTTACAAGTCTTCAGAGGCAGGGGCCGAGTTCAGGCAGCCCAATCCCGTCCAATCCGCATGGCCTTCGAAAGATGAACGGCCATTGGTAGGTGCGATGGTTGAGGTAGACCACGGGGCACCTTCTTCATCGGTCAAGATGGACCTCAACCCTCTGCGTGCCTCGGTAATCCCCGCGGCCCTGCCGTATCAATGACACAAAGACGAAGGAACTGAAAGCAAGTTCCACGGGTGGAAGTTGTGTGCACTCTACCAACCGGGGACACCCACGCAGAAAATGGACATAACTAAACGCGGACGAGAACAGACAAGAGCCTGGTTTCCGCATTTAATAATTAGATTATGTTTAAAGAGATAGACAGCTGGGCCTTCGGTATGTCATCAACCCTGAAATTTTATGCATGCGCGCTTCGTCCTCATCCATCTTGAAAACCGCCATGGAAGGAAAGCCCACCGAAACTCCTTTTCTCGCGGCTGCTGCACCATGGCAAACGTATCATGCATCGACTCTTCCTCTTCCCGCGTCTGCCGGAGCCGTGGGCCGTGCATAGTATTCTCTCGGTGCCGCGGGAGCTGAGGGTTGTTGCTGAGGGGAGGCGACGCCCGTTGATGGGGGTGCGGGAGCCACGGGTGGTGCATAGTATTCTAGCGGCGCCACGGAATTTGGCCTTTGGTGCCGAGGGGGCACGCCGGCAGCCGTTAGGGGTATGGGCGCATAGTACCCTCCGTACAGGACTCCTTGTTGGGGAGGCACAGAGCCCGACATCCTTGCCATTTGTGGTGGCATCTGAGGCATCATCGTCGGCGGATACTGTGCGCCTTGCGCGCCAAGTTGTGGGCCCAACGGTTGCGCCATTCCGTAAAGGGGATATGGGCTTCCGGGGTAAGGAGCGCCGGCCGGCGCCCCGACGCCGAGGTAGATCGCGCTCAGCTTGGCCTGCTTTCTTGCTTTTTCGAGGTGGTTCGTCTCAACGCAGAATCCAACGAAGAGGACAAAGTGAGTAAGGAGCAGGAGGCAATCAAACGCAAGCAGGACCTGCTCGTAGACGGCGAGCTGCGACGGCGTTATCGATGCTCTATACACGTATTCACGACTGGACGAGTCGTAATAACGGTAGTCATCGAGGTCGATCCCGTATGTCATGTAGAGGGAAGTGGCCACGACAGCCATGATCGCCACGAGCCAGATGATCAGATGGAACGTGACGAGAGCCGCGGGATGCATTCCCTGGCGGCGCTTGGACAGCGCTATTTTCAGGAAGTCCATCCCAATGGTGAGGGCGGCAAGACCGGCCTGTCTTGGTCAGTACTGCGCTGCGTGATTGGTGTCCGGGTTGGGAGAAGGGGGTGGGCAGGGCAATTAGACTCACAGCTGTGCCAGATACGCCAAATTCAACGTTCACTCGGGAAGATTCTCCGGATGCAAATCGAGCAAAGTGCCAACCAAGGGTGATGCCGATGCCAAATATCACTGCGGCAGTTACAATGGATAGGCTTCCCAGAGCAAGTTTCGTTTTATGCCAGCGCGGACTGAATGGACGCTCAAACTGAACTGGGACCGGAGGATATGGAGAATAAGGAACAGGTGGAGCAAAAGGAATGGCAGGCGGGTGTTGCTGGATTTGGGACTTGCGAACCTCCCGGTGAGGAGGAGGAAGGGGTCTCGGGGGCAGCGCCGGGGCGGATCCGCGCTCAGTGTGCTGCCGCCCTTCATTCTCGCTTTGGCGGTGTCCTCTGCGATCCTCTGCCTGCTCGCTTGTACCCTTGTTATCTTGAGGCTTCTCCTCGCTACCTTCAGGTCGTTCCGTCTTCGGTTCCGTAACGGCGCTGTCGTCGCCGGCCATGGTCGGAGTTGCTTCGAACGAAACTACCCGTTTATAATAAGGAATTAATGTTCGATTCAGAGGTGTAAGGAGCGATTCAAAATCACGAAAACAGGTCGGAGGCCAGCCAAAGTCGAGCGATTGACAAGAAACTATATATGTAATGAGCGAGAAGGAACCTGGAAAAGAGCGGGTGGTGGACGGTGGCAGTCCCGGTGCTTTTAAGATTGCAAAAGGTCCCATTCCCCTGTTCGTGAGAAGCGGCCCCCACTCTGCGGATGAGTTATGAGTTTGCCGCTGCGTTAAGGTTGCAAGTCTTGGCGCGGCCTTGTGATGATGCCTGCCTAACCAGTCCCCACCCAACGCAAATGTCAGGATATGGTAGGGAGAGATCGAGAAAATAGAGCAGAGAGCAAGTGCAGAGCCGTTCCCTGTTCATGAACACTTTATAGAACTGGAAACTGGCAATGACTAGGTAGTCTCCTGAGCTTGACTCTTCAATGGGAGATTGGGCCGGTGTGGTATCCAGTAAGCTGGATGTAACCTTGTGTTGGCTTGAACGAACACAAGTTCTTCGCAGGTATTTCATGTCCAGCAATTGGCCACCGGCAATGATCATGAAGGCGCGTCGCTATGCTCACAGCGGTTGCCATCACGCTTGAAGAGGGTCACACTCGCTGCCAGGTTGGGTATCTCTAGAAAGTCGATACATCATAAGTTCGAATGACATTGACCTGCCATTCATTTTATTCCATGGGGTGAACTACTCGCGCTGGAGCACCACGACCAGCCCCATCAATCCAAGCATAACCGTTTTCAACCACGGATGCTCAGAAAGCATGATGGTCACGTACCCGACGAAAGGCAAGTAGCCCACGACGCTCCTGTCCCCTAATGTTAGCATTGTAGTCGTATCCAGATCATCCCACCGGGACTGGACGTCTGTCCTACCCAACAATGTCTTTCCTGTTTAGATAGTCCTGCCCGCGAGCGTACAATTCTGTATCGTCTGCTGCGTTGTTGTCGCCTTTGGTGAGAAGCTTCGCGTCCGGCCTGGAGCTCCAGTCAGTCTGATGAGCACTGGTGCTGCGGGACTTGACAGACCCTGTGCCAAATTTCCGGACAACCCGATGCACAATGGGAATATCTTTCCCTTTCACATTGTAGACGACAATTTCACCAACGTTTGTCTCTGAGAAGAGGTTTCGGTTCCAGAGAAGAAGTAGGTCGCCTCGTTGAAAAGCCGGCTCCATACTGCCCGAGAGAACGACAACGATCGGAGAAGGCGAATCAGTAATCACCGAAAGACCTTTCCACATCTACCTTGAAAAGTCAGCGGCTGGGTATGCAGAAGGAAGACGGGTAGGAGAGGGCGAGTCTCACCATGAAGGCTGTCGACAGGATCAAGCCGAAATTCATCAGCTGTGCGGCAGCCTGCCGCGGATTTTGTAGACTGGAAAGCATCCTGCAGATATGGCCCTTGTCCAATGCCGGCTTTCGACGCTGTTTGTGATGCGAGACAAAATCGCGGCTTCAGGAGGCTTGCTTGCGAGAACCGTTGCTCGGATGTTGTTGCCCATCAACAGCATTGATTGACCACGGTGTTGAATTGGCCGACAGTGATCGGGGGGCATAGGGCCGAAACTGGGGCTCAGCTTAGGTTGACCCACAACACTTGGCACGGATGTAAGGTACCGTTAATACACGTGTAGTGTGCATACAGTACTTTGTGCGAGTCACAGCAATGGATGAGATTGAGAAGTCGTCACAATACCTACACCATGATTGCCATCTATGCCTACTACGGGTAACTCTTGGGTAGGTAAGGTACCTGAAGTAGGCCACATATTCTTCAGACGGCTTTCAGGAAGCCTAGAAGTCTCCGGAGCTAGATTAGGTACCTACCTCTTCACAACATGTTCAATCCGGGCACCTATACGCATCTTGGCGAGACTCAGTCACACACCCTTTTCCATTGCAATGACTCAGCTTCAGACTCCGGCAGGGCATACGGCAAAACGCTATACATACCGTCAATACTCACTCGTTAGGAAGAAACGCTAGAATCGGCGCTACTGCAGCCATGCCTCCAACCGTTGAATCACAGCCAACCAACGTACGCCTTTATCCACTATTTATCGTGGTTGTCGAATTGAAACTGAGAGAGGATCTGAGAGCCGGAGAGAGCTTGGCAGAGCAGTCACGCAAAATCCAGATGTCGCTAGCTGGAACAGGTTAGCGTTTCTTCCTAAGGAGTGAGTATTGACGGTAACACCTTTACAGTCTAACCTGCACATAAGAATACGAGGCACAGGAATAACCTGGGTATAGGAATCAAAATCGGGGTTCCCGAGCGATTTTGTATGGCAAATAAGAATAACCTGGGAAACGGACTTATTCTTACGAATCTTGCTTAGTAACCTATATAAAATCAGGTTTATTCTTATATACAGGTGGGTGAAAGTATGGTTGACTCCCTGACTGGGCCCGGGGACCGAATATCTGACCCTGAAAATAGGCATTTTGGCCCCGATTTTGGCAACTTTTGGCCTGGGTTAGGGTTATGTATGTACCTGGGAGTAGGAATAACCTGGGTATAAGCATCAAAATTGGGGTTCCGGACTTGATTCTTATGTGCAGGTTAGACTGTATCACTGTGGAGTTCTTGACAGACTCCCCTAACCCTTCCCGTCATGCTGAACTGCGTGGTCAAAGCCGAGTTTGGCTGTGAAAGGGCCTTAGCCACACGTGCTGGCAGCACGAAGATGACACCTAGGAGTCTGGTGATTGGCCTTCTACGCTGTACAGTCACTTGAAACAATATTACATGTAAAACTCTCCGGCTCATCTGCCTATATCTCTTGATGTATTGTAACACTTGTACGTATGCAATGAATACAATACACAGAATATTTACAGTACATCTGTATTGTACTGTATGTGCTCCGTACAGTACACAAACAATGTTAGCGGTCGCTCCGTAATGAGCGGTTGCGTCAGCTCGGTCATATGAGCTGCCAACGAAGTCTTAATATATCTCGCTTTCAAAATATCACGCACTTCATTCACAAGTCAATAAGAACCAAGGTACATATACCCCCTACACCACGCTTATGGAAGTGTTGTTTTCGAGACATCAACTTTACGGCAAGTTAAACTAATGTGGGGTTCAACCGTCTCATCGTCGTGAAGGCGATCTGCCCCACCGCAGAATTAGCGGCCTCTATGGCGCATCTAGCCCCACATCTCCCGCATTCTTGGATCGAGTGGGGATCGGGACACATCAGGTCGGGATCAGTTCTTCTTCACCTCCAGGTGATGACAATCATGCGAGGAGGGCAAACGAGGCTGTGCCATCAAGATCGCCTTCTCCTGCGCTGTAAGTGGGCAACCTGTACTTACACGCCCCGCTGGAGCCAATCGCTGCTTAAAGAGGTTTTTCAAGCTACGTCTTGAAATTCAATTCGCCACAAGGGCAATTGACTTGCCCAATCTATGGCCTTTCGATTCTATGGCCAACCGACTGTGGCTAACGGAAGCGGCCTTGATCGGCAATTTCAGCGAAAAAGCCACCATTCACGTTTCGAATGACACATATGGCCATGGTACTCGGGGCGCAGGTCTGAGGTAGGTACTGTGGTAACGTCAACTTCCTGGCAACAGAGTGCGGCGTCTTGGACACGGCAGGGATGAGGTTGTCTCGTGAGATTGAACTTATCAAGCATCAGGTACCGGTAGTAACTCGACGTTTGCTATCGTGAACGGACATCTGCCTCCAAGTCCGCACTTCACGGGGTTACTTTGTATCGCATTCCAACAAAGTTGTGACTCGCAGCTGCCAAGCAACCCTTAACCTGGCAGTCGTCGCAACACAGCCAAGGTAGCTGACCACTCACAGCTGCCTCACCTCAGCCCTTCTGTTTCGAGCCGATCTCGATGTTTCCCAGGCACACAGTCACTCCGCAGGTTGCCCCCCACTCCCACCATCAAATGGTGGTATAAATATCATCATCACCCCCCCTCCAAAACCTCCCCCCTTCTTTTTCTCCCTCCCCCCTGCCACACAACCAACGGGTCGCAAATCTCATCGCTGGAGCTATCTCAGGAATCTTTCCTTCGGGATAGCGCCGCCCGGACCCCGTCAATCTTTTTTGTGCGTCTCTTTCCCTCTCTTTCCTCACCTCCTACATTCTTTTCGTCGCTCTCTTTCAATCCTAGAAAAGGTGGTAAGCAGTAATTCAGAGTCACTCTGTCTCTCGTTTGCCCTACCTTTTCCACCATCCCGCACCTCGAACGTCAACCCGAGCCATTCTCATCACGCTACCGATCAATACCGCCACCATGTTCATGCGCTCGTTTCGAAGCCGCGACGCCAGCGCCTCCCAGCGGGAGGTTGCCTCGACGACGATGGATTCGCAGCATCGTGTGGACAAGTCTGCGAGGCTGATGAGGAAGGGGTCAGTGCGGGATCCCCAGAAAGTGTCGAAATTGCAAAGGTCGCTCAACAGCGAGGATGCCTCGCGCATGCAGTCTGCGCAGGCGAGGATCACTAACAAGTCCCTCGCACCCTCGCCCATTATCACGATGGTGGTGGGCCAGGACTCGCGACTCTTTGCAGCGCACGAAGATGTGCTGCGCCAGGCACCTTTCTTCGACAAGGTCCTGAACGGCAACTTCGTCGATGCGCAGAATAAGAGGATCTCTCTCCCGGACGAGGAACCGGAAGTCTTCAGCGCGATCCTCGAGTATCTTTACAAGGGTGACTACTACCCCCGCTTGTTGCACAACAAGTCCCGCAACTCTTGGGAACTCGAGGACTCACTCCCCCGTCGAGCTACTCCCCACAACTCCCCGACGGTTCACGAATCACCCAAAATCGGAGGTGGTCGCGCAGCACATACACCACAGACCCCTTCGGCTGTCGAGGCGACCGTGTACCTCCCGAGCGTCGGCCAGCATGTGCTCCGCGACACTGTCATCTACTGCGCCGCGGAGCGCTACGGGCTGGAGGAGCTCAAGAGGCTGGCGCTGCGGAAGCAAGGATTGCAGTCCGGCATCGACGTCGGCACGATTCTCCGTAGCGCGCAATACTGCTACGCAAACACGCCCGACTCGGACAGCCGGCTGCGCGCTCATTACCTGGCGCTCATCATCCGGTGCCGCAAGACCTTCAAGCGCAGCGGCACCATGCAGGCCGAGATGGAGAAGTCCGGCAGCGGCGTGTACGGCGATGGAAGTGGGAAGCTATTCTTCGACCTGTTCGTCGCCATGTGCAACCACCTCGACGACGTCATTGAGGCGAGCAATGCGCGGACCCCAAAGACGATTTGAGAGGCTGGAGTCCTTGCACATTGATGCGTAACGAACTGGCCCCTAGCATTCTACAGGCATAACCCGAGGATGCTCAACAAGCAAGGAACTGGGATCGGACTGTGTCTTTTCTGCTCATTTCAGCATCCGGCGTTCAGGTCTTTTCTCATCCAAGCTCCCACATTTTTAATCAGATTGGAACACCATTTGGGAGATTTTTCATTTACCTGAAATATCTTCACTTCTCGAGGTTGGCCGACCAGTTTTGATACAAGATTGGGGAGCGAGAGGGGCTTAATGCCGATACATGATGGGAGCATGTGCAGTAAAGACGTGCGCAGCTCGCCACCCCTCCGCTGTTTCGATTTCTTTGCTTGATCCTCTACTCTCGGAATACTGGGCTGGGCTGGGCTTTCGACGGAACCCTGGCGTTTTTGCTTGTTCTGAACTTTCAGATTGGTTGGCATCATCGCTGGTCGAATGATTGCAGACAGGTACATGACATCAGGGGAAACGAAGGTCGCGGACCAGGAAGCCTCGGTCTTCTCGCCGAACTCGACGTCCAATAACCGACACTAGCAGCACGTCGTTCACACTTGCCGCACTTCAACATCCATCTTCCAAACAACCATGGATCGTGTTCTTTTCTTGCTCTGTCTGCTCAAGCTGGACTTTTTGGGAAACGAAAATAGGCGATGATCTCTCAGCTTTTGGTGCTTTTTCCGGCGTTTGGAAACATGCAAGGAGGCTTGGAGTCGGAACCGCAAATAACACACCACTCTCAGACTGGAACAAGACGGGCAGCGAAGAGGGAGCGAAAAGCCGAAGAACCATCTACTGCTGTCAGTCAAAACGACTGGCGCACCAGTTTCTCAGCCGTTCCCCCGTTTTGCTGCCATACATCGACACCACTCACGCGCTCAGCCGCGAATAATTTCTTTTGTCGACAAACACGTAGGATGATCATGGTTGGACAGAGAAAGGGGCGAGCACTGATACCCCCTGAGAAAGGCCTGCATGGTTGCTTGGCAATTTCTTCTCCTACCGCGCAGGGTAGGGCGGTCTTTCGTTTGTAACGATTGATGATGATGACGATTTCTTGATGAAAAAACTATATCGGGTCGGATATCGGGTTTGACTGCAAGACAGTACTTCCCGAACCGATCTCGCCTGGCTCTACGCCCGCTTGAGGGGCTCCAACATAGGTAATGAGAAATTCGGCCACCTCATCTGATTGGTTCCCATCGTTGGCCTTGTCTTCGTGCTGTGACCACGCCGAACAATGACAACCCTCACGACCATTTAACCTCCATACCCCCAAACTCCACCACCAGCCCTTCCCCTTCTGGAACACCCTTTCCTGGCCGTGCCGCCATAGCCTTCACCTCAACCTCCCCTACCAACAATGTCAGTCACCCACTTTTTCGACCACACGATGTGGGAGCTGGTTCAGATCAGATGGTCACTCACATTCTTCCGGCCGATCCCCAAACACCCAGCAGATCTCCCGCAGCGGCACCTTCTCCCCGCTGTCCAGCACCTGGTACACCCACAGACTCGTCCCGTGCTGATCCTCCTCCCGCGCAATCTCCACCGTCGTCCACCGGTCTGTAGTAGTAGTAGTAGCGTCGGCGCTGCTCGTAGGGGCTTGCAGCTCGGCCACGCTCCAGTCGGCCCAGGCATCGCATGCCACGGTGGAGAGGCGCGGGCTGCCGTTGTAGAACTCGATGCCCGTCTTAATCCATTTTTGAGGAGGGGGAGAGGAGGAGGTGGGTATGGTGGTGAATTCGCGGCGGATGAAGCTCAGCAGGAGACCGCCCTGGTCGTATTGGTCGCGCCAGTTGAATCGTAGCGAGACACGGGCGGAGAGGAAGGAGAGGAGAGGCCCTGCGGACGGCGCTACGCCTGGTGGACGTACGGCCGGAGCTGGTGAGGTAGGGGGTGGTTAGTAGGGTGTGTAGTGTATTGGTTTCTTTGTCTCAGAAGGGGTGGGGAGGGTTGTAGGTGGCCTGGGGCAGCGTGCAGGGGGACAGGAGTGGAAAGTTACCGTTGAAGACGTCTGTTGTGGGAGGCTTGCGCCAGATATCAGTACCTGGCGCCGCGGTGATGGTAAAGAGATTGGTGAGATTTGCGGGACGCATGGTGATCTGGTGGTGGTTGAAGTGAATGCGTTCAATGTGTGTATTTAAGGTACTTTAGGGTGAGAGTCAAATTGAAGACATCGCGGGAGCTCTGTGCCCTCTATATATAAGCTGCCGTTTTACATAGACTTCTGAATACGAGGGCGTATCCCCTAGGCGGATACCCGTACCTAATGCCAATGTGTGTCCACAACTGCAGCATTCGGACTCCTGCCAGAGTTGGTAGCTCCGTCGAGTACCGCACCTACCCCGCGATCTGCCGTTGAAGAGCGTGTTGCAACGGCGGGCCTGCGGCGGGGCATCTGACACAGGTGTGCGGCCCGAGAAGCCGACTAAATCTCGTGCGCCGTCATATAGCGGGTAATAGCAATGGCTTTCTAAGAAGAACAGGCAATCGCAGACATATGAGTTGATGCGTTTGTTCCGCGCGTTGTGGGGACATTTTGGTACCTTGGTGACAGACTGGGGCAGAAGGCAAAAACTTGTTCGAGTTGGAGTTCGAACGCGCACCCTCAGCCGTGCCAAGCCCTGCTGACTCATCGTCTTGGCCGTTGCTTTCACATTTTTGAATGTGCCCACGCACCCCGCTTGACTATCTCGACTTTTCACCCAAATCACACCCCACAGTCTCGGGCTCCCGAACAGGTCCTCCGAGGCCAGTATCGCACTCCTTGGCCGATTCTCACCAATCGCATAACACCCTTTTCATTGAGAGGGCTTTGCTCTGCTATTCGGGATCGCAACGGCAACTGCCTAGGGCGAGCTTCAACTAGAGTTGGTCCCATTTCGACGGCATTCAGTTTGGTTGGTGACGACTCATTGGTTGGGGACGACTCGGTTTTTGAGCCGTTGCTCGACTGGAATTGCTCATCACAGCATGCTTACTTTCATCGCCTTTTGAATACAATCCGCTTAAAGAGACGGAAGGAGCACCCACCGGCGTCAGTTCCCGCAGCAATACACCAGCATCAATCATGTCGTCAGTGGCCTCAATTTCATCGAGACTGGGCGGCGGCCCTGGCTCGGCGAAGACCAAGTCGAAGCGGCCCAATCCCGTCCGCCGAATTATGGACCGGGAGCAGCGTATTCGTGAGAGCTCTGTCGCGTCGTCTCCGTCATCCAGCACACCCGGCTTAGCATCCGCACGCCTCGGAAGAATCTGCAAGAACCCGCAGTGCGACAAGTCCGACATTCGTGATGGAGCCTGCCAGAATTGCGGTCTCGTCGCCGACGACGGCCATGACATTGTCGCCGAGGTCACTTTTGGCGAAACTTCGAACGGCGCGGCCGTGGTGCATGGAAGTTACCTTGCTGCCGACCAGGGTGCAATTCGTCCCACCGGCCGAGGATTCGCCTTTCGACGTGTCGCAGGTGCCGGTGCGAGCGAGGCCAGGGAACGTAGTCTCAGGGAAGCCAAGCAACTCCTAACCCAGTTCTCATACCAGCTTGGCATACCTCAGTATATGGTTGAACAAGCTTTCCAACTCTATAAAGTTGCCGCAAATAGCAACTTTGTCCAGGGCCGCCGCAAGAACACCGTGGCAGCCATCTGCATGTACGCCGCCTGCCGGAAGGAGGAGAGCAACAAGGTCATGCTGATTGATCTGGCCGACATCATCAAGACGGACGTCTTCCTGCTGGGCCGCAGCTATAAGGAATTGCTTTCGCAGCTTCCAGATTTGAAAGACGGCACCAAGCCCATCATCATCGAGGACCTTATTTTTCGGTTTGCCAGCAAGCTCGAATTCCTGCATGACACAAACAAGGTAGCGCTGTCAGCGATCCGAATTGCCCAGCGCATGCGGCACGATAACATCACACACGGTCGCCGGCCCGCTGGCATCTGTGGTGCGGCCCTCATCATGGCAGCGCGGGCGCATAATTACCGCCGCACAGTAAGGGAAGTCGTCTACATCGCCAAGGTTACCATGGCCACCCTGCAAGAGCGCATGGAGGAATTTGCCAACGTGCCGTCAGCCCAGATGACAATCCGCGAGTTCCACGAGACAGATAAGCTCCCTGAGACTTCGCATGATCCCCCGTTTGTCTATAAGCAAACGAAGGAGTGGCAGGAGAAGCACAAGAAACGGCCTAGGAAGAGGAAGCTGGCACCCAAGACGGCCGACCAAGGAATGCCTGACGCCGGGGAAGGGCAACCAAACGCTGCCAAACGACAAAAGACGAACCATGAACCGCCAACCCCCCTCACAGCCTCCGAGACAGCAATTGCATCAGAGGGCTCGGAGGTGACAGCGCCTCCAACATCTGTGAACCCCACATCGCACACAGAGGCTTCATCCGCTGCCATTGACAAGGATGGATTTGTTATCCCTCCTCTTCCCCAGCAAGATCCGGGCGTGGACCCTAGCATCCACGATCGCTCCATCTTGCAAACCGCAACGGCTTCGATAAACGATCAGCTAGAGGCGCTGGCAGATGAGTTTGGCGAGGCGGAAGAGGAATCTGGCGATGAGTCTGAGGAGGAATTTGATCCCAGTAGCGAGATGGCCATGGCTGCAGCACAAGGAATCCAGGTCCCTGGGATGAAAATGAAGATTAAGCCGAGAGAGGGCCTTCAGGATGCAACCGACGGTAACCCAGCGCGTAACAGGAAGGAGAAGCCGACATTACCCATCGACGAAGAATGGGAGCTTGACGAAACAAATCTGGAGAACGAGATGCAAGGCCATCTCAACGATCCTGCCATGATCGGCGCCTCTGCAGCCGTTACGAAGGACATCGAGGATCGGCGCGAGCGAGAGGCTACTGCTCGGGAGGATCGGTCGGTTAGCCTTCGCCCAGACGCCGATGAAAGTGCCAACGCCCCCAGCGAAGCTGCTGAACCCGAACCGCAACCTGACCCGTCAGATCCCCGCTTCACTCCCAAATCCAGAGTGTCGGATGACCCAATCATTCACGAGGATGAGTTCAAAGACGACCCGGAAGTCATGTTCTGCAAGCTGTCGGAGAAGGACGTACAAATCAAGGAGATGATTTGGGCTAACCATAACAAAGATTACATGCGCAAGGTCCAGCAGAAGATTTTTGAGGCCAAGATGGCCGAGAAGAATCCTCCCAAGCCGAAGCGGAGTCGAGCCAAGAGACCTCGCATCGGAGAGGGCCAGGCAACGCCGGCTGGTTCTGCCGTCGAGGCTACGCAAAACATGCTACGGACCCGGGCGATCAGCACGAAATTAGATTATTCCCGGATGGGTAATCTCTTTGATATTTCCAAGAAGGGGCCTGGCAGCACATTTGGAAGCACCAATTCAGTGGCGAGTCGCAGCGCGCCTCCTAGCGTTGTTGCCAGCGATGCCGGGAGTGGAAGTGAGGATGAGTCGCCCGAAAACGCTAGCCGGACGGGTTCTCTGGCAACCGGCGCTGCCGTCGCCGCCGGTTCTTCCGCGCAGCCCGGGACGGTGGCGAAGACTGCTGATGCTCGTAGCGGCGACGGGGACGATGGAGAGGAAGGAGACGACTATGACCATGAAGATTACGATGCTCAGGATGGCTACCCTGACGAGACATACGGGGAAGGCGACTTCAATCCCTTTGGGGACGACGGGGATGACTACGGTGAAGAGTAGGAGAGGGCCACATCTTCGCCATGCACTGCGGTATGGCCAGGCTGAGACTCATTTGACAAGGAGAAGAGAACGGCTGCATCACTTTTTTGATATCCATTCTCGTATTGGGCACGCCAGGTTTAGACAGGTATCTGGACAGGCCACTATCTGGCCGCGGGTTCAGTGTCAATTGAATAATCATAAGCAGGTCACCTTTCGAAGAACCGGTAGTAATCTGGCACCGTAAGGCGCTTTCATCATTTTATTTCTTGAATTGTTCTGGAGGTGGGGAACACCGAGCACGCTGCATCGTAGGCTTGCAGCCATCCAATGCCATGATGAAGTGGTGTTGGCCGAACTTGGTTCTCGCGCGTGGGCGTTTCGTGACGTGGTGGCTCAAGATGCCGACGCCTCAATGCCAAAGGCCATGCTAACTCTCATCGGGCAAACTGTGCATTGCCATCTTTCCCCCTTGCATGATGGCAATGCTATGGAGATGCAGCGTGACGCACAATACACTAGAATAACTCACCCTTCGGCAGGGAGAGGGGAAGTCCGCTGGCAACCAACCCGATGCCCGGGATCTGGTATCCTCATTCCCACCCAAGTCGATGCTTATAAAGTTGACCTACGGTAACTCACGGTAAACCAACCATCCGCCGGTCCTGCGTTAGGCTCCGGTTCGAATGTCCCCGGTCAGGCACGGGCGGGCACAGACTGGACCAGACGACTCTAGGCAAAATACTTAGGAGTATTGTTTACTGGGCTCACAGGCCAAGATAAGGAATTGCTGGGAGGAGGTTGTCACTAGGTTTCTGCAGGATGTGCCAGTCTGAACTCTGATAACCTTCCAGGTAAAGCCGATGTTCGACAGATTTCTACCCGGGTTCCGTGTCCGACGGTTCTTCGGCGTCGCTTCCCCCTGAATCCGAGCCAGGCGTGCTTACCCTACATATCATACAAGTCTTATCAAGCGCCCATCCGCACCTGCTGCGCCGCTTATCTCACCGACCTCTTCGACATTGTGAACTACCGCCAGCTCCAGAATCCCGCAACCTGCTTCAAATCAGTTGCTATCTATCAGTCATAACCGTTGCCGTTACCCAAACGACAGCAGCAATGACAACAACAATGGATAACACACCTACCGCCCCTGCACCGCACCCTCCATTATACATCGAACCGACCTCCTCGGCAGGCTTCGACTGGGTGAACCACAGCAACCAATGCCCACGCCATTCCTCTCCAGTACCCCCAACATCTCCGTCTCCCTCCTCACCCTCACACTCTCCTTCACCCACCACAACCACAACCACAACCACAAACCCGTGCACCTGCACCTCCAACTTGAAAACCCTGAACTTGATCCTCCCACCTTATTCCCTGCCCGTGTCATGGCTCTGCGGCACCTGTGGCGCGACCCGCTCGGTCCTGGTAATCCTTATTAACCAGCGGGTGGTGGAAGAGTGGTGCTGCGGGTCGCCGGCGCTGCGCGCCGTGTACGACCAGTTCGGGCGCATCTTTTTGTACTGGCGCGACCGGGACCCGGCCGTGTCGGACCTCCGTGATCCGGGGCAGGTGCGTGAGGCGGCGGAGAGGGTGTGGCGGGCTGGTGGAGGGGAGTTGTTGGGTTTGGGTTTGGGCGAGGGTTTTGGGGGAGGGTTGGAGCAGTTTCAGTTGGAGTTGGGCGGCGGTTATCATGATCATGATGATGGGCATGGCGGTGGAACCGTGATGGAAGGGGGGGTGAACTTGAGCGGTAACCTGCTGGGGCAGGTGGCGCCGGTTAGGACGATTTTTGGTGGTGTTCAAGTTGCTGGACGGGGGAAGGGTGGCGTCGTTGAGGCGGTGTGGAAGTGGAGTGGACGTCGGCAGACGAGGTTGTCGTAAGTGTTTTCCGGGTTCCGGTTGAGGTTTTTGAGTACCCCGATGGTGCTTGATGCGGGCCGGGTGAGGTTGCTAACGTCGTGTTGCACTGCAGACAGTCTAGTGTGATCAGTGAAGACTCGCTTGATGAGGAGTTGGCGACAACGGAACAGTGAGACGAGACGTGGGCCTGGAAAGTTGAAAGCGCCTGGGCGTTCTACAGGAGCAGGGCCTCAAAGGGCGTTTAGTCGGTGGCGGTTGGGACTTACATTTGATACCCGGACTCTCATTACCACACAGATTCGTCGGATGCATCAGACGTAACTAGAACTGGACCCTAGGAATCAAGCAGGTGGACTGTGATATGGAAGCATCAAGTAGTCAACTTGAAGCACCTGGAAGGTTCTCATCTCTTTGGCAAGATCATGACTTATACACCATACCGCAAGGAGATGAGGAAACTCTCATCGGAATGCGCCAAATTCAAATGAAATTGAAAAACTACCGAGGGATATAGCCCTCTAAGAACAATGATCTATACCCTGTCCCTAAGTTACCCCAACGCCCGCAATGCAGCAGAAACTGAAAGCATAAGAAACCTAGCAGTCACCCACGCGCTTCACTCACGCTTATTAGTTGTCCGGCCCGTTATCAGGCAGGCCCTGCACCTTCTCCGGGTCCTGAATGAGACCCGCATAACCAGCCCATCTGATACCCTTAAGCCAGATATCGGCCACCTTCTTATAACCGGCATCATTCGGGTGAGTGTCATCAGCCATGTCCTTCTCGGTAGGGCCATTCTTGCCGTGCATGTCGACGAGCACAATACGCTTCTTCTCTTGGCCCAATTTGCGGGCAACGGCGCGGAACTGATTGTTGATGTCCTGGACCCTCTTGTCGACATCGTCCTTCTTGTTCATCAGCAGGGTGCTCAGGACCACCGTGGCGCGGGGGCTCCATTTGTAGACATCACGGATCAGCGCTTCCATCCTGGCGCCGGCCTCGTTCACCTTGAAGTTCTGCACCGCATCGTTGGTGCCCGCGTTGATGAGCACCACGTTGGGCTTGTCGCGGGGCACCGACTCTTTGGCCTTGTCGTGGACCTGCTCGATGCGCATCCCGGGCCAGCCCTCGACGTCGTTGTCGGCCATTTTGCCTCCCTTGCGCGAGCCCACCATGTTGACCGGGTTGCCAAACTCCTTTCGGAGCTGTGTTCGGAGCTGCTCGCGGTACCCGTTGCCGGTTGACGAGGCCTGGCCGTACGTGATGGACGCGCCGAGAGGCATGATGCGCAGAGGCTTGCCCCCGGCCAGGGACTTGGCGCTTTTGACGAATTCCGCCGGGGCTGCGGTCACGAAATTGCTGGCGAGGGAAGCGGCGAGCGCTGGTGAGGGGTTAGCTATAATTTGTTTCCCCTGGGCAAAAGAGGGGGGGCGAAGGGGGGGGGGGGGGGGGGGGGGGGGGGGGGGGGGGGGGGGGGGGGGGGGGGGGGGGGGGGGGGGGGGGGGGGGGGGGGGGGGGGGGGGGGGGGGGGGGGGGGGGGGGGGGGGCGGGTGGTTGTAAGAAACGAACCCAGGACAATGCTTTTCACAAATAGTTGCACCATCTTGAATGTGGTATGGTTGAGAAGACTTGGAGAAGTGGTTTAGTTGGGGTTGAGGTGGTCGTCGATAAAATTATATCACCAGATTGCTATCCAGGTCGTCGAAGGAGACGTATCAAACGACGGCGGGGATGAATGCAGGCCAATTTGCGAGCAATATCGTGACTTTCCGGTCAGCAAGGGTTCCCGTCTCTACTTTGAGAAACTGCCGCTTCGCTCGTCGTGAGGTTAGGCCGTGTGATAGCGGCTAATTGGGCAGGTGATGACCGGCTGGATGAGAGAGGAAGGTGAGACTGTGGTATCAGAGTTGAGGTGACTGGGGAGAAGAAAGATCATTTGACTTGCTTGAAGACAGCAGAGCCATTTTATATACTAGACAACTATATGACGCCGCGATGTGAGATAAATCTACGATGCCGTCGAGAGGTGTTGGCCTGGCGGGTTGCAAAGAGGGCCGCAGGAGCCCAGACCGGCCAGTTGAGGTCCAAGTAAGTCCGACTAGGCCCATTGGCTGTCTGATCCTTCAAGTACCACCATAAGAAACGCTGAGCAGTTAGCAGAGGATACAAGCCTTCGCATTCAGTGTTGCATCCCGTCCGAGTCAGAGGGCTAAGCTCATGCGAATGCAGAGAAACACAAATGAAGTGTTTGAGTCGAGACCCAGTGGGTGAGGACAAACCAACGGACTCCATGAGCTGCTGCTGGAATGAGCTGCGTTGAGCGATCTGTAGCTGCTGCTTGACATCAACCCGGGTCTCGCATGCACTAAAGAGTCCTTCAACGTCGCAATGCTTCGATCGTACCTGGAGATCACCAGCGATCCTGCAGCATCTAAGCATCTTGTGGCTTGATTTGGGCACTGTGGTTGGTTGTTCAGCTTTGACTGCCGAACAGCCTCTTCCGTCCGGCGTCATCCGCCCTGGCGGATGATCTGCCATATCGGCAGTGGATCTGCAACCCCACATTCACTGTAATTACACTAGTGTATATGATACACTGTAAATTCAGGCCCCCGGCATGCTCCAGCCTCCAGGCCAGTCAGGCCAACACTTCAGCATAATGGAGAGTGGGATGCCTGACCAATGTATCCTGGACATCAGCTGAGGCATTGGAATAAAGGAAAGAACAATAAGTTGCCTGGGTCGCCAAGCTCATGCCAAGCCTACCAAAAGTCCCTGAATAGATCACTGTGACCGGAAAACACCAGGTCAAAGTGGGTCCCAGGGGGGTAGTAGGGTGCCCTCTGCGCGCGCAACAGTCAGTAAGCCAGTAAGCCAGCCCAACAGCCAGTTCAATCTTGAAGCCGTAGAATAGGCTCAAAAACGCGATTTCTAAGGTTTTCTTCGAATGCGTT